TAATAATAATAATAATAATAATAATAATAATAATAATAATAATAATAATAATAATAATAATAATAATAATAATAATAATAATAATAATAATAATAGTAATAATAATAATAATAATAATAATAAAATAATAATTATTTAAAAAAAGTTTATAAAATATATATTATATTAAAAATATTAATATTAAAAAATATTATTATTATTATTATTTTAATTATTTTATTATATTTTTATTTATTAGTTATATTATAATTATTAATTTTTATTTATTTTTATTTTTATTTATTTAAATTTAAGTATTTTTAAATTTAAAAAAAAAAACTTTTATAAAATTAAATTATAATAATTATTTATTAATTTAAATATTTAGTATTATATAATTTTAAAAAATTTATTTATAAATAATTAAAAACTTTATTATATTTAATATTATTAAAACAATAATTATATTTATAATTTTAATTATATTATATATTTTTTTAAAATTATTTTTTTTATTTTTAATTTAATTAAACTAATACTTATATTAAAAAATAAATAAATTATAATATATTAATTAATTAATTTATATTTTTTAATTATATAATTATTTTTATTTTATATATATTAAAATTAAATACTTTTTTAAATAATTATTAAAGTTATATTAAATTATTAATTATAAACTACTTTAGTTATATAATTTAAAAAAATCAAGCTTAAGTATATAAAACTATAGCTACCTATCTAGCTAGCTTACCTAGTAATTTTATTATAAAATTATATAATTATATATTTTAAATATATAAATAGATTTTAATTTTCTAATATTATATATATATTATAAATAAATAATTATTTATATATTAATTACTTAATATTATATTTTAATATATATATTTTTTTTAAATATTTTTACTATGTTATATATATTATTATTATTACAGTATGTTACACTTCCTCCTCCAATGGCTACTGCAATAGATGTCTCATCCATCCAGCAGCTGCTGGTATGTATTATATTTATTTTACTACTTGGCAATTTCTTACGATAGCTCTTGTCTTTCTCTTTAATTAATGTATTCCTTGTATTAGCATGGTCTAATCTGCTGCGTCTCCCTAGGACATATATGGCTCGGTCCTTGACGAGTCCTTGGTCATTGCCATCGCAAATGACTACGATGTATCTACCGCTGCCGGCTATAGTACTGCTTGCGCGATCTTGCAAAGCCTCGCGCAAGATGCAAACTTAGAAGAATCTAGTGGTTTCGACCCAAGTGCCGTACATCGGACTCTAGACGACGAGGATAGACGCGTAGTCGATATTGAGCGTTCTACCAGCACAAGCGGTCGCCATAGCAAACAAGCCAATGGCCAAGAATCAGCCGACACGGCAATTGCTATAACTCCGTCTCCTTCCTCTGCGGAATTCATGATTCCAGATGGCGAATTCTCCAAGTCTGGCATGCTGGAAACAGACATTCTGCAGCTACAGGATTTATTCCCTGATTTACAAAGTTGGGATATTAGGCATGCCCTACTTGAAGCAAACGGTGTCGTTGCAACTGCGTTGGATACCCTCCTTAGTGTACAATACCTCCTATCTACCACTGCTCAAAAGACTGCACCAGATGCACTTTCCATCCCTGGTGACACCAAGACTGAAGACCTTGGTAGGAACCGCAGTGTATACGGATACGACGCGGCAAGAATGGCCAATAGCGAGACCAGTATGAGTAGTCCAAAGACGCTTAAAAGTGAGTTGATCCTGAGGTCTGCTATACAGCCCGTGAGTTACTAAAAAGAGTTGTGTTATCACAGCTCCCGCTGCTATCGTCTACGTATCTGAACGCTTAAACATGCCTGCTGAAGAAGTTTCTATAATATACGCCGAAAACGGCAACTCTAAAGTGGCTACCATCTTAGGAATTCTGGATCAGTTCCTCATACAGAGAGAAGCTGAGCCCCCAACAACTCTAGAGAAAAAAGTTATAGATGATCTCAAACAGAAGTACCGCAATACCCCGGACGAGTACTTGCAAGTTATCGTCCAGATAACTGGACCAGATTCTATATATGCTGCGGAGCTCGCGTCACAAGTAAACGCATACTTTAGTAAAAGATCAATGAACCAGAAACTCAAACTGAATTATAGACTGACACCGTTACCCCAAGAAGATCTTGAAGGATCAACGGGGACGGTCATTGATACTTGGGCTGAAGGAAGGAGTCCCCGTCGGGCTACCACATTATCAACGTCTAGCACCGGAAAGGATCTCAGCCGGGCTCTGCAAACATCAAATAATCTACAAAGGCAGAAACAAGATGCGATTGCATCCGCTGCAAGCCTCCATCGACGTGGGGCTTCGAACCCGCTGTATCGGCAGGCAGCAGGTTACTATGCGCAACAAGCTCGCGAACACGCAAAGCGTGCCCAAGAAGCTACGTCCACTGCGGCAGATATATTAGTTGACCAACAAAGCACCGATAGGACAGTTGATTTGCATGGCGTGTCTGTCCAAGATGGAGTGCGAATTGCTCGCCAGCGAGCGTTGAATTGGTGGAAAGATTTACGTGGATCTCGAGAAGGGCCTGTGTTAGACGAAAGTCTCACTATCATTACTGGTTTGGGACGTCATAATACAAGTGGAATTTCACCACTTCGACAGGCTGTGGCTGCTGCACTTACGCGGGACGGGTGGAAGTATGCAGTGGAAACAGGGAGGTTTGTTGTATCAGGACGAGGAAAGTAGTAAATCAATGGAATGAAGACAAGTAAATTAAAAATTAAAAATGACAGTGCAGGTAATGTACTTAATGTTTTATAAAAACATTTAAATTAAATAATTATTCTAGAAATATTAAATATGTATAATATTAATAAAAGAAAATATATTCAAAGATTGTGATGTATAAATTCATAAATAAAAAAATATTATGAAAATCTTGGTATATTATTGCGTTAGTATATTTCCTTTTAGAAATCCACTAAAGTTTAGCACATTTTTGCTTGCCTCGGAACCATCCATCCTAACGTTTACATCCGCTGACGATTGCACACCTGGATCATCTAATTTTCTTCAATTGCTCCAATACACTTCAATACTGACATCTCTTTTTCTTCTCAATCCGAAATGTCTCGCGGCGGCACTACCTTATATGTCACAGGCTTTAGCCACGGCACCCGCGCCCGCGATCTCGCCTACGAATTCGAACGGTACGTCAACCACGCCACGCTCACGCTCACGCTTTCGCTCTCGTCCTCGTCCTCGCCCTCGCCCGCGTCCTGTCTTGTACCGCCCCGAGGAACTCCTTTCGATCGACAGATTTGATACCACGTCGATGTCGATGCCCTCGCAACCCTCTCCCCCCCGTTGACGCCTGAACCTACCTCTCCCTTTTCCTGCCGTGTCGGTCGATGCGTTTCATTTATCGCCCGAAGTTGTTCTCTGTGCGAACCGATAGTTAGATTGCACCTCCTTTCGTGTGCATACAGTCAATGAATATGCCCGAGAAACGGCTACCCCGGCGACTGCGCCCTCCGTGTCTGTAATGTGATGGAATGGCTAATGAAAAGTGTCGATTAGATATGGGCGTCTGGTCCGCTGCGATATTCCTGCGCCGCGATCTACTTCCAGCAGACTGTGGGTAGTTTGATTCTCTCAAGGAGTTATCGTTTTTCTAACGGCTTGCAAGGTTTGCTTTCGTAGAATATGAAGACAGGCGCGATGCCGATGACGCATATCATGAAATGCACAACAAACGTATTGGCCGAGATGATCTATTGAAGATCGAGGTGCGTGTACTTTATAATTTTTTTTTTTTTTTTCATTACTAACGTGCTTTTAGTGGGCTAGAACACCTCCTTCAGCCTCATGGCGCTTCGAATCTGGGCGTGATCGTGATCGTCGTGGACCTCGATCTCCTCGTCGTGGGCGATCACCCTCTCCCCGTCGCAGCACTCGTGACTATTCCCCACGGAAAGACGAACGTCGGGATCGCGACAGAGACTATGATCGCGATAGCCGAAGGGACCGGGATCGCTCTAGAAGCCCTGAACACCGGTAGGCTCTTCGAACTATCAAGGCAGTTCCGAAGTTGACATTTCTATTTGTATAGCGACCGAGACCGCGATACTAAAGATGAGCGCGATGATCGCGACCGAAAGGAAAACGGAACTAACGGCGACGAAAGAAAAGGTAGCGCAGCGCTCTCTGAATTTGTCTCTTCTGATTTTAAACACAGTACTAACATTTCCCAGCTGAGAGTCCTCTTCCCGCTCATGACGATCTTGATGTTGCTGAGTAGTAGAAGCCACCAATGTCAAAGCGTAAATACGGTAGTAGATCGGTTGCCTGGAATCTTAACCGAACTACTCTCTTTTCTTCCCGCATCTTCCTCTCATTTGTACAATGCTCGGGTCTCCAGGTATTTTTCACATTCAAGCACATGACAGGGATTCATCGTGAGATGTGAGATACTTGGTAACAAGACCAAAATTTGTGCTGGTTATAATGGTGTTCGAAAACGCGACTTCAACGGTTTGCGATACTGAAGTATTGTAACTAATAGCTATCTAGTAATAAAACAGTTTTTATTTTATTTTATTTTTTTTATTTTTTTTATTTTTTTTTTCTGTTTTTTTATTTTTTGTTTGTATGCATTAGCAAAACAACTTCACTTATGATCAATAGCAATGGTTGGGTTAAACAATTACCTTTGTATATTCAATACCTGGTTCAGCATATATCGTAGTATATTTAGCTTGTATGGAGGGGTGCCATCTTTGCTGCCATCATTACATGTATGCCTAGCAGGCTGCTACGTAGTTTAGCTATAGGCACTAAGGCTGCCTTAGCTAGAGGGGAACGTGGCTGTGTGGGGTTGCTGGCGTCAATTGTCTGACCCCCCTCACTAGCTGGTTAGCCATTACTCCGAGCAGATTACGCAGCTCCTTTCTTCTGAACATTGACTTGACATTTACTCGAAGAAAGATCACCAATATCTCCAGTATGAATGTCCTTAAGCTTCAGAGGTACGTGAAATGCGGTCGGTTATAATCTTACTCCACGTTTATCTAACGCGCTTGATAGGAAGTTTCCTCAGTTTCCTCAGAATGAGATCTTCCAGCTATCCGACGCCTTCCAGCGGCTGGACGTAGAAGACCGGGGATATCTCGATGAAGCAACGGCCATTAAGGCCACTCAGCAAAGCGAAAACCAGCCTTATGACGTTGTCAGACAAGCTCTGAAGGAAGTAGACCTAGACTCTTCACGGCGAGTCGAACTCGAAGACTATGTCGGAGTTAGTCAATCCACGTCTTGCTTCGCGACTCCTCTAACACTTGCCAGCTTATTGCTAAATTGCGCGCCGGATCAACCGCCCAAAAACGTCTCTCTACTGGTCCTGGGCCAGCACCTTCTGGAGCTGGTGCCACTCCAGGCCATGCTTCCAAGGGCAGCGTAAGCGGCAAGATCCACGTCCAAGGATCAAATGCGAATACCACGCATACAATCAATGAAGATGAGAGAACAGAGTTTACACGCCACATTAACGCGGTTTTGGCTGGTGATCCGGATATTGGTAGCCGACTTCCGTTCCCAACCGACACATTCGAGATGTTTGACGAATGTAAGGATGGATTGGTTCTTGCGAAGCTCATTAACGATAGCGTTCCGGATACTATCGATGAGCGAGTTTTAAATATGCCCGGACGGAAAACCCGAACTCTGAATGCTTTTCAAATGAGCGAGAACAACAACATCGTCATTGAGTCATGCAAGGGCATTGGGTGCTCTGTTGTCAATATCGGAGCTGGAGATATCATTGAAGTCCGCGAGCATCTTATTCTCGGTCTCATTTGGCAAATAATTCGACGAGGCTTGCTGGGGAAAATCGATATCAAGCTGCACCCTGAACTCTACCGACTCCTGGAAGATGATGAGACTTTAGAGCAGTTCCTGAGACTGCCTCCCGAGCAGATTTTACTTCGCTGGTTCAACTATCACCTAAAAGCCGCCAATTGGCCTAGAAGGTTCGTGTGCACTTGTTTCCCTATGATACTATCACTAACTTTCTGGCCCCGCTTAGAGTCACAAACTTCTCTAGCGATGTGAAGGATAGTGAAAACTACACCGTCCTCCTCGCGCAAATAGGAGGAGAGTATGGCTGCACACGAGCTGCTCTGCAAACCAGAGATTTATCACAGAGAGCTGAAGAGGTTTTGCAAGAAGCCGATAAGCTTGGATGCCGCAAGTTTTTAACTCCGTCATCATTGGTTGCGGGCAACCCAAAACTTAACTTGGCATTCGTCGCTAACCTCTTCAACACCCACCCTGCGCTTGATCCTATTACCGAAGAAGAAAAGTTGCAGGTCGAAGATTTCGATGCAGAGGGAGAACGCGAGGCGAGAGTCTTTACTCTGTGGCTAAACAGTTTAGATGTGCAGCCAGCTGTAGTCTCGTTTTTCGATGATCTGAGAGACGGCTCGGTTCTTCTGCAAGCATACGACAAGGTCATTAAAGGATCTGTTAACTGGCGCCACGTTAACAAAGCACCCGCTCATGGAGGTGAAATGCTCAGATTCAAAGCTGTTGAAAATACCAACTATGCTATAGAGTTGGGCAAACAGAATGGATTTTCGCTCGTGGGCATTCAAGGAGCAGACATTACTGATGGCCAAAGAACGTTGACACTCGGACTTGTGTGGCAACTCATGCGAAAAGACATAACGTTGACGCTATCCTCTCTGGCGCAAAATCTTGGCAAGAGAGAAATAACTGACGCCGAAATGGTCAGATGGGCCAACGATATGTCAAAGAAGGGCGGTCGGAGCTCATCCATTCGCTCGTTCAAGGATCCAACGATTGGCTCTGGTATTTTCCTTCTGGATGTCCTAAACGGCATGAAGAGCAGCTACGTGGACTATGACCTTGTGACACCTGGCCAAACGGAAGAAGATGCATACATGAATGCGAAATTGAGCATTAGTATTGCTCGTAAGCTTGGCGCGACCATATGGCTTGTCCCCGAAGATATTTGCCAGGTCCGTAGTCGTCTGGTGACGACGTTCATTGGTAAGTTCAATAACGTCAAAGGCTGTGTAACTTGAAAATTTCCAATGTTTCATTACTAACATAAGGTGATAGGATCTCTGATGGCAACTTATGGCAAAGCGTAATTACTTTTTCAAGTTCCATTTAAATTCATCCATTTAGAATGGCACTAATTACCACTAAATATTAATTAAATCATATAAATACGTTAATAAAAAAAAGTCTTAAGATGACAGCTTCACATCCGTAATTGAGTTGAGGAGCCTGCGTTGTCAAAATGATTTAGTATATGTTTTTCTTTTAGTCTCAATGTAAACAATAAGCCTACTTACTGCAAGTTACGGTCCCTCATCTCTCGGTCTAGAGAGTCGACTTGTTTGGCAGTCAATCTAACTTTGCTGAGCTACTTCAAACGGTTAGTCAAATCGAAATATTCAACCTGCGCACGAAAAACGATTACGTGAATGGCTGCAGTCTACAGGGGGGCTCTCGTACCAAAGCTAATGCCGTTGAAGAGTGATCAATTTCTTCACCGTCGGCTGCATTATCTGCCGAATCTAGACTCCCACCGCTGGTGGACTTGAGTAGGGCGGCCTGAGCCTGATGCGTTGTTAGCTAGAGAGCGTCATCAGATATAAAGCATGACAACCTACCTCTGCCTCCGCTAGCTCAGCATCCTTGATTTTTAACTGAGCTTGCAGTTGATCATTCCTGATCTCTGCTTCAGCGAGCTTCTTCATGAGCTGCTCAGAATTCATCTCCGATTCCTTCACCCTCTTATTGGCTTCTTCTACTAGCGTCGTCATGCTATCATTCAAGTCGCTATAATCTGCGTGAGCCGTCTTTTCTTTCATCTCTGACATTATCCGTAGCTCTTCCAAGTCCTTGGACGTGAGAATCAAGCTTTCTCGTGTAGCGGTATATTTTGCTTCCATATCGACCAGGTTATCTTTGGTGGACTTCAACTCAGCTTTAACAACGGTCAAGGCATCCTGGAATGTCTTGGTAGTTGCGACAAGTTCAGCCTTCAAGGTGTTGATAGCTGTTGTATCGGGTTTGGCGGTTTGAACCGCGTCTAGCTCGGCAAGTGCGGTCATTCGCTCTACTTTTTCTAGAGCAAGCTGCTGGCCGACGTCATCTGCTTCTGCTTGAACAACAACTAGCTGCTCCTGTGCTGCTTTCAATGAAGCCTGGAGCGTTGCATTGGTGGAAGTCTGAAGTGACAGTTGCTCTTCCGCTGCCTTCAATGAGGCTTGGAGAGTTGCATTGGTGGAAGTCTGAAGTGACAGTTGCTCTTCCGCTGCTTTCAATGAGGCTTGGAGAGTTGCACTGGTGGAAGTCTGAAGTGACAGCTGTTCCTCCAAGCTCGCACTCTGAGTTTTGGCTTCGTCTAGAGTAGCCTTGAAGCTTGCGTTTTGAGCCTTGGTTTCGTTTAGAGTAGCTTCGAAGCTCGCGTTCTGAGCCTTGGCTTCCCTTAAGCTGGTCTCCATTTGTGTATACGCCACTGTTAGTTCTTCTAGTTTTTGCGTTACTTGGAGTCCCTCTTCTTTCAATGAAGCCACAGTATCTGTATGAGCAGTGGTGAGTTTCTCGATTTCAGCAGCGTGTAAACTAAGCAATTCCCGCTTTGAAGCTTCATACTCCTCCACGCTGCTAGACTTCGCATTTTCAAGCTGTGCTGCCACCTCTTCGAGCTTCGTATGCAGCGCAGCCAATTCTTCTGCATGTTGACTAGACATTGTTGTTAGAGTAGATTGATGTGCAGCAAGCAGCCCCTGCGTTTCTTCTTCGTGAAGTCTCTTAAGGTCATCCAACACCTTCTCATGGAGTCCATTTTGTTCTACCGATGTAGCTTCTCCATCTGCCAGTGCGAGCCGCAGTTGTTCATCGTATCGAGCTTTAATAGACTCTAATTCTTTGGCGTGAACATCCAATGTTTCCAAAGCTTGGTTTTTGGCAGCTGCCAACTCTTCGTCGTGGCGACGTCTCAAACTGGCCAGCTGCTCTTCATGTTCCAGTTCTTTGGACTCGAGTGAATTAAGAGCTGATAACCGGCGCTCTTCAGACTCTGCCAGAGCAGTTGTGTGTTTCTCTGATTCTTCAGTCAAAGAAGCCTGCAAGTCGTTATGTAGCTTTTCTAGCTCTTCAAACTTGCGTTTAAAGAAAGCATCGCCGCGGAGGCTTTCAATTTCGTTCTCATAATCTTGAGAAATTTGCTTTAAACGCTCATCGTGCATTGTTTTCAAGTTAGAAATCTCCTCATCCCTGCCAGTTAGCGTGACTTTCATGTCGCTAATTGTGTTTTGTAGCTCAGTTTCAACTTTGCGGGCAGATTCTAGCTCCGCCTCTCGGTTGGTTAATTCGCTCTCAATCTTCGCTACTAGGGATTTTTCATCGTCTTTACTGGCTTCAGCACTCTTCGCGGCCGACTCAGATATGGCGAGCCTAGATTTGACATCTGAGATCTCATTTTCGAGATCTGATATTTTGCTAGTCAACGCATCGCGCTCGGATGTGATAGCGTTAATAGTCGATTCCAATTCGGCTTTTGAAGCAGTCAGTTCATCCACCTGGTTCTGGAGTTTTTGAATGTCTGCTTCAAATGCCAATCTTAAATCAGCGTCTGATTTGTCCGAATCTGCTTTATCAGAGATGGTGGCTTGGAGCTTCTCAAGTTGCGCAGCATAGTCTTGTCTAGTCTGCTCAAGTTGGGTCTCGGTTGCTTTGAGTTTCTCCTCGTTCTCAACCTTTAAATTTTCCAGCTCTTTTTTCAGTGCGTCTAGGGCTTCTCCTCCCTCGTCTTTGATGCGAACAGCCTCGATAAGCTCATCATCCACAGTACGAAGCTTTTCGGCTTTCTCTTGTAGCTGGGCTTCCAGGTCACGTATGACGGCATCGTAATCAGTTTTCGGGCCATCAGGCGTGTCTTTCGGCTCAGTTTGAGACTCGCCCTCGTCTAGCTGCTGGCTGCTACCTTCTAGCTGCTGGCGAAGTTCAGCTACAGTGCTTTCGAAGGTACCCAATTCTACCTTGAGAGATTCGATTTCTTTGTCTCTCTCAGCTAGCTTGAACGTGAGTTCGTCGAGGATTTTAGGACTGTCCGGATGTGCCTCAGATCGAACGGAGGTTCTTGTTGATGGGCGTGGAGCTCCGGTCACTAACCCGGGTGCGGATGTTCTTTTTCTCGCGTCCGCGGCGGCATTCGACGAAACAGTACCCCGGGTCAATCCTGCTCGAATCGCTGCTACTGATTCGGATGCTCCCGTTCTAGTACGCGGAGCAGCTGGTTTGGGGCTTGCAGCACCAACACCCACAGTAGATCGACGGCTCGCTACAGTACTGCCTGTGGCCCCGGTTTTTTTCTCTCCTGCAGCTCCCGCTGAGTTTGAGATTATTGTGCTCTCTCGTCGCGATGCAGGCTTGGATTTCTGGTCATCTTCACTTGCACCGACACTGGGGGCACTTCGATGACCTATCGTCGACGTGGAGGCAGTAGATCGGTGTGCTGAAGTGGACGAGCGAGTCGGCTGTTTGTTCAGAGTAGCCGAAGATCGAGCCGAGACAGTAGTACGAGCCACAGTCGAAGTAGCGGTTGCACTGGCATAGCGGGGAGTGGCTCTTGCTGCTGGAGCAGAGGTAGAGCCAGCTTTAGCGTGTGGTTCAGCCCCCTCAGCGGCTCGGTCTTTGGCTGGGGCGCTGTCCTTGTCGCTAGGCTGAGCAACAACGGTTGACATCTCGCTCTCTGGCATTGTGAGATGGTTATATATGCGTTGCGACGTACTAGCTGTAGGGCCTTGTCAATACCGCTCTACCGAGACACAGCAAGCTGGAGCAGATATACCTCGTGAAAAAGGGCGATGTTAATCACTGGATTCTCTATATGGTCATGATATGCAGTCGTGGGTCGCGTAAAGGGTGATTAAATAAAAGTCGTCCCTGGTCTGTAAAGGCTACAGGAGCTAAACGAAATTCAAGGCTTCGGTCTAGGAGAAGAAAAAAAGAAAAGAAGAAAAGAATGTTCTGCCGGCGGTCTATAAGATATCAGCTTAGGAGCAGAGCAGTAAAAGGGGCATGAACTACGGAGTAGCCCCACCGTCTCCCCCGCCGACCCCTCCAGGGTAAACTGCACTTACACCGATTTTATGTTGTAGTGGGCAACTGACGAGCAGCGTATGAGTGTATGGTGGTGTTTGAGGACCAAGGTAGTGCTGCGAGGTTTTATCGTATTACCGGTGAAGAGAGAGCGTATGGGGGGCGTTATCAACGATGTGTCCATGGTTTTTTTGCCCTTTTCTTTCGGGTTTCAATAGATGAAAGGCCTTTGCGTTTATATGCCGCTGTGGCAGCTAATCTGATAGCATGAGTAGCCGCCAAATCTGCACCACTGAATACCAGGGTAGTAGATAAATAGACCTAGCATGTATATTTGCATGCTCGTTAACATACCAAACCGGGTACTACACTCTAAATCAAGCAAACCACAGCTTGTTCTTAGCCAGCCGACAAAGTTCAAGTAGCAGGATACCTGGCCGCCTCTAGCTAGCAGCTGAGGTATTACTACTGCTACTACTAGTAGTACCTAGAGGTTCCAAGCGGGATGCGTCTGTACCCTGGTACTTCTTATCGCAAGCGCCTCTACATTAGTCATAGTTCCACTGCCGGACTAAGCATAGTAGGCAGTAGGCACGAGTGACGCTGCAAGCAAACTCGGATCCAATACACACTTCCTACCTATCCACCCAGTCTATGTGCTTGGGCAGGCGCTTAATCTTGGCTCAACTCACACGGCGACCCTGAGTGGACGGACGTGATCAATCATCGCTGATTCTCTGGCTCCCCTAGTCGGCTCACAAGGCTGCCCGGCCTATCCCCGTTTCCTCACTCAGATGAGGGAGTGACACCGTGCATCGCCAACAAGCGGCGCAAGAAGCGACGTGCGTCTGCTCTGCTGGATTCGACAACCTGCAAACGCCCAAGCTGTTCCCATCGCCCCTGCCTAGCTCGTGCTTGCCCTCCTGATGGCGTAGTTTGGGCATGGCAGAACAAACATCGGCAACCGACCACGAAGTGCGACTTCCCGCGTCATCTTTAACGCCCACTGCCCCGACTGCTGCGTCTGCCGCTGCGAGGCTTGCACCGGCCACCGTCCAAAGCCAAAGGTATGAAGCTCCGAAGGCTGCCACAAGCCTCCATCTACTGCGCACTGATGACCTCAACACGTTGAAGCCTTGCCCCGGCCTAACTCTCACACATACCTTCTGCGACAGCCTTGCCAGTTGAATTCCCACCTGCCTTCTGGCCCCCTCTACGTCTCATCCACCGCACACCAGTAGTGCTACGGTTGATGAGGCACTTCCCCTACATGCTGGGCCGTGCTATATATCCCAACCCACTGCTACGCCCTCCTGGCATAGACATCATCCTACGTGCTTCATTCACCCGGACCCGAGGTCTGGCACTGCTGTTTTCTTCATCCATGACAAGCACCCCTTCTATATAATATATACACGCACGAATTTACCCTGGCACTGCCGCCTTCGAACGCCTGACAACACCAACTGAGTTGCTTTGTCCACCGTCATCACGAACTGCCGCACCAAGGAAATTCTGCTCTTCTCCCCGCTTTCCTCTCCCACACTTCCTCTCTACCTCAGGCACGAGCACGCAAGTAGTCTCTTGGCAAGTTTCTCATGTCTCCCAGAATAACCAGGTCTTCTGCCCGCCAAGCAGCGAGCCAGGCGGCTCGAGCTTCTGCTGCATCCTCTGTCTCTGCCACCACACTGCCAGAGACTTCGCCTTCTACTGCTCCATCGCCTTCGCTATCCCGGAAGCGAAAAGTTTCGAGCGCTGAGAAAAGCCCTGCGACTGGATCACAATCTAGCTCTTCGGTTCGACGGTCCAAGAGACAGAAGATTCCTGAAGCTGCTGTTCCACCATCGGAAGCTGCAAATACCCTACCTCATCAAACCTCGCCGCGGAAAGGAAAAGTCTTAGTGGATATGGATGGCACCGAGTTAGTTGGAAGATCGTGTCTGTGAGAAATGGTGTTAATATTGAAAATAGGATGCCTGATATCCCCGCCGCTATGGACACATCCCCTAGTTCCAATGTTGCCAGTCGAAGATCGGCACGGACTAAGAGGAATTCTACCCAGTCTCAAGGTTAGTCTTTGACTCATCTGCTAGATGCCTTCTCCCTGGGACAATTACTAACTGTTATAAGGCACCACCTCCTCAATGCCGCTTAACCAGGACTCACATCAATTCACAGGCCATAGCTCTGACCAAGATACTACCATGGGCGGCATGGGCGAACCCAGAGGCCAAGCTTCTTCATCTTCACCCCAGAAGGGAGATACACTCGCTAGAAACAGCACAGGTGATAACCCGAGAGAGGGCGATTTGAGCAGGGGTAGTGGCGCAAGTCGTGTTGAACATCCTCCGTACAATGATGGGGACGAGGACGAAGAGGACGAGGACGAAGACGAAGAGGACGAAGAGGACGAAAATGACGATGATCCCTTCGGAGCATACGGGGGCCCAGGAGATCATGATTCCGGACTTTCCAGTACTTTGCGAGCACTTACCGGCATCATGACTGGGCTGTCAAGTCGATTACGGGAACTCCTTGGCAGCCTGCGTAGTGACGATTCATCTGTCCAAGTGATTGCCCTACAGGAGCTGTCTGAGATTTTCCTGGTGTCCAATGAAGATAACTTGTCGGGTCACTTTTCTCCTGATGCGTTCGTTAAGGAACTTGTTCAACTCATGGGCAAGGAAGAGAGCCCCGAGATCATGCTCCTAGCCTGTCGCTGTCTTGCGAACCTTATGGAGGCCCTACCCGCTAGCATTGCCAATGTTGTGTATGGAAATGCCGTCCCCGTTCTCTGCCAGAAGCTGCTCGAGATTTCGTTCATCGACCTGGCAGAACAAGCTCTTAGTACACTTGAGAAGATATCCACCGAGTACCCGTCTAGTATTGTCCGAGAAGGAGGGCTCACGGCATGCTTATCATATCTCGACTTTTTTGCAACCAGTACTCAGCGAACAGCGGTGACTACAGCAGCCAATTGCTGTCGGAATATTCCCGATGACTCATTCCCTGTAGTTAAGGATGTCATGCCAACCCTTCTTAATGTTCTCAACAGCAATGACCAGCGAGTTGTGGAGCAAGCTTCCTTGTGTGTCTCAGGGATCGTCGAAAGCTTCAAGTATCACCCGGCAAAGCTCGAAGAGTTGATCAGCGTCGATCTGCTGCGCGCGATATTACGTCTCCTTGTCCCAGGGACTACGAATCTCATTGGCCCTAACATTCATACTCAGTTTCTCCGCGTACTAGCCTTCACTGCTAGGGCAAGTGCCAGACTCTCTTCCGAGCTCTTCAAACTAAATGTTGTCGAGACACTCTATCAAATTTTGACGGGAGTCTCACCTCCTACGGGTACTGAGGATGTAGCATCTAAACTGGATAGTGTCATCATTATGCAGGCGCTTATCCATCGGCCTCGCGAGCAGATTGTGGAAGCCCTCAATGTTATATGTGAGCTGCTTCCAGACTTGCCTCGAAATGCGGGAATTGCGGTGGGAGACTTTATGGAGCTGCATGATGCGATTGAGCCGATTGCGCCGTCATCTTTGGGTAGTAGATGCGATCCGGGCCCTAACGACTGCCGGCTTGAACTTTTGGAAGACTGCAAGGACCAAGTTCGCCGTTTTGTGCTCATAATTTTCCCGACGTTAACGGATGCCTTTTCCAGCACAATAAACCTGAGTGTGCGCCAGAAAGTATTGACTGCTCAGATAAAGATGCTCTCTAATTTGGAACAAAGTCTCCTGGCTGAGGCACTAGCACCAGTGCCTTATGCATCCTTTTTAGCCGCTATTTTATCACAGCAAGATCATCCTTCCCTAGTTATTCTAGGCCTCCAAGCAACAGAATTACTTCTTACCCGCCTTGGCAGCGTTTACCGATACCAACTTTATCGCGAAGGCGTGATACTTGAGATTCAAAAACTTGCAGCTGACGACAGCCAGTCTGGCACCAAGGAAGATTCCAAGTTCAAGAATACGTCCCGACGTCTTAGTCTGCCTGATGCTGGCGATAGTAGCACTCCATCATCAGACCATGAGTCCGAAGACAATGATAACGAAGACGAAGAAGCAGAGGACGAGGGCGAAGGTGCTGCTCATGAACACCACTCTTCTGGCGGCGATGAAGAAGACGTCGATAATGAGCTCAATGCTAGTGACGTATCACCTGCTAGTTCTCGCGGCTCTTCGATGTCTCTGGATGCCACGTCTCTTCCCTATGTTTCCAATATCCAATTAATGAAGTCGCGTATTATCACCATCGCAAAGAAATTCTTAGAAGTTCACGAAAAAGACGGCCACGGCCAGGTCATGAGAACGCAAACAACGCAGATACTGCAAACTTTATCTCAGCTAGCAGAAGAGCTCGAGGCCTTTTACTTAGCACGTACGTCAAAGTTTTTATCTCCAGAAACTGGACGGACGCTTTTCTCCAAGCTTTCTAGTTACTTTGATACCGACATCCTGGAAAGCATTACTAGTGCAGAACTCCTAGCATCTGGTATAGTGAGAGTACTTCTTGCAATCTTTAGCAATCCTGACGAATCACTGGCACATTCTGCCCAAGCAAACTTTTTGGAAGTATTCATGAATCCTGCGGTGAAGTCCAAGCCCGGAACTGGCGTTAGGGAATCACAAGCAACACCATTCGGCGTATTAATTCATAAATTACAAGATTTGCTCAGTAGGTCAGAGCATTTTGAAGTCATTACTGTTCATCAAAATAGCTTTGATGGCAATCGCAGCAGCCCCGCGTCGATGTTGGGTAAGCAGATCAAACTCAGGCTGGTTGCCGATGATGAGCTGTCGATTCCCCGATCTTATCGAAACATAATGGTTTCCATTCATGCAATCGCCACTTTCAAGTCCCTTGATGATTATCTTCGTCCACGAATTAGCCTGGCAGAGCGGCCAAGGATCTCCCGAAGGGATGGGCTCTCCAGAGCCCTTGCGGCTATAGCTAACTCTAGCCTATCGCAGAACTTTGCTGCAGGCGCCGGTTTAACTGGATCTACTACGCAACCTCCTTTGCCTCTAGCTTCAGGGTCTTCGGGTTCCCGGTTTTCTGGAGGAGCCAACAGTAAACTATCATCTCATCTGGGAGAGATAGCCAACTCGCAACCTGCCGGGCCGTCTAGCGATAAAGGATCGCTACGACGCTCTTCACGGCTTTTTAGGTCATCTGCAGAAATACCAAATTCTTCGACTCGTCCTCCTGATGAAGACAAGGCCCCACAGCCTACTCTGGAGTGTGCAGATGAGAAACAGCTTACTGATGACGACGATGACGACGACGACGATGCAGGCGACAGTACTGCTCTTGACGCGATTGTTGGCGAGCTTGATGAAGATATGGAAGGAAGAGGAGAGCCGGATCCATCGGCCGTAAACCTCGAAGTTGCCTCTGGAAATAACATCATCACACGAAAAGAGGATGGCACGAGAGTTCCGACACCCACTGGATCAAGATTCAAGGACTATGGCTCGTATAAGCACAGCAGCCCTGCAGCGTCTCATTCTTCATCGCGACAGGCCTCATACTCTTCAATACTCCAATCTGCTCCTCAAGATTGGTATATTGAGTTCACTCTGGATGACAAGGTTATTCCAAATGAGACAACTATATATCGTGCTGTTCATATGTCGACATCCTCTTCAGATGACCACAACAATAAAAACATTTGGTCATCCACACATCCCATTAAATTTCGAAGAGTCTCTGGACAGCCTCCTGCAGAGTCTAGACCGACCAACTTCAATATCGAAGCTGATGGAGAAGTAGAGAATGGGATTTCGGCATCACTAGCGAAGCACCCAATAACTGCCTCTATCCTGCAGCTTCTTAATATCCTTCACGACCTCAATGCTAACATAGAAGACGTTTTAATCGAAAATAGGAACAGTATGGTTGGCCTCCGTGTTGAGCCATTGTCTCAATTCGTAAATACAAAGCTTACGGCTAAGCTAAATCGCCAATTAGAGGAGCCGTTAATCGTCGCGAGCAGCTGCTTGCCGAGCTGGTCCGAAGATTTAGCACGTCTCTACCCCTTTTTGTTCCCCTTCGAGACTCGGCACCTCTTTCTTCAGTCAACATCATTCGGATATGCCCGGTCAATGGCTCGCTGGCAGAACGCACAGTCGACGGATGATAACCGGCGAGATCGCTCTAATGAACGGCCGTTCTTAGGCCGACTTCAGAGGCAGAAAGTCCGTATCTCCCGACTCAAGATCCTCGAGTCAGCGTTGAAAGTGATGGAGCTATACGGCGCTTCCCAGAGTATATTGGAAGTCGAATATTTTGAAGAAGTTGGTACTGGCTTAGGCCCGACGCTCGAATTCTACTCTACAGTATCCAAAGAGTTTTCCAAGAAAAAGCTCAAGCTTTGGCGAGAAGTCGACTCCGCCGGGTCAGACGAGTTTGTAATGGGGCAGACGGGGCTATTTCCCCGGCCTCTCAGCCCCGAGGAGGCAACAACGCCAAATGGAGAACGTATTCTTCATTTATTCAAGGCCCTTGGCAAATTTGTAGCCCGATCAATGATTGACTCACGCATAATTGATATACACTTCAACCCGATATTTTTCAGAATTGGAGATACATCCTTGACTGGTGTCAAGCCCTCCTTGGGAGCAGTAAAAATTGTCGACCCAGGTCTTGCTCGCTCGCTGAAAACAATCAAGAAGTTTGTGTTGGCCAAGAAAGAGATCGATGAAAACCCGAACCTCACGCCAGCACAGAAAGTCGCTGATACAGAGGCAATCATGATCGACAATGCGAGGCTAGAGGACTTCTGCCTCGATTTTACGCTGCCCGGCTACCCCGAAATTGAACTTGAGGAGCATGGCTCTTTGAAGCGAGTTACTATTGAGAATGTTGATACCTACTTAGAAAAAGTCATTGATATGACTTTAGGGGCTGGAGTTAAACGCCAAATTGATGCTTTCCGTACTGGCTTCTCGCAGGTGTTCCCGTATACCGCACTGAGAGCTTTCACCCCAGATGAATTGGTATCGTTGTTTGGCCAAGTAGAGGAAGACTGGAGCCTTGAGAGTGAGTGCCTGTATATCTTGGACAATATTGAAGGGAGAATAACTGACGTGAAATATTTAGCCCTCATGGATTCTATAAAGGCGGATCATGGCTACAACATGGACAGTCGAAGCGTGAAGAACCTACTGCAGGCGATGAGCGAGCTGGATCTCAAACAGCGACGAGATTTTCTACAATTCACCACCGGTAGTCCAAAGCTTCCTATTGGCGGTAAGTTTTTTACATTCCGATGTGGGTTATTGAATATGATGCTTACTGTGTACTAGGTTTCAAAAGTTTAACTCCGATGTTTACCGTTGTTTGTAAACCTAGCGAGCCTCCGTACACCTCCGACGCCTATCTACCGAGTGTCATGACGTGCGTGAATTATCTGAAGCTTCCAGATTATACGACGATGGATATCCTGAAGAAACAGCTGTATACTGCAATCAGGGAAGGACAGGGAGCTTTCCATTTGTCATGAGTTGCTGAAATCAGGGCCATTAGATCCGTGGCAGTATGGCATGCGGCAAAAAACTAGTTGGGAAAAAAAAGATTCTATTAATTCTAAATAGTAGATATATATTCGATGGAGAATGATAGATTTAGTCCACCACTTGGGTGAACATATTTTACACCAATGATGAATTTAAACTGCAGCACGGTCATCTCGAAGATATATGCTAAGCAAATTGTCCCGCCGGCATCCTCAGCGTGTTACCCTCCCTTATACGAAGAGGCATGGATAGAGCTGTTGAATTGTAGGACAGTAGAGTTCACCACTGGATGAATGCTAGAGCGGCCATTACACTTAGGAACCCTCCATGGTCTCACGAGAGCGTAGAATTAGTTAGCATTGTCGCTACCAAATCCTCATATTATAGCTTTCATGCTAGTTTGTATGTATTATAGTTGCTTATACGGAAAGGCTTTCAAGACGCTATCGATAATTAAGAAAGGGTATACATGTTGGAAAGTTTGGTAATTCAAGCAGAGATAATAGCGCAGGCCTAGCTTTCTGGTCATTCTGGTTTTATTTCAACGCTCTAAAGGCATTAAAGTTTATCGCTAATCAAACTGTCGGAGAGCATTTGGCTCTTGGTCAAAAGCGGAGATGAGCCAAGGACAGCACTGGCTGGGAGAGTAGCTGCAGAGCTCCCATGGTCCTGGAAGATTAAGCTGCTTGGCTGACCAGCATCATGATCGTTGATGTAAGTATCGGTTTCGGCTGACTGCAGAGTGGCAGCAGAACTACGTGTGTCCTTGCGGCTGGATGATCGGTAATCTGATACTTGGCTAATATCGTCCCTTCCATCATCTCCGCTCGCTCTTTGTAATTCACCGTCGTCAAAAGTGGCGCATCTTAGATTCCACAGAAGTTGACCCGCTATAGCTGGAGGAAGGTAAATGTATCGTTGGACAGTGCCGTTTACCCACCCTTCCTCTTGCATATCACGTTCTTCTAATGCGTTATTGAGCTGATAGACTTGGTCAATGCGGTAGTCCCAGCCATGGCCGCGTGGCCTGCCAGGCTGTATGCAGGCCATGTAGCGTAATATACCAAGGCTGAACAGCCAGAACCGCTGGACTTGTTCGGGCACTCGATAAGCAAGATGAAGAAATGACTCCGAGCCGCTAATTATGAGGTCAAGGACTTCGGAAGGTGTGGGAAGGAGGATATCCGTACGCGCAGATACCGGAGCGAGGGACTGGAGAATATGAAGTGGTACGCGCTGAGACTCAAAGATCTGACCCTGACTAGGTAGTTCTGTATGCGCTGGAGTGTGGAATTTTTGCCCTTGGCTGGGATTGGTTTGATCATCGGAGCCAACTTGCGTCTTTGGTGATGATGGCGATGACGGTAATGAGAAGGCAGGGGTTTGTGGTATAGCGGTATGCTGGGTTTGGGTATCTTCCATCGAGAAGTCATTTTTATTATTCGTAGTTCCATTAGATGGTGTGAAGGCAAGCGAATTCTGAGATGCCATCAGCTGTCTTCTGGCCGACGAATTCCCAGGGGTTAGTTCCGGGTGCTCCAAAGAAGCCAGTTCCTCCAAGATAAGCTGAGTCTCGTGGCCAGCGTAGAGCGTTTCTTGGTGTATTAGTCTATTAAAATCTCTCAGCTGCAGCTCCTCATCGTCTTCGTCCGAGTCTGGAATTTCTCGGTCATCGGCCTCCGTAGCTGCAAAATGGACATGTGCTGATAACGCTGTGCCCTCTTCTTGAGAGCTCTGGGTACTTCTTAATTCCTCCAGATTTCTACGCAGGTGCGCACGGCGCCGTGGGGAATCTCTCACTATATTCAGCGAATCGGCCCATGACACAGATCGAGGAGGCGCCGTAGCAGCCTCCCGTACATCTTCAGGCCATCGTGGGGGAGAGATGTTGACCCCGGCTGACGCATCATCATCATCATCATCGCCAGAGCTGTCGTAAGTTGAACCACAAGAATCTTGGATAATGACTGTATCTTCTCTTGTCGTCAACTCTTGCGGCTCTGTTGTCAACCGAGATTTAGATTCCCTTTGTGGAACGGTCAAGCCACTCTTGTCATAGGCTGTCCCGTCTTCATCTGAGGCATTGTCATCCATCAAGGTTGCATCTTCACCAAACGAAGAGACGAAGCTCATTTGTGTCAACGTCTGCTGCTTCAGTGACGAGCTCTCTCGCTTCAATGACGAAACCTCTCGCTTCTGGATCCCATTGCTCTGGCCCCGAACTCTCCTGCGCCTCGTGGGGAAACGGACCTGCTTGGTAGAGCCCGTCGAGCGATATTCCCGACCTTGTCGAGCAGTTTCGCTAGAGCGAGGTTCTGGGGCCATGACTATCACCAAGGGAGAAAGAACAATGCCAAGCTATGCATTGACCAGGAGTAGAAACTGGGATAGATGGAGAGAGCAGTGGGAAGATTCAATCGTGGCTCAAACACGCATCTGCACACAGACGCCTTGTGATCAAGTTTTCTGCGGAGAGGCTGCAGCCAAAGCAACACCCAAAACTGGCTCTCTGGAGCTTCAAAGACATTAGCACCGTCATTAGATATGATTGACCATAGAGACATATGTGAAATGGATGCAGCGTGGTTTCCACCCAGGGTTCATCCGCCGCCTATGTGTGCTATAATGCCATGGATTTCAAAAGTTTGATGTTGATAAAAGTGGAAAGAAGAAGAAGAAGAAGAAGAAGAAGAAGAGAGAGAGAGAGAGAGAGAGAGAGAAAGAAAGAAAGAAAGAGAAAGAAGCTATCATAAAGCCGTCATGGCAGTGTCTTGTCTCTTTGTTTGTCCCTCGAATCGTGCCAAACCACACTCTAGCGAATCTGTCGTTGCACGGCACGCTTAGACGTATCCGATCGCTTTTGTATGGGCAAGGGCGTTGTCGCGTCGATTCCCCGGAATTTTTCAGGGAGTTCACGCACTCAGACCCACCATCGAAATGGGTTAGATATCTCATGCAAGGTACGGAGCGCTGCAGTACGTACTGCACTCGTCTTTATCTTCTAATCACCCATCCTTGGTTTGCTGGAATTTTACAATATTCAATTCTTTTAGGTATTAAAAATTATATCGAGCCCTATCTTATCCCAAAAGCAAGCCGCTACTTTTTTGGTGCTTCATGTCCTTGATGCAGCGCGAGCTTTTTTATATTCATGCCTTCTATACCGCGTATTTTTTTTTACGCCATCTATGTAGACCCATTTGCTTCGTATTTACTTACACACCACATGCTAGAAACAACATAAGCGAAAGAAAACAACAACGCACCCACCAGGATAACCTAATCCTTTCTTTATAAACGTTCAGTGTCATCGGTTCTTTTTAAATCTGTCAAGAAATCTCGCGTAACTTCGAAGCTCAGCCAGCTCGATGCCATGCTGGGAGCTACTTTGAGGAGATTGGGCACGATGCCCTTATACAGCCCCTTAATACCCTCTTGAAGGATAATGACACGGACTGCATCAGTGATGGATTTGTACTGGTAGCCCATGCCTGACATGGTATTGATCTGGAAACGTCGCCGTAGTACGTCACTATGTAATTGTTTAGTATGAAATTAGGCGTGGAACAAAGGCAGACAAGGCAATCGGTGCTACTTACAATGGATACGTGCAGGTTTGAGCAACTGCGCCAGAGATGGCACCCGCCAAAAGCTTGCGAAGGGCACTAGGGTTCTTGTCGCCTTCGGGCGTAAATGCCTGGCGGATCGACTCATACACCATAAAGTTGAGGCCAACCTATAAAATTGTCAGCATCCTTCACATCTCCGGGCATGTTGGGCGACACCAATGAGACGTACATAAGGGGCCACTCCGGCAACAGTTGGGATGATGCCACGGTACAAAGCAGATACACCTCCCTCCGTCTTGTACATGGAAACCATGGTTGCCCACATTCCGGGTAATTTCTCCGGCCTCGCTCCTAATTCTGCAAAGCTTGCTGACTGAATAGATAACCGTGTTCGGACGATGTCGAGAGGATAAGTCAAGAAGACTGACGTTATTCCCGCCAGTCCACCACAAACTAGGCGGGCAACGGGTGTTAGGTCAGTTCCTAGATATGGCTCGAACATGTTCTGAATATGCAGTTAGACAGGCTAATATTCCATATAAGGGTACGGATTGCTGGTGCTGCTCCCGCCATATATGGTTGGCATACCTTCTTGTAAAAGTTGTAACTGCTGAATTGCACTGCAGAGTAGGGAACAATGCGGATGCAGTTTGTTCCATTTCCTCGCATAAAGCCCCTCCAACCCTCTTCTCGCCACATTTTCCCAAGGGCCTGGCCGACAGAGAGCTTGTAAGCATCTCGTCCGGCACTCTGTATTTGCATCAGAATCTTGAGTCTTTCTAGCGGCGATACCACCGTTCGGGAGACGGCGCCAGCTACACCTCCACCACAGAAGGCGGCAACTATCGGCTGAGACATCGTATCTCGAAACTGCATCGACCAATCGCTGCGGGCAGATGGTTTCATCGCGTCTGGGATTGACTATACAAATGAATTAGTTGCCGAACATACACACGCACGGCGGCAGTCTGTATCAAGTGTTGCGTACGGCTGACATGATGGCGACAAAGTTAATTGTACCAACGCTTCGATTCAAATCTTCGACTGAGTCTCAAATTGAGGATCTAGAAGCAGGCGATTTCGCTATGGCGGCAGCATTGGTCCGCGACCACTCAGCGCTGCCCGTCAAAGTATAATTTAGAAAATCGTAATTGTTGCAAGAGAAGTTGTATTAATGAGCGACTCGGAAATCGAAAATGCATGTAGCATGCTCGTAAAGTAAAGCCTCGGAACTGGTACGCTGCGGTTTCTATTGACGATGCATTCGAGAGGACATTTGACCGTGGTAATGCTTGGCTAGCTGTCGCCTTTTCTCGATCTCGAGGGATTTGGTAGCACCAATATTAGTATATATATATATATATAGTATAAGCAAGTTAAAAATAGTGTCTCTAGGCGACAGCAACGACCTCTGTCAAAGCCCTAGCTGAACGACGTTCCGAATTGAAGCAAACAAATGTGCAAATGAAAAGGTTCGTCAACTATGATTATGCGTTGGCGCCTGTGTGCGTGTGCTTTGCTTCGGGTTATCATCGGCGCCTGTTCTGTTGATTTAGCGGCTTTGGAATAGGAGTACTCCGTATTGAATCCAATCCTAATACTGCTATGACTGGGTATTAGCGGCAAGGAGGCCAGACCGGATGCTGAGATGACGAGCGGAAGTGCTACCAGGACCCCACCAATCTATTGGCTTACCTAACAACTTAGGTCACATTTTGGCAGCTTAGTCTGGAGAAAGGCATGAACATTGTTTGCCATGTAGGCTAAGTAGGCAGACAGTAGTAGTACGTAGTTAAAATGCTATAAATATGATAGGTCATTATAAATATTCCGTAAGCACTCATCGTCGTCTGGTGCATTGTATTGTGGCTCTAAATAGATTCTGAGAAATCTCGTCGTGGCTTGTAACACGAGCTGCTATAACGTACTTACGTATGTAGATTAGCAGCTGCGGATTATACACCACCATAGCGTGTGCGCCAGGCGCGTTGGCCGGCTCTTTATTTTCTTCATACCACTACCGATCCCATTGGCAGCCACCCATCGCAGCTATCATCTCAAACCCGCCCCTCTCCTATTTGTTCGCCTCGATCATCCAATTCGTTGCAATGTCGCGCAAGCGTAGCGCATCCGTCATTTCCGTTGATTCGGATACAAAACGACCCAAGCATGCGACCCAAGAAGACGAGCCTTCCAGCGGACAGCAACTTGGAACGACCCAAAACCGAACAGAGCGGGATGCTTCTTCAGAATGGGCAGGCGAAGAGTCTTTTTCAGCAGTGCCTTCTCTATCTCCAACCCTACATCACATTGCCCGCTGCGGTATTCAGCGTTCTATTGCCGTGGTCCTGGCGCATAATGGATTTCAGTCAGCCAGTCCCGAGGCCCTTGAGAGCTTCACAGGAGCGGTCGAGATGTGTAGGCACCCATCATGGTTCTATCGTCGTTTATCTTTTCGAACCTAACGTACCTGTATCAATAGATTTGAGTTCCGTTATCGAGGAAGTCAAGCGGTTCGCAATATCATCGCGGCGCGAAGCTCCCATCCCGTCCGACTTTGAACTCATGCTCAGGCACCATAATTTAACACTTTCATCTCTGAAACCGCACATCAAGGGCCGACTTAGCAATCAAGATACGACTGATCGCAGTGAAAACCTCATCACCATCGATGACACATTCAACTCACTGCCGCTCCTTGGCGACGAGCTCAGCGGCCAACCAGACAAAGAGAGCAAGACCTTTATACCATCCTCTTTTCCCGGTTTTCCGAGCACACACACCTACAAGTTTACACCGCAAGAAGATAGAAGGACGCGCGATTCCAAACAGATTAGAGAAGACGCGGCTAAGAGTGCGCAGCTTGGCGAAGATGCATTGCGCAGACTGGTTCGGGCTTCGAAAATGCGCAAACAAAAAGAAGTCAAGTCATTGGTCGAGCGTGATAGTCAGGGCAAAGAGCGTTTTCGATTATGGGAGTCGACTATGAAGCGATTCATGGGGGGCGATCGTTTCAGAGACCACGCCGATAAAGTGGAAATCGCAGACCACAGCATGCTTGTGAATGCTGATACTAAATTCTCACGAAGAGAGGTATCTCGCCTAGGCAAGAAGCCCAATGTTTTATAATGCATTTATATGTTAGCGGCTTGGTACCAGTCACTATACCTCTCTGTCCACTGATGAACGAGTGGATAAAAACCTTGAATTTTTTTTTCCCCCTCGTATGGCTTGTTTTAGCATTTATTATTATTATACCCGAAGCATCATTCTAGCTTAGCTTCACATAGCAAGATACATAAGGGAATGAATACAAATAGAGGATTGATACAAATACAAGACTGGAGCTTGTTTCACGATACATGCACTTAGTAGCTTGGCTTGAACAGTATGAAATTGTAGTATTCCTTTTTCCCTTAGTACTTAGTAGAAACAGCAGTTAAGAACCATCTTCTATATTAGAAGCGAATTGTGTCCAGTACCTTTTTTTAGTATTTCTGTCACACACACTGTTGCCCCAATCTCAGTTACAGTTTGAGGAAGAAGCTAACTATGTGATGCCCTATATTCCACCACGTCCCAGCCAAGCTTCCCCATCTCTCCCTACCTATCCCGGCAACATTTATGCCCGGGACATAACGCCCCAAGCACGGATGATGTTGTCAGTGTAACCAGCGAACAGAGTTTGGCCATCAGCGGACCAGGCCAAGCTGATACACTCGGGCTCCCGGCTCTTCTTGCCAACGGAGGTGAACTCAGGCTTCAGCTCATCAACCTTGCTCTTCTTCTCAAGGTCGAAAATGATGATGCTGCTGGCGGTGGCGGCGCAGAGCCAGTATCGGTTAGGAGAGAAGACGAGGGCGTGGATCTCGTCGTTGGCGTTGAGAGAGTACAGGTGCTTGGATTCGTTCAGGTCCCAGAGCATGGTGGTACCGTCCTTGCCACCAGAGGCGCAAAGAGAGCCATCAGGGGAGATGGTGACGGTGTTGATATAGCCGGTGTGGCCGATGTGGTCGGTCTGCAGCTTGCAGGTAGAGAGCTCCCAGACCTGGAAATTTGTTAACATCCAGACGACATATATAGATGGAGAATAGCACAAAGGGGGCATGTTAAATAGGATAAAAAAGAAAACCAAATTCAGGGCAAAAGGTTATGTTTGTCTCATGGCCATTTCTGGCTCTGAAGTAGCAAATACTTGAAAAGTTGCAATACATCATAAAGTGGTGCGCATCGTAACGGGAGAGATATAGGGCAAAATCAACAGGGATTCGTACCTTGACCAGCTTGTCCCAACCGGAGGAGACAATGACGGGGTTCTGAGGGTTGGGGCTGAATCGGACGCAAGAAACCCACTCAGTGTGGCCCTTGTCGGTGATGGTGTACTTGCAGTCACCGAGGGTGTTCCACAGCTTGATGGTGCGGTCACGAGAGCCAGAGACGATCTGTCGGTTGTCGGCGGAGAAGGATACGGAAAGAACGTCGTTGGTGTGGCCGACGAATCTTCGGGTGGTGGTGCCGGTAGCGAGCTCCCACAGACGGAGAGTCTTGTCCCATGAAGCAGACAGGGCGTAAGCGCCGTCAGAGGAGATAACCTAACCAATCAACTGCAATCAGCCTCCAAGACTCTTTTCGTAGTATAATCAACGGAATTCGAGTGGACGTACACAGTCGGACACAATGTGAGAGTGGCCGTGGAGAGATCTCTTGGGGTAACCGTACTGGGTCTCGTCGCGGGTGAGGTTCCAGATGATCAGGGTCTTGTCTCGGCTACCAGACAGGAGCATGTTGGGGCTGTTTCTCGTTAGTTCAAAAGATCGATTGCATTCGTGAGAGTTGCGATCCCAGCATACTTCTCCATTGAAGTGGCCAAGCTGGTAACCCAGCCATTCTGCATCAAATGTCAGTCTCATTCCGAATCATGAGAAAGGGCAGCGAGGGGGAGGAATAATCGTACGTGGCCCTCGAGGGTACCCTTCAGGATCAGTTGTTCAGCCATTTTGATACAGCCTCGCCCGCAAAGAATTCAGAGAGATGGGTGAGAAGAGAGAAATTTAGCTGAGAAACCACTTCTCTTCCGCAAAAGACTGTCTCTAGTTGGGGGGGAAGAATTTGGGAATTTTTTGTGTGGAAGATTAGGGCCACAATGCGATTGGCCAACCTGCTGACTAAGAGCTATCAGTTCGTTATCAAAAAAGTTACGAGCATCGGCATAGTGGGGTTGAATCAGTGAGAAAAGATGGACACAGACATGGAGTGTCCCTTAGCGTGGATTGCTTGTTTGGACATGTTGGATTGCCAAGGGGTCTGCAAAAAATAGGGACCGTAAAATGAATATTCACATACAAATTGGCAATAAGCGCATACGTTTGTGAAAAAGGTTGCTAGCGTATATATGTGTATATTTACCGTCTTGTGTGTTCAAATTCTTCGGATTCCCTGTTTTTTTTTGCAGACCCCTTGACGGCCTCTTAAGTTGAAGCCCTTCGATCTTCTCCTTTATCTCTTGCTTTCTCTATTTATCTGGCATGTGAAGCCAATCGGTTTCGTGAAATCTAGTAGTGAAGTCAACTCTTTTGAAGACTTTCCTACCCAGTAATAGACCGTTGACTATGACCATCAAAGATTAACTGAGAAAGTAAGGAACCGCTGCCGTGAACTTCAAAATTTCAGAGTGCAGGGGAAGTCTCAGACACTCTTAAACGCTGTTTGATGCTACAATTCTATTAATGCAGAACACAGCCTTGTAAGATACTAGACGCTGGCACCTAGCTACCTATGACTCTACTGGCATTTGTCTAGTACAACCAATGCTCTATAGCTGGTTGACTTTGTGATCTATCTGGACATGGCTTAATATATGATGCAATAAAGATGAAAAAAATGCTATCGGCCGTCATTGGAATTTCGGGTGAAAATCTTTACTCACGCAGTTCCTGCTGTAAATTTTTTCACAGGTGGTACGAATCACTTGCCTTATGGATACATAAGAAGGTACTCAAACCAAGAAGCTTGCGTTCATCCCTCGTTTATGTCGTTTGAGAGGCGAAAATGGTTTGGGGGCGCTTCCTGAGTTGAAAGCACTTCCCATGCCTGACTTTAGTTTCCTGGCCCGGCCAGGTTGTGCCTCTGTGGGCTGGGTTCCCTCACCAGTTTCATCTTCTTCTATTATAGTATTAGCCTTGTTTATCAGCTTTCTCCTCCTCTTCTTTTGCTCGAATTCAACGGCACGGTCAGTAGTGGTAGACTCGTGAAGCTTGATTCGTTTATGAAGAGCTGTTTCTTTTGAGTCGACTGCTTTCAACATTCCTTCGCCATTTGTATCTTCGGGGTTTTCGTCCCCCGCGTCCTGACTGGGAGCTGCAGGCTTGGCTGCAGGGACTTCATCTGATGTTGCTTCTGGCTTGGGTTGCGTTTCAGCAGGCTTGGACCCCAGTTTATCTCGAGGTCTTAGAGGTGTAGAAGCCACCAGTCCCGTAACCGGTGCTGCTGTAGACCGAGTCTCAGTTTTCTTTGCTACCCGGAGTGGTGACGGATCATCGCCCTCTTGTAGAAGTATGTCATCAAACGTTAAGCTACGGCGCCCAGTAGCTTCACCAGCACCCTTTATTTTATTGAGTAGTGGTGTAATTGAAAACGTTGATTTTTCTCCCATCTTCGCTTGCTCTGTTGCACGCTTCCTTGCCACTCTTTTGCGGGGCATCTTCTCCTTCTCAGGCGGTGGAGATTTCGTTGCGGCATCTTGGTTGGAAATATTACCATCACCTGGTCTATCTTTCGGGCCAGAGTGTGACGCTTGCCGTAGCTCTCGTAGCTCTGTTTGTGTGTCTTTCAATTTCCTCTCTAATGCCAATACTTGTTCCTCCAATTTATTGTTTTTGCGTTTGGATTCATCAAGTTGCTTCTGATGGTTCACTTTCATCCTTTCGCGATGCCGTTCTTCCTCCGCTATTCGTTCGGTAGTTTTGTCTAGCATTGATTGCAGTTTAATAGTTTCTTCGTTTGTATCGTTTGATTTTGACTGTGCCTCGCTCGCAGACTCTGGCAAGTGTTTTTGCGGTTGCTGGTTCGATGTCGATTTCTCGTCGTCCGCAACCCGTAGCCGTAAAAGCTTTACTTCTGATCGCAGCTCTCGAAGCTCTTTTGTAAGTGCAGCATTCTCTTCGACAGCCCTGCTCGAGCTTTCTGCAGTCGCCGCACTCGTTTCTGCCCCCGTCTTTGGCCTCTTAGTACGTGTGCTGTGATGTTTCTTGGTTTTAGAAATGACCTACATCCTCAATTGGGAGATTTTTAATCTGTTCATCTTCAGAAGTAACCTGCGAATTTATTGCATCAAGCTTGACGCGTAGTCTATCGTTCCTCCTTGATAGAGTTTTTATTTCGTCAATCTTGGCGGCGCATCGATCCTGCAGCTGAGTATTTTCATCTTCAAGCAGCAACACTCGGAGCTCTAATCGGCGAGCTTCTTCGTCTCGGTCTATGAGTTCGGTGTCGTGGCGACTCTTCTGATATTGGATTTCAAGGTCATGGAGACGCGTCGTCCGCTTGATGCATAACATAAGCACAATGTCAAAGTCAAAGTAGCGCTGGCTTATAAGGGGATGGCTACCTCAATTGAGTGGTCACTCATGGCTGTCGTTTCATTCGGGAGCTAATGGGAATGAGGCCGTACACAAGAATATCGATGGAAAAGAAAAGAAAAATAAGATACGGAGTAAATCTGTCGATTAATGTGTACTCCTAGATGGTATGGCGTTCAACGTTCTACTCGCCCAGAGTGTCTGACATAGAAAGTTGATGGTCGATGCTGGACTATTACTTTTAGCGCCTAGCGCCGAATCGGTTGCTCTCGCTTGGGCGAGATCTGGGAGGTATTGAGTACTTAAAGGGCAGCCAGATTCGAGCGATTGGTACACCAACTTTGGAGTACCTTGACAGGGCAGTTGAATCAAACTATGCAAAGGATGCGCTAGCCGTTTATGGTCAGGCGCCGCGCTATACTCGTAGCTTGTATTATGTAGCCGCGAAACAAGAACACCTTGATGACAGCACAGGAACACTTGGCAGCAACAACAGCTGCGTCTATACGGACAGCTACACACAACCACGAAGATGCGTATCTTCCAGTCAATTCTTCCTCTGTGCCTGCTATTTGCTGGGGGCTTTGCGAAGAAGGATCGATATGAGGAATTTCATCAGCTTTCTCAACGCTCCTCGCCTTTGAAGCTGAATGATGCCACATATACTTCTTTGACGGCCGCTCCAAGAAATCATAGCGTGGCTGTCCTCCTTACTGCTTTGGAAACCAGGTTCGGCTGCCAGCTTTGCCAAGAGTTTGCGCCTGAATGGGAGATTCTTGGACGAAGTTGGATTCGAGGCGATAAAGCTGGCGAGTCGCGACTCATCTTTGGTACACTGGATTTCGCTGATGGTCGAGAGACTTTCATTTCGGTACGTAGTGAATATCTCAATCCGGAGAAGGTTAGTTATTCTATAGCAATGCTAATGTATCAATTCATATCACAGCTTGGCCTCCAAACCGCCCCGGTGCTCCTCCTCTTTAACCCGACTATTGGACCTCATGCCGCTGCCTCCCCAGAGCCTGTTCGATACGACTTTACGGCAGGGTGAGTAATCATGCGAATCTCTCTGCTGTTATATATTGCAACTGATGTTGACCAATTCCAGGCCTTCAGCAGCTGAGCAAGTTCATTCCTGGCTATCTCGGCAGCTTCCCAACAGGCCACACCCGCCTGTGCAACGACCCTTCAACTGGCTTCGATGGGCCTCCACCGTGACTATTGTCCTCGGCGTTGGCACTGCGTTAGCAAGTGCATCTTCCTATGTGCTGCCCATCATCCAAAACCGCAATATTTGGGCCTCCATCAGCCTGATCGCTATTCTCCTCTTCATTAGTGGCCATATGTTCAACCATATTCGGAAAGTTCCTTATATTGTTGGAGATGGCCATGGCGGCGTTAGCTATATTGCAGGAGGCTTCCAAAACCAACTTGGATTAGAAACACAAATCGTGGCTGCTATCTGTAAGACAAAGTCCTTTGCCCTCCATTTCGTATATGAAACTAACGTGCTCACACGATAGACGGTGTGCTCTCATTCTGTGCCATTACCTTAGCCGTCAAAGTTCCTCGCATGGCCGATTCCAAGACTCAGCAGGTCGCGGTTGTCGTTTGGAGCGTTATACTATTCCTCGTATACAGCTTCCTCCTAAGCGTCTTCCGCGTCAAGAACTCTGGCTACCCATTCTCTTTGCCTCCTTTCATGTAAATGGAGTGGGACAAGAAATATCAAGGCAAGATTTTATACAATTAGCTAGAGCCTAATTGATAAATTACTGCACTTGCTGTGCAGGTATCAACACCTTGAAGTATGGATCATCTATATCGCAGTAGGGAAGAGCGTTTGCATTGGGTATAGCCACTGGCAGTACGAGCTACGATTGAGATTCGCAAGCTCGTTCCGCTGGCTTGTGAGAAAGGCCTTTGGCCAGTGTCGTGGAAAATATAACTACATTGAAGTAAAGGCATTTTCATCTAGACACCGCAACTTTAAATAGAGCAAAAAAAAACCTTTTTTAAGCAATCAATGCTATTGTCATGTAAGTGCGGCAGGAGATATCGATCGACCCGTGGGTCCGATTGCAGCATCTGCTTCACATGCAACTCGGTCGCTGCCCCGTTGGCGCATTGTCCCTTAACCAGCCTAGCGCCACGTTATTGTATGCAGCCCTCTCTGCGAAGCAACTTTGTCGTGCTTCAGCACATAACTGCAAAGCAGGCTTGACCCGATTATCACTAGCGGGGTTTAGGTGGGTGGCTGAGTCATCATACCCTAATTGCCTCCACTGACCGCTTTGCCTGAGTCCCGCTTTGAGCCAATCAGAGCACCAATCGAGATCGAAAGCCCTGAAATTTTTGGCTGGAAAGTTCGCCTTGTATTCCCAGACATTTTCGACTTCGACTTTCAAGCCCATCATCAAGCTTTTCAGCACCAGTCGTCGCCATGGGTACGTGAAAGAACTGACATAGCCTGCGTATGCGAGTGGTGATGATACCTTGTGTATCTCTCTGCGATCTGGGCGCTCTCTTCTGAGAAGATGAGCAGCCACATTTGAGCATGAACCATCTGGCTGATACGGTTTCCAATTTCCAGGTATCGATCTCGACCGCCACCACGTCAAGGGCACTCACCGCCAGGCCCCCAAGAGCGACAATGTCTACTTGAAGCTCCTGGTCAAGCTTTACCGCTTCCTGGCCCGTAAGTTTATATCGAAGACAATGAAATTGGCGATTTCGCGGTGGCTGTATTGAGCGACTAACAATTGTGCCCCAGGCCGAACCGATGCCGCCTTCAACAAGGTTATCCTTCGACGACTCTTCATGTCCAAGATCAACCGCCCTCCCGTTTCTCTGTCCCGCATTGTTTCCAACATCAACAAGGAGGGCGAGAAGCGCACCGTCGTCATCGTCGGCACCGTCACCGATGACAACCGACTTCTGAGCTTCCCCAAGGCCACCATCGCCGCTCTTCGATTCACTGCCACTGCCCGTGCCCGAATTGCCGCCGCCGGTGGTGAGGCCATCACCCTGGACCAGCTCGCTCTCCGTGCTCCTACCGGAAGCAACACTCTGATCCTCCGTGGACCTAAGAACAGCCGTGAGGCCTTCAAGCACTTCGGCTTCGGTCCTCATAAGCACAAGGTCAGTCGAACAAAGATTCAGCAGCGGCACAATGATGCTAACTCATATCACAGAAACCCTTCGTCGAGTCCAAGGGACGCAAGTTCGAGCGCGCTCGTGGTCGCAGACGCTCACGTGGCTTCAAGGTCTAAATTATGCTGGGAAAATTGGGCGAGCATCGGGATGGAGGTGGTATTTATCTCCAGTTTCGTTTTATGTATGGGACCTAAATGGTATGGCGTGACTTGATATCATTCAAAGTTAAAAAATTCGTGCCTGGACATGGCCAATTGACGACCAGCTTGACCAATTTATCGTAGCACTAAAAGTGACGATTGAATGCGTTCATACTAATTGTGATCGCCTTCTATGCTAATAGCTGCTGTAGATTTTCTGCGTAGTGCGACGAAGAATGCCTCTCTGCTTTCCTATTATGGGTAGGTAGGCAGTTAGTGATAGTCCCTGAGATGCACCTTATCGAAACTTACTGATCTTGAAGAATCTGGCTTCTCTCTGTGCACCTCTGCGAAAAGCAGCCTGAGTTGTTTCTCCAGTTCTTTATCCCTTGCTCCCATGTAGAATTTGCATACAAGATGGCCGCCAGGTTTAAGTGTATCGCTGGCGAACTGCAGTGCAGCTTCGCAAAGGTCCTAGTAGCCATTATGGTCATCTTTTATCCTTGCTAGTCTACACAAGCTCGGGTTTCATCCTTACCATGCTGCCGGCATGATCTCGAGACGCAATGCCGCTTGTATTCATGAGCCTGTCATAAGGGTTACTTAAAGTCTTTGAACTAAATCCGGAGGTTTGTTCCCATGGTGCTGACATATCACTTAACACGATCTATATTGATGTTAGTGCGAGCAAAGTACAAGTGCTGGTAGTAGCGGGTGCTATCTGACGAACATCCACAAGATTTTTTTGCGTCGACTTTGTCGAGATGCTACCGGAAGGCGGCTTTGAGGCCTCTGTTGAGTGTCTCTCCAAGTCAATGTAGCTTGGCTGTTCGATGAGTGTATTGTTTGAATCCAGCTTATTCTCGTCATTATGATCAGCTCTTGCTGCTCTAGACAGTCGATCATAGTGCGTTTGGGCAATAAACTCTTTCACAAGCTGTTGGACCACGGGAGACAGGAAATCTCCTTGGAATGTAGCGACGCCCTTGGGAGGCTGAGCGGGTATGAGGTCAATACCGATAACTTGACCATGAGGTCTAGTGCGCTCAACGGCGACCTACTCATGCATGTGAATATCCCAAAGTTTTAAGAATCTCTGCTGAATGCCAGTATGGACAACATACTTGAGACCAGCTGCCTGGCGCATATCCCTGTTGACGAGGTCAAGTCTTAGACATGTGTGGTTTCTACCAGGATTTGATTTATACATGTTATAGAAAACTTACCAGATCAACTACAGTTTGATTCTTTTTGAAGAGCTTGTATTTTGCGTCTATCTTTAATGGAATTAATATCACGAGAAGATGATAAGTAGCTAGCGATGAGCGAATCTTGCCTCCAATAATTTAAAGGCTGCCCTGCTTCTAAGTCCTTGGACTTTGGCGTGATGGACATAATGGTCGCGACCTTGGCGTTGTTTCCATTGAGTTCCAGAGGAAGCAAGCCTTGTCAGCCTGGGAACATTGAGGGAACAGTTAGGGCGTGGCGCAAAGGCCCAGCGCGGTGTGATTAGCAGAAGGTTTCGTGTCCAGCCTGTCCACTGATGTGACATGTTTCCATGTGTGGACGTTTGAAAGGGTAGCTATGAAAGAGCTTTGAGTGGAGGCCATCTGGAGAAAGCTTGGAAGATCTCTACAGAGCGGTTGCCACCAAATATAATAAACCTCTGATATAAAACAGTACATCTCCCATAGTTTAGGTGCTGTATTCACGCTAATTATAATATATATCATATATAGATCAAATATACAATATTTTTAGTACAATATGGAATTAAATTTAGAAATTATAATTTAAATATATAAAATAAATTATTATTAAAAGTATTGTAACTTATATATTTATATTTTAATAAGAACTTTATAAACAATTATTATTTCTTTTATTTTAGCTTAATTCTATTAAAATAAATAAAATGCTGTTTAATTTTATTTTTTAAATAAGTTAATATATAGCAACAGTACCGTATGAATATGTTGTAAAATTTTCCTTAAGAGGTTCCACCTCTTAAATGGCCTAGCTTAAAACAACCTCTTAAGCAAGGCTACCAATCAGCACAGCTGGTGGCCACTACTACCCAACCTTGTGGAACAACCGTTCTCTTGCTCTTTGAGCAGCCAAATTCACCTTCACTTGCGGCTCGCCGTCCATCTACCATCTCATCTGATAGCCACCACCTTGTTCTCAGAGGGAATTCTCTCTCGGGCGAACCCTTCACATCGAGCGAACTTTTTTCCGATTACGAATTTAATATACTCTACTGGCTGTTAGGATGGCTGTCGTAAGTGCACCTGTTCTCTTTCTGGCCCTCCTTCAACCCTGGCTCTTGTGGCAGATTGGGGGGCTGCCCATTCGGGGTCTCTCAACATCTGTACACTCAGAAGCATCCGACCTTGTCCTCTTCTTTCATGCCATCTATTTTATCTGCGGAAATGCCCTGCGATCTTGGCATTGGGGGTTCGAGGGGTAATCTGGTCTTTCCCATCACTTCGCCCCTCCTCTGATGCCTGCTGGGTTCCGCAGCTGGATTCCATCGGTGACGTGCATTTTAACTGACGAGTGCAGCCGCGAGCATATGCCCCTGGCTACATACAAAATGGTGCAACTAGCCTCCCATCGCCTGGCGCAGCACCCCTCCTGCCCAACCAGGGCCGTATTATCCAGACAGGACCCATAAGGATTCTTTGCGTTGCAGACGTTCGAGGTATGCTGCGAGCATCTCAGCTGTCCGTGGCACGTGCTAACAACTCTCGCAGGAAACCTGCGATCGCTCAACGACCTTGCAAAACAGGCCCGGGCTGACCATATCATCCACACTGGCGACTTCGGATTCTACGATCATACGTCCTTGGAACGGATTGTAGAGAAGACTTTGAAGCATGTGGCACAATATTCACCCCTGATTTCTGAACCGGTCAAGAAGGCTATCCAACAGGGCGGACCTGGCCCCGTGAAATCGAGATTCTCTCCGAGCGAGCTCCCCCTCTCCGAACTACCTCTTCTCCTTAGCGGAGAGCTGAAATTAGATGTCCCAGTATACACCGTCTGGGGCGCCTGTGAAGATGTCCGTGTTCTTGAGAAATTCAGATCATCCGAGTACAAAGTTCACAACCTTCACATTATCGACGAAGCTCGTTCCATGTTACTCGAAGTTGGTGGTGTAAAACTGAGACTTCTTGGCCTTGGTGGCGCTGTGGTAATGCACAAACTGTTTGATAATGGAGAGGGCCGTACCACTATAGCGGGAGGACAGGGTACAATGTGGACAACTCTGCTACAAATGGGAGAGCTGGTTGACACTGCTCATCGTGTCTATGATCCCACCGAGACTCGAGTCTTTATTACGCATGCTTCCCCGGCTCGCGAGGGTATCCTGAATCAGCTCTCCGTTACCTTGAAAGCGGACTTTTCTATCTCAGCCGGACTCCACTTCAGATATGGAAGTTCCTATAATGAGTTCAGTGTCAACCCCACGCTAGACCATTATCGTGGGAAACTTGCTGCTTCAAAAGCTTCCTTCAACGACGTCTGGGAAACTGTCAGGGGAGAGGTTGAGCCTGCCATCCAGCAGAATGAAGCGCAGCAGAATCTCCTTAAGAATGCTCTGCAAATTGTGGAAAAGATGCCTTCGACGGCTGCCGGTGGAAATCCCTTTGGGGGGCCAGTGGCGGGCTCAGGCGGTCTTGGTGCAGTTGACGAAAGTGCTTTTAAGAATATGTGGAATTTTAACCTTGCTGACGCTGCTTTTGGCTATTTGGTACTGGAAATTCAAGACGGAAGAATTGGAACTGAGATGCGCGCCCAGGGATTTAACTTCTCCCACCGAGGAGCTAAGCAGCAGTCGTCTACGGCTCCCCCGTCAGGAACTGCCGCCGCCGCCGCCGCTCCTCCAGCCTCTTCTGCTACCCCTACTGCACCCCCGGCCGCCAAACAATCTCCACCAAGCCAACAACCAAAAGCTACCCCAGCTGCCCCCATTCCCACGATACCGAACCGATCGACCCCACAGCCCACCGCGGGCAACGCTCCCTCTAACAAAGAGGCTGAGAAGGCAGCCGCTCCGACAAACGGATCGACAAACGCCCCTGAACCAGCCACCTCGCCAGCCCCCAAGACCGCAGCATCTGACATCATTGGTTTGTTTATTATGAATGTCAACACGGAAGATCAGTGCCGCGATCTATTTGATGAGGCTGACAAGTCTAAAATTCTCAAGATTGAGAAATGGGGTGGCTCCAACAAGGTTGTCCAATTCAAAACCGTTGAAGACCGCGATGGAGCTATGGGAAGGCTTCCAGAGGCAGTGAAAACACGAACTCAGGAGGACCGATCAAAGCCACTTGTGAAGATCTTCCATCATCGAGAAAGCAAGCCTTTCAACAGCCGCGGCAATGCTGGGACTTGGGGAAGCAGCGGACGAGGCGGGACAGCCACTAGTGGATATCGCAGCGCTGGCGGCACTAGTGATTCTGAAAGCAATCGACGAGGTGGCCGTGGGGGTCGCGGAGCTCGAGGTGGTGAGCGAGGACGTGGCTCTCGCGGACGAGGAGGCATAAAGGGAGATGCCGGTGTATCTCCTGCGGCAGCACCCTCCACCCCTAGTGCTGATTAAACCCAGTCATCAAATATCAAACATCATGTTCTCTGATTATCTTAGCCACTGTAATGGCATTATTCTTGTTTTATTTCGGGCGCGCACAGCCTTGAGAAATCTATCTCATTTCGCGTGGTTTTCCTTTTGGGGCAAACTGGCGTTAGGCTCTGGAAGGTTTGAGAGCAAGGTCCAGCAAAATTCATGTGTACATACGTATCTCATGAGCTTCCAGGAGGACTAGGTGTCGGCTTGAGAGTATTATTAGCCTTCGTCTTTCATTGGTTCCTCGATTAGTTCAGTCACAGAAAAAAAAATGCAACAGCTTTTGATTAAAAAGGCCAGCTATAGAGATGGTGGCCATGCTGGTGTTATATGATGGGAAATACAAAAGTGAATCGTCTTGATGAAGGAAGTGATGATTGATTGATTGTAATATCATATGATTTCTTATTAAAGCAACCCTTATGGGTGTCTCTACTGAATAATATACAAGCTAGACTTAAGACACGTAGGTCTAATGAAGTCTTCACAGAGGTTTGATGCCTTTGTGGATAGCCGCGACGCCGCCAGTCAAATCTTCATAACCTTTCCCCACAATGGCAAAACCTGCATCAGCAATCATGTCCCGGAAGTCTTCTTGGGAAGGAAACCGTTCAATGCTCTCAACGAGATATTGATAGCTGTCACGATCTCCTGCAACCAGCTGTCCAATCAATGGGATCGCGCTGAAGGACCATTGCTTGTAAATTGCATTGAAGATGGGATACTTGTCCACCTTAGAAAACTCCATACAGGCAAAGATGCCGCCCGGTTTCAGGACTCTGTAAGCCTCTCTCAAGGCTGCGGGCATGTTGGAGAAGTTCCGTATTCCAAAGGCAACTGTGTATAGGTCAAGGGAGTTGTCTTTGAGCGATGATGGCAGAACCTCGGCGTTTGCCTCGAGGAAGGAAAGAGAAGACTGATGAGAGGCTGGAAGAGACAGGGAGCGCTGCCTACCAACACTCAGCATTGCTGGATTGATGTCTGATATCGTAACGTGTACATTTGGGTTGCCGTTGTTGACATGGGCGTGCTGCAGCATGCGAAAAGCGATATCACCAGTTCCTCCGGCAACATCCAGGATGCGCTGGGGCATACCTGTAGGGTTTGTAGCCCCTGGGTTCAGCGAGGAAACGAAGTGATCTCTGGAGCAGTGTTAGCTACTGGCCTGGTGATGTGTTACCAAACGCATTGAAGACAAACTCACTTCCATAGGCGATGAATACCCATCGACATCAAGTCATTCATCTTATCGTATGATTCTGCCACACTGGTGAAGACTTCGGCAACTCGCTCCTGTTTCACGGATTCGGTGACCGTCTCATATCCAAAGTGAGTAGGACGGTCTGAGGTGGGTGTTGGTTTTGATTCACGGAGCTGGCGGCTGGTAGAGAAGAAGTGACTTGTACGAGAGATGCATGAAGCAGGTCGGAATAGCCCGGCGCGGCTTCTTACCACTGAAGAGGCAGACATGTTTGTTTTTCTGTTGGTCGTTCAGAAAAGAGTGTTGCGCGGCAATTAGCTGATTGACTTTATGGCGATGCGGTTAAGGCGTGGAGAGGGCTCTAGAGGGTGTTTTCTCTCTTGAACAAGAATTCATATGAATATCCAGCTAATAAATGAAATTTCTCCTTCGGCAAGCCACAGATATGGCAGCTTATCTTGCCAGACGATGAACAAAATTCTCTGCCAATTGCCAGTAAAAAGAGCGTAAATGAACAATTGGAATTGTTTGACGAAAATTGAAATCTGCTTCAAGGCCAGGGACTTCTCTCTACAGATTTTCTGCTGCTTCAGCGTCGTGAAGACTAGATTGAGGCTGCGCTTCTTGACGGCGATACGCGAGAAGTGCCTGGATAAATTTGTGGATACTTTTCTGGAAGAACCAGCCAATCAGCGCGATGAAGCCGAAGATGCTGAGAATGAGTATCACCAGATTAGCTGCTGGAGGGGCCATTTCAGAAGTATGAGAGAGTATTTTTGTGGCGGAAAATGCAATGCATCTACAGGAAGGACAGGATAACGTTCCCTAATCCATTGATTGATAGCTGTCAAACTTGTTTTTCACCATCAACCGAATCTGTCAGGCCTGCCACCTGGCTGCCACTCGGCCATTGCGTAGTGCCGTTCTTGGGGCTTCGTTTGGGACATGGGGCAGAATAGATAAGTTGCACATGCAATTGAGCAAATATTTTAAAGAAAAAGGAGTTACGAGATGAAAAAATAAGGATTAGACAATGGCTTAAGGCCATTCATTGGTTGTGACTATCCCTGTTGAGACAGGCAAGGTAAGGCAACTTTTGGTAATGGGTACGTACTGTGGCCAGCTAAATGGGCACCTTATCTTAGTACCTGTACCTAGTAGGTAGGTAAGAAGAAATGGGCGCCCTGCATACGTACGAGGCATTCTTTCCACGGCATATAAATCAGCAGTGCCTGCAAAAGAGTTAAAGGCGTCAATTGCTTTTCCTCTCATCTGATTTGAATTCATCAGCACTCTGCAGGCAGCACGACTTGAGGACAGGGCGCGCTGCGGCTTAGTGGTGTTAGCGCTGGCGGATTCTGTCGGCTCAATTGCGACCGCTCTCTATCGGCATCCTCGCTCCTTGTCCCGAGATCAAGTTGCCTTCCCCGGATTTCCATGTTAAAAGTAATAGTGCCTGCATCTTGACGTGAACCAAACATTCCGCACTTCTCCAAAGGGCCCAGAGACTCAACCCTTTCGTCTAATCCCAACGGCACTCCAGATGAACTCTCGCGTCATTCCGAGGGCCTCTTTACGGAGGCTGGCAGCTAGCACGAAGCCATGTGTGTCTGTCGTCTCCAACTCCATCCGGAGTGCTGGGAGCCTTTCTCAGCGGCCCAATTCTAATTTCGTCTCATTTCCTGGAGCCCTGAAGAGCTCCTTTACCAGTTCTCTCAAGTTCGAGACTCCCGACTCATACACAGCCCTTCAGACCTATCGAGTCGTGGATCAAGATGGTCAAATCGTCGACCCCTCCTTCAACCCTGACATCCCCGATGAGACAGTAATCAAGCTTTACAAGGACATGCTGTTCATCTCCATCATGGATCTCATCATGTTCGACGCTCAGAGACAAGGCCGCCTAAGCTTTTATATGGTAAGCGCTGGCGAGGAAGCAGTGAGCGTGGGCAGCTCTAGCGTATTAGACAGAGAAGATGTCGTTTTCTGCCAGTACCGAGAGCAGGGATTTTTCAAGGAGAGGGGATTTACCACCGAGCAATTCATGTCACAATTGTTTGCCAACAAGAAGGACTCTGGTCGGGGAAGAAACATGCCGGTCCACTACGGATGCAAGGAATTGAATATCGTGAGTGGCCAACCTTGAACGCAATGCCGCATTTGATAACTAACGCTCCCGGCAAAAGCACACTGTTTCTTCACCATTGGCAACACAGCTTCCGCAGGCATCGGGAGCAGCATATGCATTGAAGTTACAGAAGCTACAAGATCCCAACTTAAAGCCGCGAGTAGCGGTAGTGTTTTTCGGCGAAGGAGCTGCCAGTGAAGGTGACTTCCATGCAGCGCTGAATATTGCCGCCACGCGCTCTTGTCCCATTGTTTTCATTTGCCGTAATAACGGATTTGCCATTTCCACACCCACTCTTGACCAATACCGAGGAGACGGCATTGCAAGCAGAGGAATTGGCTACGGCATTGACACAATCCGAGTCGATGGAAATGACATTTGGGCCGTCAGAGAGGCCACAAAGAGGGCACGAGAAATGGCTCTGGAGGGTGGTGGCAAGCCAGTCCTCATCGAAGCAATGACCTATCGTGTCTCTCATCATAGCACTTCTGACGACTCCTTTGCGTACCGAGCCCGCGTCGAAGTCGAGGATTGGAAGCGACGGGATAACCCCTTGACTCGACTGAGGAAATGGATGGAGGCCAAGGGATGCTGGGACGAGGCGAAGGAGAAGGAAGCTAGAACCAACCTGAGAAAAGACATCTTAAAGGCCTTTGGTGAAGCAGAAAGGGAGAAGAAGCCACCGATTGCCTCTATGTTTGAGGACATTTATGAGGAGCTGACTGAAGACCTCAAGGACCAAAAGGAACAGCTGAGGACCATGTTAGAAAAGTATCCTGAGGAGTACGATGTTGGATCTTTTGATGGCGGCATAGACAGCTTGAAAACTAAATAAGGCAACGAATTGTTAATAGATATAAATTTTCTTGTAAATTTGCGAATCACTCTATATATTGAAGTACCTATCTCACTCGCCTGTTGTAACGAGATTGTTGTGAGCTGTCTGACAAATGGGGGGCAGTATTGTCTAATATAAGATACGAAAGTACAACGCAGACTAATTTACCCTTGCTTCTGTGTAAATATGGCAGCGGTCAATATATAGCAACATCTTTATAGGCGAAGTACAAACACTCGTATGAAATTGGCCGGCATGGTAGATGACGCGAAATGAGTCTATATTAATACTCAGCCGTCGGACCTAGCGATTGGGCATAGCGCCAGGACCTCCAGACTCCAGTGCCTGGTACCTGTAAGCTAGTACGGAATCGCACTAGATTCGCTCTAGATTTCCGGGCAGCACCCAAAGCTCTCCACCAATTGTCACCTGTTGACATTTTGTACCTCCCAAAGCTCTCTGCCATCATGTCGTCCAAGAGGCACTCCGTCCTCCCCGCCGTCGACCGCAGCGGCCCGAAGCCGCCTGTCAACTTTTCGACGTCGCTTACCATTTCCGACAATGCCGTTCTCCAAGGCACACACTCGATCACGATGCAGGCAGAGACGGTAGTGCACCCCCGATCGCGCATCGAGTCCAGCGTCGGCAGCGTTCTTGTTGGGCGACGATGTATCATCCAAGAGCGAGTGCACCTCGGAGCTCCTTCGGACAACCAAGATAAGGGCACAGGCGGTGTTAGCCTCGGGGACTACGTGCTTATTGAAGCGGGTTCAATCATCGAAGCTGGAGGTACGGAAATCGGCGAGGGCAGCATCATCCAGGTGGGAAGCAAAATTGGAAGCGGCGCGAAGATTGGCAAAGTAAGGGCTTGAGTCACTTTGTCTTTCACACGAGAAGCTAACATGGGGAAAATAGAACTGCACAGTATCGCACTTGTCTGTTATTGCTAATGGTGATGTGCTACCCGACAACACGGTTGTCTATTCAAATGGTACACGGCGAACCGACAAACGCGGAACCCCAGAGCTTCGAAAGCTTAGCATCGTGAAACAGATTGCTATGCTGAGAAAGATGATCCCAAGTAACCCAGACAAATTCCGATAGACCGTCCAATTCCATGCTAGATTAATGAGTCATGGCGTCTTCAAAGAGCGCGCGTAGCTGGTCCTTTTCAGCTTGAAGTTCAGAGGCAAGCCCGGGGGCAAGCTTCAGCACTCGGGCCTGGGGGATAGTGCCTTCAACGAGTCCATCGATGTGTTCACTTCCGAAGCCCAGCGCCTTGAGACCCTTTGGCTGATCACCCAAGTCCTCAAGGAATTTCGTCAGGGCCTCGGCCAATACTTCTCCAGCACTCTCCAACTTTACGTTGGAGATATCAACGCCGAATGCCTCGGCTGCAAGGAGATGTCTTTCCGGGTTGGAAGGCGCAGTGAATCTAAAGACAGCAGGGGCAGAGACTGCTACCGAAACACCGTGGGGAATGAGAGGGTTTGGAATCTCATACCCAGCGTGCCTGTAACCTGGATTCTGGCCAGAGATGGGATATGACATGCCTACATAAGAGCCATTTTAGCAAAGCACACGCATTCAATTAAGGTCCGGGTTACATACCATGGCACAAATGAACTCCCGCATTTCCAAAGCCAACTCCCGCCAACGTCGCTGCCAAGAGCATCTCGCTCTGTGCCTCGAAATCCTCGGGGTCTTTCACAGCACGGGGGAGATACTTCACGGTGGCTTTAAGTGCGTGGAAAGAGAAGACATCCGAAATCGGGTTGGCTCCCTGATACGCTGGCCTCAAAATTGGATTCGTTGGTCGCGGTGTTCGCTCGGTGTAGGGGATGGCTGTCCAGGACTCAAGAGAGTGGCACAAGACGTCCAGACCAGATGCAGCCTTGACGGCAGAAGGCATGGTACGTGTGTTGAGTGGATCACAGATTCCAAGTGTTGGCTTCAGATTTCGGTGAGCGACACCAGTCTTTGCCTTCTTAGAGACGAGGTCGAAGATGGCTGTGCCTGTAGTTTCGCTGCCAGTACCTGCTGTAGTCGGGACTGCGATGAGCGGCTTCAGAGGTTTGTCAATCGGAAGCCCCTTTCCCAATGGCGCATTGACAAAGTCGAGGAAATCAGCATCCGGGTACGACGTGTACAAGTTCATTAGCTTGGCCGTGTCCATAACAGACCCTCCACCCACTGCAAGAAATGCATCTGGGTTATAAGGTCTTGCCCATGCAATTGCCTCCTTGATACTGTTTCCCCCCCAAATATGTTAGTAAAATAAGCAATGCGACCAACAGATGCCGGTACAGGCTGAAGAGGTGGGCAATTACGAGCTGTCTTTTGGTTCTATCCTCACGTCGGAGAAGACCTTGAAGTTGACGCCTTCGCGAGTAAGGGCTTCTCTCACTTGTCTCATGGCATCCAATTGATCCACGGTCTTGTCGGTGACGACGCATACTCTTTGTGACCCAAGGTTCTTCAGGTCCATGCCGACTTCCTGAGTCACGCCAGCACCGAAGCGAATGGAAGACGCTGCCATTTCAAAGGCATACTCCTTCAAGTTTGCATTCGAAGGCGTGGCATAACGTCGACCTCCCAAGCTCTGTGAGAACTTAGGCGGGGTGCGCTGGTGATAACCCGGGTTTGAGTGGCATGGACATGATGGAGGATGAGTATACTGAATTGTCCGGAGGAGACTCGAAGCCCGCTTGGCGGCCTAGCATTACGTTTAGTATAAATGTCAAGTGAAGCATCAATTGGCGAAACAACCATACATTTGGCACAACTCTGACAGCGGCTGACATGATTGTTTATTCCTTTTCGTATTCTCAACAGTGATATTGATAACTTGGTAGTTTGCGGGGTTGAGTTGAGCGCCGATGTGAAGGGCCAGGTTAAATAACCGCGGCTATTAGTCAAGTGCTAAGCCCCAAGGATTTATCGACAACGGCAAGAGTCCAAGGAAGCACTTGCTTGACTCGAGTCAACAAAGTACACGGAAGTTGCCTATGAAGTAGCTAACGAGCAATCTGGTCTTATTATATTTCTCGAAATTCCACTAAGTGCCTAACGAGGGCCCAATTGAATTGACTGGGATCAATCTGACTATCCCGAACCCCCGATTTCGTGCTTACGAAGGATCCAGAGGAATAATGTTCTTCCTCGTTCAAAGCTGACATTTCTGCTATGCATCAAGTAATGCAATAACGAGGTGGTGATAATGGGGATGCGCACATGGGGTTGCGGATCCTACCCCAAACGCGGGTAGGCGCTTGCAAGGCGCGCAGTTTAAACGGTTTAGGCTTGTTTTGTCAAAATTCTTGCTCTGTACCCTTTGGAGTTAGGCGCTCCACTTTTAACAATCGCCGCCCTTGGGGGCGCCGAGGCCCTTTAAGCATTCAGTTTTTCCATGGATCCCTAATCCTTCCACAAGGCTGTTTTAAATATTTTCTCTTAATAATAATGTATTTATCTGTTTTTAATTTTATTTTTTAGTATTAAATATTATAAATTCACTTTTACTAAATTTTAAATGTAAAAATAGAAGTTAGCACCTGTAAATGCTGCTCTTAATCCATGTTTAAGAATTTTCAATTCCCCCGTACGGAACGTTTGTTATGCCATCGGCTCAGCCGGATGATCTCAGCAAGTGCTGTCGAATCTCAGGTGACAACGTCATCGCCCGTAGCAGGTTGCCCGACCTTGCTTGACCACCCTACTTCCGTGATACATATTATAAGAAAATGGCTCCCGCGGCACCCAAGTGAACAATGTTTGTCGACAATTAATTTTTTTTTCCTTCTGCTCTTTACACTTGACCTGTATTCCCTGAACGCGTCGCGATCGCAGACGAACGATGCCGGGCATAGGTCAAGATTATACCGTTAGCCGGTCTTTGTCCGATACACCAAATGAAGCCTCCGGAAGACCTGTCAGGGCCACCGCAAATAGCCCTTTGGGCTCTCTACAGGGAACCGCCTCGCTACCGAACATTGTAACCTTTGCGCATGCGGATAGCTTCGGAAGCAGACCACACCAGCGTGCATTTGGTGCAGACTCCCCTCGAACATCAGATGCGCCCCGGCGAAGCCTTTCATACGCCTTGCGACAAGAAGCAGAAGTTTACTACGACTCGCGAGCCGCAACACACGATGAATGGAAACGACGGGATCGAACGCTACAAGACTACTATCATAATAATCCTCAACTCTTGCCGCAGCTACCTTTTACTTGGCATCATGGATGGAAGCGCTGGAGACTCTTCCTTTTTGCGATTATGGTGTGTATCGACGGCTCGGTAATACCGATCGTGCTCTACTATGCAATGAGATACGCAGGCCATGTTCAGGGCTGGATTATCTTCGCTGTGGTCACCACTATTTGGGGCGGCCCAACATATGTCGAATTTGGTATCAGAACCTGGCGACTTATGAAGAAGGAGAGATTTTATCGTCCATTGGGCACGAATAGCCGCTGGTGCTTCGATATACTGAACTGGGCATCCGTGCTTACCATCACTGCCGTTACGGCCCTCTTCATTGTGGGCAGTGCACCGCATGAGGTTTGGCTGAGAGTTCTCTGCATGCCAGCGCCGGCCATCTTGTACAGCCTTGGCGGCGTCCTCGGTCTAATCACTCTGTTCAACTATATGAACTGGCGCGCCCCTTTCCGCCTCAGTTCCACTGCAAAGGGCGAAAAGGTACAGTTGCAATGACCCCGTCCTATGTCTCTTTAGTAAGCGGCATCTTATACTGACTCTCTTTTTCTCGAATAGGTTCTGCCGGGAGTGTATTATTTCATTGAAGATGTCGTTGCCGTCAATGCCGGTGCCGGCAGGCCGTACAGAGAAGCTTTTGCGGCCCGTTATAATGCTAGCCCCCGCTTCCAGCAAATGCTGTTCAAGCAATCCGTATTCTGGTCCGTGCCAGCGCTTCTGCTGGCTGCCGCCCTCACCGTCATTGCACTCGTACATGAAGTTCCAGCAACTGTTGCGTATGGAGTATGCTGGGCCGTGCCGTTCATATGGTGTGCGGTCTGGGGCTGGATAACAGTCATCTGGTGTAAGCGAGATATGGTCCGCGAAAGAGTGGAGTGGGAAGAGAAATACCCTACTGAGAAACATGGCACTGCAACGAACAATATACCTTTAGCGACGGTATAGCTGTATCTATCAAGCTTGCTATTTTTTTTTTTTTTTTTACACATGAAGTTTGCGTTTCTTTAGCGACCCCGCATCTCTTTACCGCACCTAGCCCATACGTCGTTGGCGGTGATTGCTGTGCTGATAATCATGGCCAGTGCGATCACTGCAGGATGAACTTCGAACAACCCAATAGCAGTGGCTGGAAGGAGAACGTCCATGGTGTCGGCTACGAGCTTCAGCATCAGCGAAGGGACAGCCTCCTTGGATATCGTCGCTCCGCCCTTCGGTGCCACTTGATCCCCAGATCCTTTCTGTTGATTCGCCCCTGGTGTTCCCGACGCAGACCCATCTTCCTTCTGATGCTCGTTCTTTTCACTGGAGCTCTTCTCTTGAGAGTCGCGATTGGATGACCCATAAGGAGCCGCCGCTTGTTTACCAAGACAGCGCAACAGCGCAACACCAGTGCGGAACAGCGAGATGCATAAAGCGATGAGCCAAAAGACTTGAGCTTGATGATTTAAATTAGCAGTCTGCTCTGCACCGAATATCTCCAGCTGGTCTACTTCTAGCAGATCGAGCAGAGTCACTGATTCGAGCATGCCATAGAGGCCCAGGCATGTTTTGCCGAGCACATCGAGCAATGTCTCAAAATCCAATACCTTGGAAGAATACAAATCCCATCCCAGCTGGAATTGCTCAAGGAAGCGGAAAAGACGCAGGAGACGCCTGGTTACGTTGATCTTCGCCCGCAAATCCAGAAATGACGTTGACGGTGGGAACTTGGTTGACGTTAGAGACAGCAATGCGGCTACTTGAGAGAACCGATATGTGGCGAGGAGAGAGACCAGAGCCTGGACGAAGCGTAATGATCGCTCAATGCCGGCTTGGCAGGCGTCAGCATTGTTTGGAGACCTGGATACAAGATTTTTCCCTATTCAATGTGCCGATTTTCCACGCTAAGTGGTCAATCGGCTCAGTAAGATTTGGGGATGCAACACACCATTATCTGTTCCGAAGGCAATAAATTGGCGCAGGAGTGCCATAATAAAGGTACTAATTATTTACACAGCAATTGCATGCGTTGAGACAAAGGCGAGATTGAATGAAGATAGCGTATCCAAAGAAGAAGAAGAAAATTGCGATAGACTTTGAATGAGGAATGAAAGCAGAGGCAGCCTGTTTAATGTTTTGGGTGGTAATTGAGCGTATTGGTGGTGTGGAATACCGGCATAATGATTTGATGAAGGGTTAATGTAGCAATACAGTGATAGCTCACTATTTTAGGGGCTTTGCAAGATATGATAATGAGACTACAGGCCGATTTTTGTTTTCTTACGGGCTACCGAGTGAAGCTACCCACACAGTTTAAGTGATGCGCCCGGCTAAGAGTGGCTTTCATCCAACCCGACATTTTCCTTCTATTACCACCACAGAGCCTATTCTCGTTAGCATATGCCTCGGAGACAATGATAGCTTCAATGACGGTTTCGAAAAGCCAAAAACCCCCTATTGTAAAATTGAAATGATACAGTAAACGCTGTCAAGCGTCAACGTTCCTTGTGCACGGTGCAGGGTAGCGACCAGCTAAAGCAGGCAGACGCGAAGCCTGATGGACACCCACAGCTTGCTGGCGCATCATCGACTCATTGGCAAATTCTTAGACTTCTGCCATGTTTTCATCGCTAGCCGCCATTCGCCGCCGATACTACAGCGTGCTGAGATTACCGCATATTCGAAAGAGCGTTTCCGTGAGGTGTGGCTCTGGAGGCTTTGTAGATATCGAGTGCGTGAATCACAAAACCCCATTACTACGGCAGCGACTCAGCGCTAACGCCTACAGCAGTTTATATAACGTCGACGAGTTTTCGCCTTCTAAATTCCTGGTTGTTCATTTGCCTCCATCACCGGAATACGCCAACGGTGTAAAGCAATTGCCGGAATTCTTGCATGACTGGCCTGTCGCTAGCATTAACTATCGATGGGAGACTGAACGTCGCAATGTCGCAGGCCAAGAGGCCGTAAGCCAGGAACAAGAGTTTGCCGACTCTGTAGATTGGCCTGTGCCGATGCATGATGTAGCATTTGCTTACCAATGGATAACCGGAGCTCTGATGCCCCCAAACAAAGGTCGAGGGGGCATTTATGTCTACGGATCTCATCTCGGCGCCGGCCTGGCCATGTCCCTCGCATTGACCGAGTCGCGCCCAAATGAAGCGTTTTGTGTGCGTGGCATCGCAGCTTACAATGGGATCTACAACTGGACCATGTTCTTGCCAGGCCACAGAATAAACATGATTAGGTCAATGATGGACGCTGCAAGGCTTTCGCGGCGTACAGACGGCAATCTTATACTTGATACCCTGCAACAGAGATTGGTGTCCCTGTTTCAAACGCCATCCAATCTCTTTGACCCCTTCGCAAGTCCAAGCCTCTTCTTCCACAATCCAGGGCTATCCATACCAGAATCATTTTACAAATCTGCAGACGTCGCCAACGTTGTCAGCACATTGAAAGGACAGGCGAGTGACGTGACGAAGGGAACTGGATTGCCCCGTAACTCTCATCTTGTGTTCCCTCCCAGAAAATCAAATATGAAGATTCCTGAAACCATCCTCTTACATGACGCGCCGTCTGGACCGCCGTCACGCCAACCAAGAACAAAAACAGCACTTAAAGGCTTAAAGCACGGAGACCAAAGAAACACATTCAAGAATCAAGCGGATGAAATTGCCAGTTTAATGAGACGCGGCTTGACCATGGTTGAGCTTAAGGGGCTAGCGAAATGGATTGAGGACGCGCATTATCTGGCAGAAGAGCCGAAACGCAGAATTCAGGTCGTCGAAGTAGGGCAAGAAAGGGACGATCTGGAACTGAATGAATTCGGCCAGCAGGTTGTGTTAGATTGGCTGAATGAGAATCTTAGAACAATAGACATGAAATAACACAGCTATCGCTAGGTACATGGCATAAATCGCTCTGCTGACGTCAGTGACTGCGCGAAGCCGGGTATGCCAAGCTTCATGAAAGAGTACAAGTTTAAGCATAATGATCTGATGTGTTCATATGTGATGGGTATATTCGGACAGGCAGGTATATTATTGGTGCTTGGCAGAAGTCCCGTATCGGTATGCTTCTGCCGTATCTCCCCAGCTCCACGACTGAGCTCTGCTCTGCTGCCCATGACCTAATGGATATTACCCCGGCGCGCTAAGCATGCTGACCAAGGTGCCCGGTTCCTTGCCTAAAACAGGCTAATGCGTGCCTACAGAACTCAGGCACCACTGCAGGCGCCTGTGCCAAGCACTATATCTATCCACTTACCGCTACGCCCGTCACTCTCCGGATCGTGACGCAATCATACGCATCTCCAGCATCGCAACCAGCCCGCCACTCCTCCTTCCAGACCTCGGATCATTGTCGCCCAGCTTCACACCACCGAGGCGCTGGAACGCACTTCTCAGCAAGCATTTTGACAGCCGATCGGCCAGGTCGGCGCCATGCGTTCGGCTGTGCTGCAGTCTGGCCTTGCCGCCCTGCTCTTCGGGGCGAGCGTCTCTGCGGAACCTTATACACCAAAGCACGAGCTGGGCCGATGCGCATTTCGAGGGCAGTGCGGAAAACAGAGTTTTTTCGGCAAGGAGCTCCCATGTGTCGACAATGGCCCTGCGGAAGACCCGAGCGATGATCTTAGAAAGGAGCTGGTTGAGCTTTGCGGCCCCCAGTGGAGCGAGGGGCCTGTTTGCTGCAACCTGGATCAGGTAAGCTTTGTATTGTCGTGGTGAGAAGCTGTTGATACTGATGCCAGACTGAAGGTTAAAGCTTTGAAATCCGAAATGGGCACCCCGAGGACTCTCATTGGCTCTTGCCCTGCTTGCAAAGAGAACTTCTTCAACATGTTTTGTAAATTCACGTGTTCTCCCGATCAATCGACCTTTATAAATGTAACAGATGCCGCGAAAAAGGGCAACAAGCTGCTCGTCACTGAGCTTGACCAACTGATTTCAGAGGAATATGGCTCAGGGCTCTATGATAGCTGCAAAGAAGTCAAATTCGGAGGTGCAAACAGCAGGGCAATGGACCTGATCGGTGGCGGAGCGAAGAACTATCACGATATGCTCAAATTTCTTGGCGACAAGAAGCCGTTAGTCGGTTCACCAATCCAGATCAACTACCCGGAGGAATACAATCAGCCTGGCATGGCGCCATTGCAGACGAAGCCCAAGAAATGCAACGATGAGGATCCGGCCTATCGGTGTGTTTGTGTCGACTGCCCAGAAGTGTGCCCTACATTACCTGATGTAAAGGAAGCTGGATCTTGTCGAGTGGGAAAACTGCCTTGTCTCTCTTTCGCATCCATCTTCACATATGGCGTTTTGCTTCTGGCACTTTTCGTCGCCGTTTTTGGTCATATCTTCTGGGCCAAATACCAGAAGCGCCGTGTCGAAAGGACGCGGTTACTCCACGAGTCGTCCCACAGTGATGATGAAGACGAAGGTGGACCTATCCTTACTGATGCCATGCGCGACCAGCCAACAAAACGTTATTGGCTAAACGATAAATGCGACAAGGCCTTCCGCCAGCTAGGAAATACCTCTGCAAGGTTTCCCGGCCTCACCATAGGTGTTAGCTTGTTGATTGTTGCTATCTTAAGTGCCGGCTGGTTCCGGTTTGATATAGAGCAAGACCCTGCTCGACTCTGGGTCAGCCCAACCTCTGCAGCTGCTCAAGAAAAGGAATACTTCGACTCCAATTTTGGCCCCTTTTTCCGAGCTGAAAAGATATTCCTGGTCAACGACACCAAATCATCTGGTCCTAGCCCCGTTCTCAGCTACGAGACATTGAAGTGGTGGGCGGATGTCGAAAAGAGTGTTGGGGCACTTGAGGGCTCCGTGTACGGGAATACACTCAACGATGTTTGTTTTAAGCCTACCGGCGATGCTTGTGTTATACAGTCTGTGACGCAGTACTGGTACTCGAAAGGCGGTATCGACTCCAAGTATTGGAAGGACGACCTTCGCAGCTGCGCAAAATCCCCCGTAGACTGCCGACCAGCATTTGGACAGCCCATTGAACCAACTATGATTCTTGGCGGCTATGATGATGATGTCGTTGACTCTCAGGCAATGACAGTTACATGGGTCGTTAACAATGCTGCTGAGAATTCAGAGACGCTTCTTCGCGCTATTGACTGGGAGAATGCACTCCGCGATCGGCTCCTCCAAGCACAGGAGGAGGCTAAAACCCGTGGCCTTCGATTGTCATTCACAACGGAAATTAGCTTGGAACAGGAGCTCAACAAGTCTACAAATACAGACGCCAAAATTGTCGTCGTGAGCTACATTGTCATGTTCATTTATGCATGCTTGGCACTCGGCACCCCTTTGAAGCACTTATTTGGAAATCCGGCACTGTTGCTGGTTGAATCAAAGGTTACTCTGGGTCTTGCTGGTATTGTAATTGTTCTTATGTCTATTTCTGCTTCAATTGGCTTCTTTTCGTGGGTTGGTTTGAAGGCTACGCTCATCATCGTCGAAGTAATCCCATTTATCGTCTTGGCTGTCGGTGTCGATAATATCTTTCTTATTGTTCACGAGCTTGAAAGAGTCAACGTCAATTTCCCAGATCAGATGGTGGAAGAGAGAGTGGCTCGAGCTTTGGGCCGTATGGGACCGTCTATTCTTTTCTCTGCCTTGACCGAAACGTTTGCGTTTGCTCTCGGCTCTGCAGTTGGCATGCCTGCTGTCCGAAACTTCGCTGCTTACGCCGCCGGCGCTGTTCTCATCAATGCTGTTCTTCAAATGACGATGTTTGTATCTTTCTTGGCCTTGAATCAGATGCGGGTTGAAGATCATCGATGCGAACTTTGGCCGTGGTGGCAGGTCAAGAAAGCTAGGATCAACCTCAATGGCACCAACGGCTATCCGTCAACCGGTAGAGCGTCTGATGCAGATGAAGAAAGCTACCTGCAAATATTCATTCGAAACACTTATGCTCCTAGTCTCTTACGCAAACAGACCAAGGTCGCCGTTGTTGCCGTCTTCCTCGGTCTCCTATCGGCTGCCATTGCCTTGCTGCCAGGTATCCAGCTCGGACTTGATCAGCGTGTGGCTATTCCGGATGGATCTTATTTGATTCCATACTTTAACGACCTCTACGATTATCTAGAAACTGGACCTCCGGTTTATTTTGTTACCCGTGGAGTTGACGCATCCCAGCGTCAACAACAGCAAGCGATGTGCTCAAGATTCACCACTTGTCAGCCATTTTCATTAACAAACACCCTGGAGCTCGAAAGGCAGCGATCTGACATTTCATACATCATGTCCCCGGCGGCAAGCTGGATTGATGATTACTTCCTCTGGCTGAATCCCATCTATGACCAATGCTGCATTGAACATGGCTCGACCTGCTTTGCAGACCGTCAGCCCGCATGGAACACTTCCCTCTACGGAATGCCTGAGAATGATGAATTCATCCACTATCTTCAAAAATTCCTCGCAGCGAAGACTGATGACGTGTGCCCATTGGGTGGCCAAGCCTCCTATGGGGACGCAGTTGTCCTCGATAGCGAAGCTGCACACGTTAAAGCTAGTCATTTCAGAACCGCACATACTCGTCTTCGCAGCCAGGAAGATTTTATCAAAGCTTACTCTTCAGCACGCCGCATTGCCTCAGATATTACCAAAGCAACTGGAGCGGATGTTTTCCCCTACAGCGTTTTCTATATCTTCTTTGATCAATATCTCAGCATCATCCCGCTGACAGGAGGTCTTTTAGGCGCTGCTGTCGGCGTCATCTTCGTCATTGCGTCGTTCCTCTTGGGTTCCATACGGACATCAGCTATTGTGACCTTGACAGTTATAATGAGCGTCGTGGATATTATGGGTGCAATGGTGGTATTCAACGTCTCCTTGAATGCCGTTTCCCTAGTAAATCTCATCATTTGCGTTGGTATTTCGGTTGAATTTTGTGCGCATATTGCCCGAGCCTTCATGTTCCCCTCACGGACGGTCATGGAGAATAGCTTTAATGTTAATGGACGAGATGCCCGTGCTTGGACAGCATTGGTGAATGTTGGTGGATCGGTATTCTCAGGCATCACAGTTACAAAGTTCTTGGGCGTTGGCGTTCTTGCGTTCACAAGGTCAAAGATTTTCGAAATCTACTACTTCCGAGTTTGGCTGGCGCTTGTCGTCTTTGCTGCTCTTCACGCTCTTGTGTTCCTACCTGTTGCGCTGAGCATTGGCGGAGGCGAAGGTTATGTCGACCCTGAGAGCGAGGGCACTGCTGCCCAGGATTTGACTGATAGACGCTGGCGGGCAATTAGAATTCACGATAACAGTGACTCTGAAGATGACTATTAGTCGAAGCATTATGCCAATAGCGTCGAAGTTGAACAATCTCAGATGACAGTGCTTTTCTGTCCTATCTATTGCGAGGGGAACGTTCTGCCAAATTTTCCTTCACCCGAAAGAAGAAGCATTTCAATGAATTAACTGGAGTCTGGTGCGCTGGAAGTCTTGCGATAAATTGGTAAGGTGTAATATTGGGAGCATATATGAGGTACAACACGGTGGACTGGAACGTATTTGAATTTTGCACGTTTAAGACTGTTTTCAACTCCTGGATTTCTTTTTTCTTCTTTTCACTGCTATTTTCGCCCGTCTTGATGACTGGTTTTCAAATTTGGATTAAACGAATAGCACTATGTATTGTACGTTATAAATTTGTTTTTATCGAAATACTATTAGTGCAAACAGCCTTGGCAAGCCTAATAATTTAGCTTTCTACTCAGGAGTTCACATAAAGATCATAATTTGACCAATTGAAACCAAACCTCTAGGTCTATCTGTATCCAGCATCTCATGATATGAATGTTAGTAATCTATCAATGGCATCTCGGCGGCTGGCTCAGAACCCGTGTTAGTAGGAACCGCTTCCTCTGAGCCGGGCAACTCTTCGCGTCGCCAACTTAGGGCCTCCGTTTTGCTAGACTTTGTATGTGAACGGGGGCTGGCCATCGTTGCCCAGGGGGAATCCTCGCCACGCTCTTCTGGGCTACGATCCAACATCTCAAGAATCTTACGTCCACAATCCTCAGGATATTCTTGGCCGTCCCTGCCAACAAAGACGGGGGCATTGTCATTGAAGGCGTTTTTGAGGTCTCCCAGAGTCCAGAACTCGGTGCGGCGAGTGTTGAGCCACTCAATGCGGAAGGGGTAGCTAGTTTGCCAGCTTATGTTGCTCATCCATTTGGCTGGGGCGATATCGGGATCGGGGGCTGTGGTCATGCGGGCCTGCGAGATGCGTGTTGCGATGCGGTTAGTTTGTTGTGGATAAGTTACATGGTAAGCACGACAGATGACTGGACTTACATAGCCCTGGAATGCCTTTGACTTGTTGATGGAGAAGATGAGGTAGACGTTTTTGCATTGGTTGAAGGCGAAACTTAGCATGGGGCCGTTCTTAGCTTTTGTAATCCATAGCCCCTGATGAAGTGTGTTAGTGTTTTAGAAACTCGTGGGAGTGCAATGTGTACTTACGTCTCGCTGGGACATGTCAACGTTCATCGAGTTGAAGGACTTGACCAAAAAGTATCTCGCCTCTATTGATTTCGTCAATGGGAGCCACTTTACATTTATCACGAGTGGTGAAAATACCTTGTTTTGGCGTTGAGGGCTGAGCATCTTCGTCAACGGACCATGCATTGGTGTCACTGGCCTCGGCGACGCTGGACCTCTTTGACGGCGATTGCTCTCCTTGGCCCTCGGAATCTGCATCGCCAAGTGAAACGACAGCATCACCACCAGTCCGTTGCATGTGTTTGACAGAGGAGCCGCGAGTAGGCACCTCGTGCTGTTGACTAGCCAGCGACCCGTTTCCAAATGCCGAGTACGCAGATTCGGAGTCGAAGCCTTTATTTACCAGGCAAGGCTCGGAGCCACAAAGCTCTCCAGCGCTTTGGGTGGCTGTAACATGATATCTCGAGAGATTATTGTAGTCTCCTAAACGATCGAGGGCGAGCTGACTCGGCCTCTGAGCTGAGAATGGCGATGGCGGGTAGACACCCGGGGACTGGGCAGGAGTAGACGGAGGTACAATGTAAGGCGTGGTGTTCTGGATCTCCGAAATGATCTTTTGGCGCTGTTCATCGAGGGCTTTCAACTGTCGCAGTGCGCCCAGAACTTTTTGGCGGTGCTCGGTGTCGAAGAATCCAGTATGTTGGAGCCAGAGCTTCAAATCGCCTTCGGCCACAAGATCCATACTGGGGACGTTGGACGTGTCCAGGACTGTCTTCTCCTGTAGTAGGCTTCTCATGGCCTCTCCAAGTGAAGTTTCGTTGTCGCTGTCGGTTGCCATAATACGAGCTTCTGGCGATAGTTCCTCTCTGTGGCAAGGCTGATAGTTGTTGCTGGCTGAAGTGGGATGTTCACGTGGATAGTAAACAAATATAAGTACCTGGAATTTTTTCCCTCATTTTCATTGTTAGAACAACTGCAATCCTATGTGACAATGACACACCTTCCTTTGTTCAAACCCAAAAACGGCCAGAGTTTGGGGCGCACGCTGCAACTTGGTTGACAATGAACAAAGCTTACCCGTGCTTTTGCTACAAAGAACTGGCGGAGACTATGGCCAGAGGATCACTTGGTCTTGGATCCTTTGAAAATGCTGAATGAAGGAGTTACGTAGGCGGAGATGATGGCTTGGATCATATAAACAAACATGCACAAAGGTACCGCGACCTTGGATATATATATATGTGCACTGGCCAATATTGGAAAAGCCGTTGGGGATCAATTGTACAAGCAGCAGTGAAATTGGCGGTGTACGTCTTTCTTAACGGGATAAAAGCAATACTCGGATGGGCTGTCCTTTTGTGGCCAAGGATAGGTCAAAGCGGAATAGGATGCTGGTAAGTGGCTCCGAATCACGACAGTAAATGTAGGCATCCGATGTCAACACGCGAAGTAATTGTTCGTACGCGTGGGTGATTGATGGTGGCACGGTAACTTGTCATTCACGGCTCTTATTGTGACAAACAGTGGTTCAATTGGGCATTCATGATTAAGACTTCTTTACATGTGCGCAATAGCCAGCAGCTGAGATCGTTTTCTAGGAGTATAGAAAAGGCCAGAAAAAAAAAAAAAAAAAAAAAGCCAGACGATGAATTAGGGCCCTTTGTATGACTACAATATATACAGACTGTTGGCCAGGAGGCGGCCAGGGAATAGTTACACAGATGTGGATAGAAAGAACTGCATAGAAGAAGGTGGGCCAACTCAGGCCCCTATGCGGGCGGTAGAAAGGATGCAAACAGGGCGCCCTGGATGCTGGCATACATAGTCATGAAAATAACAATCCGTGACGCGATTTTTTGAGACTTGCCGCTGCTCAGGCTATTTGCTACCCACCAATACCATATGGGATAGCCAGATGATAGCCGACTAATAATCTGCACATGGAAGTTGGTAATGGCCAAGGTAGCAATCAACGTTTGGATCGCGGCCAGTGTAAGCACAAATGTGCGATATGTCTCCGATGGCACCGGCACAGCTTTTGCAACGCCCTGGACACGGTTGAAACTAAAATCGAGCCCAGACTTGAGAAGGATTGTGAGCATGGGGCTGGCTAGTAAGAAGAGCGGCAGCTGGTTTAGGGTCCAATACTTCAAAAACCCGTTATTCCTGAACACTAGTGTAAGTCATGACTCCGGACGCGTCTGGTGTACAAGAACATCAACATCTTACCAGTAATGTGCCTGTACAAAGGTAAAGATACTGGGTACCAGACGATGGCACCACGGCCTGGGCTCGGCGTCAATGGAGCCAACCTTGCAGTATCTGTACCACGCCACCGTTTGTGGTACCGCACTACCCGCCGCGATGAAGAGGCCACCAATGATCAAGGAAGCGAGGAGAGCCAGCCTGGGAAAGCTCGGGTGGCGGAAAAAGTCGAGCAGCCCTTGGATCGCTTGCACCGCGAACAGGAGACCACTGACTAGGCCATTACTCCTGAAGGCAGTGGACAGTCCAAAGGAGGCTCCGGCGCTAAGAAAAGCCAGGATCCGTTTCCAAGTGGCAGTACTGGACCGAAGACCCAGTGCAAAAAGCAAGTTGCCGATGAATGACAAGCAGGCAAACGGGCTCTCCGTGTACGGGGCTGATAGAAAGAGGCCGGCGGGCGAGAGGATGTGCAAGACAGCCGCTACATAGGCCAGCGTTTTGTTGTTGAAGAGGACGAGAGTCAGCCTGTGGAGAGCCAGCACGGCGGCTAGATGCGTCAAATTCGTAAAGACGATGGCCACCACGGGCTCGAGGGCCCCGTCGCCAACCAGATGCAACCCCTTGAGCACCTTGAGGATGCCATCGACGGCAACGGGCAATGCCGCCCCAAACGCCCATTGCTGCTCGTAAACATAGCCGCCGTGCGCAGCCTGCATGAAATACAGCGCATCCCATCGCGTCAATTTGGTTGCTAGGGCTGAGGCGTTGACGCCAGCGCCGTGCATGTGCTCGAAGAAGAGGGACGTTGACGTGTCATAGTCGTGGCTGACGGCGGTTCCGAGGGCGATGGAGAGTAAAAAGGCCTTCCAAGCGGCAAAGACGGCGAGCAGCGAGTAAGTGGGCGAAGATTCATGAGAGATTAGACCCATCTTTGCCGTCGTGGAAAGAATGAGTGCTGGGTGATGAGTAGCTGTTGGGCTTTGATCGTTTTAGATCATTTGCTTGAGTGGATTCACATGGACCGAGTGCAGCTCAGCTGGGGCTGGATAATCCCGCAATTGACATCGGCAGAGTACAGTGAAAGAAAATGAAAACAAAGCAGAGAGAGGGTAGAGAAATTGCAAGCCTAGCATGAAGTGGATGAGGCAAACACCGAGGGCGGCCGCATGTTGTTTCTGAATACGCGAATGCAGTTGAAGTTCACAGTCGTTCGGTTGGCTTAGCGGTATTTTGTACCCATTGAACCGCTGAGGGCTCCATTTTTGTACCTCTGGTGTTATTTGAGCGGGGGCTTTGCGGCATTGGGCTTAGAAAGGTACTTTCACCCTTGGTGAAAATGCCGGATGGGTACATGGATTCTGGTAGCTCCAACCATCCATAGGTAAGGTACCAGCACTGCCTTGAATCTAGATGGGCTGCAAAAAGCAGGCCTCGACATATTCCGTGGCACTCAGGATAGCGCGTGCAAAATCACGTACAATGAGGCACTGGCAAAAGAAGCCTTGTAAAATTTAATTTTGTATTCAAGGATGTGTATCTTATAGGTATATCTTTGAGGCACCTAACCCGCTCACCAGTTGGTTAATTCCTGCCCTACATTGCCAGTCTGCTCTATGAAATGAAAAGAAATGAAACGAAAAGGAAAGAAATAAAATGAAAAGAAATAAAATGAAAAGAAATAAAATGAAAAGAAATAAAATGAAAAGAAATAAAATGAAAAGAAATAAAATGAAATTCTAGCCTGCACCTTTTTTAAGAGGGTGTTTAAATACTAGTACAAAATATCTCGCCTCATGTCGTCGTCGCTACTGTTTCTTTCTGAACATTCCCTCATTAATACTTTTCGCCAGTCAAGATGGGGAGAGCTTCATCAGTCGTCCACCAGCTCACCCCCTTCTCGCCGGGATAAGAGTATCGGTCCATGCTCTCTGGCTTCATCTCGACGCTGTATCCAGCTTCTGTCGGGGTTTGGTAGTACCCGTCCTTGATAACGGAGGGATGCAGGAAGTGCTCGTGGAGGTGGTCGACAAACTCCAGGACGGAGAGCTTGCCGCTGACGACGACATAGTCGATGGTGCTCAAGTGCTGGGTGTATTCGGGGAGGCCAACGCCACCAGAGTGTGGCACAATGGGCACCTTGAACTTCTTAGCCATGAGCATAACAGCCAGGGCCTCATTCACGCCGCCCAGACGGCAGGCATCGATCTGGCAGATGTCAATGGCACCGGTCATGAGCAGCTGCTTAAACATGACACGATTCTGGCACATTTCGCCGGTAGCAACGCCAATTCCGTAGGGCTTGAGGGCTTCTCGGACCGCCTTGTGGCCCATGACATCGTCTGGAGAGGTTGGCTCTTCGATGAACCAAGGCTTGAATTCGCTGAGCTCCTTCATATAGTCGATTGCCTCAGGCACGGACCAGACCTGGTTGGCATCCACCATGAGGACGTTGCCCTTGTCGAAGCCGAGGATTTCTCGTGCGATTCTCAGGCGCCTCTTGTCCTCCTCGACGTTTCCGCCAACCTTGACCTTGAAGTGTCTGTATCCCTCGGCCAGGGTGTCTCTCAGCAGCTGCTTCATCTTCTCCTCTCCATACCCTAGCCATCCCGCACTTGTTGTGTAGGCAGGGACAGCTCGGTTCTGAAGAGCCTCTTCAATGCGCTTGGCCTTGCCGGGCTCTTGCTCGCGCAGCATCTCAATGGCTTCCTCTGGAGTAATGGCATCGGTGATGTAGCGGAAATCAATGCATCGGACGTATTCCTCTGGCGTCATGTCGGCGACGATGCGCCAGACGGGCTTGCCAAGGGTCTTTGCCCACAGATCCCAGACGGCATTGACGACGGCACCGAGCGCAAGGTGAATGACGCCCTTTTCGGGGCCAATCCACCGCAGCTGACTGTCGTTGACGAGATAGCGCCATGTCTTTCCCCAGTCTGCTACGAGCGATGAGAGTGTCTTGCCCTTGAGTCGATCGGCAACGTGGAGGATGGCGGCACAGACGATGTCGTTTCCGCGCCCGATGGTGAATGTCTATTAGAAAACGAGCTGTTAGCTCACTTGAAGCGCGTGGACGATTTGCGCCAAAAATCTGAGTAAAGAAATGCTAACCATGCCATGACCGCTGTATTTTGAATCAGTCTCTAGAATGCAGTACGCCGCTGAGTAGTCTCCTGCAGCATTCATTGCATCTGAGCCTGTCTTGTCGAGCGATGTTGGGAATCGCACATCGCGACTCTTGAAACCCGTGATGGTAACTTCAGACATTTTGGGGTATACGATATGTGATTAGGAAGTAACAATTGAAAACGAGACCACAAAACTTGACAAAGGTATGATGAACGACCTCAGCTACGTGGCGATCGCCAAAGGGTATTTATTGCTCTATTTATTGTTCTACTACAAAGCCGATTTCGCTGACGCTGACCTCGTTTGAGAGTCCCACGAGCAGCATGATCTTGGATATACGCGACGGAGAATACGTTGTCGTAGATGGTTTGCGCCTCGTTTGCTCTTTTGCCCGATTATTGGTGGAATTCAATAAACCGACGTCTTCTTCAGCGGGAGGCAAAGCGGTTTTTAACGGGCCATGCACCTCGCTGCGATATAGACCGAGAGATAATTGGCTGAGGAGTGGAACCGTGCAAGGTAAATCGTGAAAAAAAGACGGGAACTCATGACATAGTTCCTGAGGGGCTGAGTTTTGGGGAAATTTGATTCGCGCGCGTCTGGTTGAATGTGAGTCCTCGTCAAGCAGCTTGTCTTGCTACGAATTCATGCTTGATGCTTGCAATGATTTGAATCATCAATCATCTCAGCAACTGATTGATCTTTCACTTTAACCAATAGAAATAGTCACGAGAGTCACTCGTTTGCGAAATACTACTAAGAAACATAAATACTGTACATATCACGTATACCTACTATACGGCTACTACTACTACTATATACAGCCTCAAGGTTTGATATGGAGGGGTTCGGCATTCTATCGGAGAAGCCCCCTCCCCCGCCCCCGCATGGCGATGGAGCTTCTCGTGTTTGGCTCGGCATAAAAATCCGAGAGCTTTTGCCGTGGGAGTGGGCTGCTTAATATGATAATTGCTTATGTATGCGGAAGAGAGGGCTGCATACATTTCATACCTGGTTAATGAGTGGTGTGTCGTAATCAGGGGAGCAGATGCATGCTATCATTTTGGCGATGAGATGATTTTTGAGCCTCCTATTTGCTCTGCAACTGCGAACAGAGTTAATATTTTTTTTTTTGTTCTGGCATTTTTGTACCGTCGGTTTTGCGTGGCTTATGGCGTCCCAGATTAGCGAAGGCTCACTCCGCAGTAGCCGATAATGAGAAGAGCGTATTTTTCCGACGGCTTTTCTAACCACGAGTTGTTGACAGTTGAGAACAATAGGACGCCGAGACGGCAGTTAACAATTAGGTATTGCAAATGCACAACTTGAACACACAAGTAGGAATAGGAGCTCGAAAACTATTAAAGAGTCCTGATATATTATATATGGTACATGGTTGAAGCCGTATAAATGCTACTGGATGTAAAATTACATACACTTCTACCTAGCAGATACGATTCAAGTGCTCGGTAGTTGTAGTTGAAGTAGTAGATGTAATAGATATAGCAAACATAGCAGATGCAATAGCAACAGTAGAAGGCCATTTACGTACAACTTGTATTATAACTATAATATGCGAAATCGGAAATTCGTGTGATTACGGTTACAAGATTCCCTATTTTTCATGCTTCCCGCTTAGATGCCAACTAGCTGTTGTATCTCCTATCGAGTTCCGCATCTAACTAACCACCTTGTGTTGTGCTATACTCATAACTTGTAGCTATTAGCTGAAACTATATGCCCACACATGTTGGAGTACTTGAACACTGTTGGATAACCCGTCACGTCAGTTAATAGAAGACTATGCATGGTGCTTTTACTTATGCACACTCTCTTGTATTTTTCAACTTTTTCTACGTACATCCATCTTCAATTTGCATTCCTGAATCTCTGGATACTACGAGAAATGCCCCACACTGCCTGGCTCATTTGGAATACCTCTGACCTCGTCGTCATCGTAAGCACCTGTAGTATCCACGCTACTGTCCGGAGAATATACTCCATCTATCCGGCAGAGGATGATGGGTATTAACTATCTTGCTCAAGGAGAGTAGCTATTCGTCTCCGCACATAACCCCGCATTACTGCCAAGCTACTCTCAAGTGTTGGCAGTCACATGCCCTTTTAAGGAGCGTTTCTCCTCACATGTGCTGCACAGGAACCACTTTGACAAGTTGGGACATCCTGGCGAACATCTGTCGATGAGCTAGTATAGTTCTGAGATGATCACTCAAAAACTCTTAAAAATCTGTCCCATCTTGGCAAACAGATGAGGTGGCGGGACAAGATGTGAAGCCACATCACATGGCCATTGCAAGGATTCGCGGAGAATTGAGTTAAGCTAGTTTACCTGTTCCTTGCAGCGGCTGAAAAGTGGTTGGACTAATGCCTTAAGCAGTAAAAGATCGTCCTTTTCTTTGTATATTGCAACTTCACTGCGTTTAAGTTAATGATAAATTCAAGATCACGAACCCAAATCGCGGGATATGTCAATGTCAAAATAACAAGCAAATGCTAAAATTCGCTCTATTTCATCATACTGGGCCTTTACCAGCTCTTAAAACCTCTCAATTGCGGATCATCCGAACAAGTTTCCTGCTTATATGGAGCAGATGGAGTACCCAAAAAGTGGTCTGCGCCTCGGATTTCTAACGCCACCATTGACTCAGTTAAAACTTTGAACGCCTCTAACACTCGAGCATCTCAACAAAGAACCCCCCACTGTGCGCACCTCACAGTCCAATTAATTGCCGAATAGCAGATGATTTGACTTTATGGCTGCTTAAGAGGCGCCAATATTATCGTACCACTAAGTAGCGGGCTTGAGATCTGTACCTGTTGGCGAAACGTCCCCCTTTGCCACCTGGAGATCGGCTCGCCTCAGTTCAGGTCCTGAGTTTGCTAATTGGCCTATTGAGACTGTTGATGGGTCGAAACAAGGCAAAGCAGTTTCAAGAGCTGATGGATAGTGGAACATATATGGATACAATGGCTTGGAAGGCGATAGAACTGACTGATTCCGAGGTGGAGTGTGTTTCCGATACCGATCTCCCCTCACCACCTTTGATAGACAATCTTTGAAGATAAATGAAGGAGACCATCCCCCTCATCCAAATGTCCTTTTTCTTTATTCATTTTATGTTTAGTCTTTTGTGTATAATTGCAGCATCAACCACCAAATATGCGAGTTTCTTCTCTTCTAGCCCTCCTGCCGCTGGCAATGGCCGCCCCTTCAAAGCGAGCCAGCCCGGCGCCAGTATTGGTTCCCCGCGGTGCCAAGGTTCTAGAGGGCAAATACATCGTTAAGATGAAGACAGAAGCTCAGCTTTCGGCAGTTGAATCTGCTCTTTCTGGTGTCAGCGCTGGCGCAGACCACAGATATTCCCACAGCTTCACTGGCTTTGCTGCTTCCCTGACACCCGGGGAGCTTGAAGCCTTGCAGAACGATCCTAATGTGAGTTGTCTCTTTATACGGCATAGTACGAGAGTGAGAATTAATGAGTTTCTCAGGTCGAGTTCATTGAGCAAGATGCTACTGTCAGCACCAAGGGAATCATTACTGAGAACAGTGCCGACTGGGGCCTGTCTCGTATTTCCAACAAAGAGCCCGATACCACCAAGTACTCTTATGACTCTAGTGCCGGAGACGGCACTTGTGCGTTTGTAATAGACACTGGAATCGACATTCACCACCCTGAATTCGAAGGCCGAGCAAAGTGGCTAGAGAACTTCGTTGGCGACGGCCAAGATGCAGATTTGTTTGGACACGGTACTCACGTCTCTGGCATCATTGCCGGCAAGACATTCGGAGTCGCCAAAAAAGCCAATCTTTTCGCCGTCAAAGTCCTCGATGCAACTGGCCAGGGCAACAAGTATGTCTTCTGAATTTCTCCAGACTTATCTGTTGCATGCGCTGACGAGACTTTCTTATAATAGCTCTGTAATTATTGCTGGCATGGACTACGTCGCCAAGAACGCAAGCAGCCAGCATTGCCCCAAGGGCATTGTTGTCAACATGTCTCTGGGCGGCATCAAAACTGATGCCGTTAACTCAGCCGCTCTTTCTATAACAAATGCTGGGCTCTTTCTCGCTGCAGCTGCCGGCAACGATGCCCTCGATGCCGCTGATTTTTCGCCTGCCTGTGTGCCTTCAGTTTGCACAGTTGGCGCCACTGACAGGAACGATTCTTTCGCTCTCTACTCTAATAGAGGCTCAGCTGTTGATGTCCTTGCTCCCGGGACAAATATCACATCAGCTTGGCCTGGTAATCTTACCAAGATTATGTCTGGTACCTCAATGGCCGCTCCCCACGTAGCTGGTCTAGGTGCCTATCTTCTTGGCCTGGGCCAGAAGATTGGCGGCCTCTGTGGTACAATCTCTTCTTCTGCTCTCAAAGGTGCTATCAAAGATGTGCCTCAGAGCACTGTCAACTTGCTTGTCCAGAACGGCGTTTAGCGCGTTATAAAGAGACTACATGACGGATGCATGGGAAGCTTAATGATGCTCAAAATAGAGCGTTTATGATCATAACATTATTGCATATAATACTTGCATATCACATATTTTATTGTATTTATATTTCGGGAGGAAGCGACTCTACATAACACGCATATGCGTATATATATATATCATTTTCGCATTATCAAGGAGGTCTACAAGTTGGTGGACTTGATGATCTATTTAGTATACTTGTATGTGTGAATGTGACTGTGACCATTAGAAAGGGGAAAGCTTGAAGCAAACGGATGGGCATGATAAATACAGGTGGGAGTACGTGACCACTCATCACACACAATACATGAAAAAAAAAAAACTGAGCTCATATTCGTCATGCAAGTGGGATGAAGTACTAATGACAAAGTAAGAAAAATAGGGACCGTAAAATGAAAATGCAAGTACAAGGTAGGAACAAAAAATTTGAAACTATAGTAAAGAACTTCTCATTATATATCCATATACAATAGAAGAATTATAAATAATATAAAGCAAATAGAAGCACTAGATTTGACAGAAGAACCAGATTAAATTGAAGAACCAGATTTAACAGAAGAACTAGATGTGATAGAGTCACAAAAGTCTAACTTATACCCCAGTAGTTGACTAATATGAGTAAGTAATATATCTAACTCTCTAGAAATATGTCTTGCCCTCTCTTGGTTTCCTCTTGGAACCTTGAGCCTTACTGGATTCCTCGGCGTAGCTTGAGAGATTTGATTGTGTCGACCGAGGATCCACATTATTTGTCCTAGGAGTATTGTAATAGTAGTTTCGACTTCCTCTAGGCTTATGATGCGCAGAACTTGGTTCTAGGGAACGCCCGGAGTTCTGGCGGGTCTGAGAAGTAGAGTACTCTACATCCTCGTACACGTCATTTCTTCGAGCCTCGGGCTCAATATAATCTTGGCGAGGAATTCGGCCTTGAGAATGTGATCCTTCGCTTCGTGAATAGGTATGCCGCGATGTTAATTTCTCTTTAGAGCCTGCTTCAACATAAGAGAATAGGGGGCTCCTATCCTTAAAGCCGTCATGTTTTGTATTCTGGGGCTTGTCTTGATGTTGAGTTATGAGAACGGAGGGGCGATTCTGCTTATTCCTGGAAGTCGTCTTGGAAGATGTCAAAGGACAGCTGCACTGTTTCCATTTGGTACCACATCTACTACAATAGCGTGTACCACAGCTACTAGATAAAGTGTGAACAGAGATACCGAGGACTTTTGATGCGAAAAGACTTACCAGGTTTGATAGTCCCTTGGACTGTCGTTATTGACGATACGAGCACCACAGGCATAGCATTGTGGCTTCCGCAGTTTTTCTGCAAGACGGGGTTTTATTCCTGGTTCTGCACTTCGTTGTCTCAATGTTGGTTCTGAACTTCGTTGTCTTGGCGCTGGTTCCATGCTTCGTGGTCTCGATGCTGGTTTTGCACTTTGTCGTTCCGGTTCTAAGAACTGTCCATCCTTCCAAGGGCGAAATCCAAAGGGGATAGGGATTCTATCTTTCAAGCCATCCCAGGTTCTTATGGCCGTCCAAAGCTCAGCAGATAGCTTCGTCTCTGCCTTAAGGGCGCCTGAAGTAAACAAAATTTCAATAAAGCTAGCAATGACTTCGTTAAATCTGCACCCACAGCCGTTGGCGGTAACCACTTTGCCGCATAAAAGACAAAATTCAGCCTGTTGAAGTCTCTCACTTTTGGCACAAGCCGAACAGCTCACCGGCTGTTTCCAAATAGGAACCGAGCTGTTAGTTACCAGCAATGAATCTTTGGGTGAAAAATGTCCGTTGGCGCAAGTCCACCCAGATTCTTTCAGAATCTTTAGATCCTTCCATATATCCCAAATGTTCGCGATCCGTGGATCAAGAAGAATTCTTGTGAATTTGCTTTTGCCAATCTCCTCCAGAGAGTCGCAGCAGCATCTGATGGGCATGTGCGCGGGAGACAACAGTGACAGCGCCAACAGCTGAACAAGGCATGTATGGCATATATAGTGCTTGCACGGAAGATACTCGACTGGACCACGGAACATTTGTATAGTGTATGCGGATAGGCAGCTATGGCAGTACACGGTGGTGGTTGGTCTATTTGGTCCCGTTAGCATAATGTTCTAATGCAACGACGACATTGTGAATTCATATATTCCCATACTCATCTACTGGTGATATTGGAGACAATTCAGTTTCGGTAGCGACAAGTGTGTCCACAGAGGGACGATGCATTGCAGCGCTATTCTTGATCGGATGAGTTGCTGATTGGGGCCTCTCCGCGGGCGACTTAGATTGACCTCCACGACCATCCTCTGGTCGTGCGCGAGATCGAGAGCGGCTTCTGTCGACGTGATAATCTTCAACATCATTCCTAGAACCGTTGATCGCCCGGTTGCTAATCAGACTACTAATGATGGATTCAGCAAGGCCATGCTTTCCTTGGTCTGCCCCATGAGTAGCATAAATAGCATCAACAGCATCAACAGCAGCGGCACCGGCGGCGGCGGTGAGGATTCTCTTAGTTTTTTCTCCTCTCCATCCACCAGGCTCTTTAGCGACACGAAATGCCTCGGCAGCTCCAGCCAGAAGCGATGCAACAGCCGCTCTTTGCGTTTTGCTGGCACCTCCACTGCTTCTGGAGTCATTCTCAATCATTTTTGTATTCAAAACGAGTGGCCGTTTGTTTCTGCTCTGCATTCTCTTCGGAGAAGGAACTGTGTCAGTGTTAACAGCCGCGTCGGTTAAGTGGTTGCTGGTATCAACTTGTTTCAGGTCTATGAGGGACATTAGTCGGTTCTAGCATCTGAAATAGTTTGTTTATCTAGGATATAAATACCTGAAGAATCAGTTGATATTTTATTTTGACTGGAGGTGTGAGAATTGATACCAGTTTCGCGATTTGTGGGAGACGTTATGGCTTCCTGTATGCTCTCTCGACTTGAATCATCTGGTGTGACAACCGTTGGAAGACTATTGCCAACTAGATGGGAATCATCTGTCGAACTTTCTAAAACATACTTGTATTCGGCTGGTAAGCACCTCCCTGGGTCAATGCTTAGAGTCTCTTCAGAGTCTTCCACGGATGGTGATTGATAGACAATAGCCTTTGACTGGATCAACGTTTGCTCGTGGGGAGTAGATACAGCTACATGTTTTCCTCGAGAATCCGCAAGATCATGTTTCATATCATCTTGGTTAGAAAGGTGAAGTTGCTTCATCGTCCGATCTGTTTTAGACATTATATCAGGGGTGATTGTACTTGTACTCCAAGCCTTGGACGCTGTTGATGCAAAGGTGAAGTCTGATAACTTGTCCAAGTTTTGTCCTGATGTAAAGCTACTTTATTTTTTTTGTGTCAGAATAGATGTCATTACTGTATATGAGTAGGCACTCACCTCTGCTGAACAGCCTCATCAGTAGAAGTATCGGCGCATAGCAACCATCCATGACTCTTAGCCGTTGGCGCTGTCGGTCGATCCCCAGATTTGGAAGACATGAGCTGCATGATAAATTCCCGGCCCTCCTCCGATACATGATGCTTTTGCAAAGAGTTTGATGGGAATGAAGATGATTTATATGCGTACTCATATAAATCACCCAAATTTTCGAATGGAACGGTATTGGTGAGCATTAGGTATGCCATTGCACCTAAAGACCACATATCCACAGAATGGGTGTAAGAAGATGCGGTATTCTCCGACTTGAAGTTTAATAACTCAGGTGCTGTGAACCCATGAGTTCCTATCTGCTTCGTTCGTACGGTCGTGACGCCTGGCTGCCGGCGTTTGCTGATGCCAAAATCGGCTATTTTGACAAACCACTCCGGCCCTGCAGTTACCACCAAGGTATTCTAATAAATCGTTAGCCCTAAAGATGAACTAAGATGAAAGATAAATTGATAGCGATAGGCGGATATCGTACTCCCGGTTTAATGTCTCGGTGGACGAAGCCATTCTCGTGCATAAACTCCAGGCCTTCTAAAACCTGAAACGTAATTCTTCGTGCTTCAGGCTCTGGTAGCGGCTTTGTGAGATATCTCTGTAAATCGCCCATCTCATAATATTCCATGGCAATAAATACGGAGTCGTCAATTTCGAACCACCCAAAACATTGTACAAAGCAGTGAGCGTACTATCAAATCGGTTCTTAGAGCTGAAGTCACAATGCAGAGCCATCGCTACCGAGCACAAAACAGCATACATACCTTGTAATGTGAAAACTTGATTATTGCGTCGAGTTCTCTTGAGTATTTGAAGTCTTGACTCTTAATCATTTTGACAGCTCGTAATTTTTCTTGCTTATCGCCCTGAACACATTTCTCCAGGTACACTGTACCGTAACCGCCCTGCCCCAAGCGCTTCTGTCGCTTCCATTTTTCTTCTTTCCGTATATGGCGTTCTCGTGCTGATGATCCGCTCTCATAAAAGATGTGCTTGATGTATGCGTCGTATACTTCCGTTTCGATCTTCCAGTCGCGCACGATGTCAGAAAGCCCCGACTCCGAATGTGGAGGCATCTTGCTGTCTTTGGAGGAGGAGATACACACGCAAGGTGTTGTCTCGACAGATGAAGAGTAGAGACAAAGGTAAATCTGCCCTTATGAAAGAGTTAGTTAAAAGAATGGTATATGTTTTCCATTCGTTTGACCTCAGAAGGTTCTGGAGTTTCGCTGGTCAGCTGAGCTGAGTTCAGCGGCAAGACGACATAGCCCCGTTGGAAAGCCTTGTACACATATTCGCTTGGGAAATCGTCCAATTATATACCTGGTAGAATATAGAATGGTGTAGAGCTGAAAAGAATTCACATCAGGCTGCCAACCCCGCTCGAAGAGGCAGCCGACATCAAGCCTCGTCGCCTCATAATAAAACGCATTCGAAATTCTTCAAAACTTGGGAATGTATCGTATCGACATAGTAAACCTTTAGTTGAATAAAATGTCGGCGGTTGATCTAGTTACCACAGCCATTGGCACGGCAAATCTCTGTCTTCAGTACGTGGGAAAGCTAATAATAAAAAAAGGCATTCGGCCACATGTGGTGTGCTAACAACAAATAAAGGCATGGACAAAAGCTGATGAAAGCCTATCAAGATTTCAAAAGCGCTGACAAGCAAGTAAACGAGAAAATCCTACATGTGCAAAGCATTTGGGCCCGAACAGAAATACAGATTGAATTTGTGAAACAGGTGGCAGGTGCCTTGAACAGAGAGCATTGCAGGATCCACTTGCAAATATTCGACATTCTAATAAGCAAACTATCTAGAGCAGCCACTAAGCTTGAGGCTGTTCTAAAGGAGAATTATGGCGTCAAGAAATGGAAATTTCCATTCGTTCGCGATGCAATTGACGAGGCTATTTTGGATCTTGACCAGTGGCAGCGTATCTTTGATCCAACCTGGTATCTGATTCTTCTTATTGGAGATGAGTTAATTGACAAAAAATTGTCAATACCACCTTCAATCTCTCATATTAGCACGATAGATTCATCCCAGACAGAGATGCTGAGTGGGGATTCGCCTCTTGTCCCAGCACAAAGATTTCGAGGTAGCCTCGGTGCTGAAAGAGAGAAAGAATCTCGGCCAAAAATATCTATCAATCTTTCTGAAAGTGGCCTAGATTGGGGCAATGCAGCTCAAGTAAAATACTCTAGTATTTACTTGATCCCGAGGGCAGCTTCAAAGAAGAAGTTCGCGGTGGACACGATTATTTGCGATCAGAGTCTCGATATCACCAGCGCTAGAGCTGACGCGGAGTCTCTAGCCAAGAAACTCGCCCAGTTAGACCGCCGAACTGCTGGACTCCTAAACTGTTTTGGCTTCATCAAGAGAAAAGATGCAGAGGGCCGCAAACTTGCCTCGCTACACTTGGTTTTCAGTCTGCCGGCAGAAGCTTCTGAGCCCAAAAGCCTACGGCACCATTTCTTGCATAGCAAGGACTTCAGCTTGACCACGATATTGACTGTGGCACGGCAGCTCGTCAGCGCCGTCAGCTACGTTCACACGTGTGGCTGGGTTCATAAGAACATCCGCCCGGAAACAATACTTGTGTTTCCGCAACAGAAAGCCGCTGACGCCTGTGCCCTAGGGCCTGCGTATCTCTTGGGATTCAACTCATTTCGAAGTGTCAACTTTCGCACAATGAGAGCCGGTGACGACGAGTGGGATCGGAACCTTTATCGATATCCCTCACGGCAAGGATTGCTTGCTCAGGAGGACTACATAATGCAGCACGATGTGTATAGTCTGGGAGTATGTCTCTTGGAACTGGGCTTATGGGAAAGCTTTGTCTGCTGCGAAAGCGGTACAGGAGATCAAAGAGGCGAGAAGAAGCGTCCATCGGCAAGTTTGGGACTTGAGCTGGACAGCTTCCAATCCCAGGAAGAGGGATCTGTGCTATCAGCGAAGATAAAAGCTCGGTTGGTTGATCTCGCGAGAACCAAGCTGCCGTCTCGAATGGGTGACAAGTATACGTCTGTTGTTGTTACTTGTCTTACATGTCTTGATCCAGGCAACAAAGATTTTGGAGATGACGAAGATATGCGAGATGACGATGGCATTCTGGTTGGGGTTCGCTTCATCGAAAAGGTCTTACTCAAATTAGAAGAAATAGCATTATAGACACCCATGTGAGGAGCAGAAAATAAGGGAATGCTGGGGCCATAAGGACGCAGCTGTAGGATAAGTTTCAACAAAGAATTCCGAAAGAATAACGGTCTAAAATATGAATACAATGACCGATAGGGGGAGTATGAAGTAGGAAGTGTGCGCAATGAATGGCCTGCTGCACGCTCTTTTGGTCTACAGCAGGTAGGCAGACAGGTACAGTAGTAATGAGCCCCACTTCAGCTACCGTTAATTCTAGAGCTCAGCTTCCCTCCATCAACTGAATTCACCACTCGCCATCGCCGCATCCAGCCGGATGGGTTACGCGACACTGTTGGCATATTCTTCAAAACCATGGACGACGATGACTACGGCGCAGATGATGCCTTGCTGGAGGCAATGGCGGCCGTGGACTCGGGCCCCTCGGCAGCCGGTGCTGTCAAGCAGCCCACGCCACAGATTATCACCAAGCCCGCAGCCAGCAGCGGCGGCAGAGGCAGCAGCTCAGCAACTCCCATAGTGCAGCCAAAACCTCAGATAATCCAGCAGAAGAATCTCGGGTCGACGATCCTCGTATCGCCGCGTCAACGAGGCAACCCGCTTCTGACGTCTATCCGGTCGATACCCTGGGAATACAGTGACATACCAGCCGACTATGTCGTCGGATTGACTACTTGTGTGCTGTTCTTGAGGTGAGGGCATATTATTCACGGCTACGACTTGCTGACCCCTCACGTATTGGTTCTAACTTTGAGTGCCCGTATCTAGTCTTAAATACCACCGTCTACATCCCGAGTACATCTACACGCGCATTCGCAATCTGCAAGGCAAATACAATCTGCGTATTCTTCTTACTCTTGTTGATATTCCAAACCACGAGGACTCCATACGTGAACTATCAAAGACTTCGGTGGTAAACAACGTTACCGTTATACTATGCTGGTCCGCAGCTGAAGCTGCCCGTTATATCGAGCTCTACAAGTCGTATGAGAACGCCAATTTCTCGGCCATTCGCGGACAGCAATCCACCAATTATGCGGACAAGCTAGTGGAATTCGTCACGGTGCCGAGAAGCTTGAACAAGTCAGATGCGGTAGCCCTGGTTGCCAATTTCGGCAGCCTGAAGAATGCGATAAATGCAGAGCCAGAGCAATTGAGCATGATGAGCGGGTGGGGCGGGGTGAAAGTAAAGAGATGGACTGCCGCGGTCGAAGAGCCATTCCGAGCAAAGAAAGCGGCCAAAAGAGGTTTCCAGTCATCATCGGCAGCAGCTGCTGGGCGTGATTCAAGAGCTGCGAGGGCGAATGCTGCCGCCGATCGGCCAGAGACTCAAGAGCCTAACCCTCGGGCTCCCCAAACAAAGGCAACACCATATAGTTCTTCAAATTATAATTCGCCTGCTGGGAACTCATCAGACCATCAACCCGGGGGCGCCCAACCTCCCGCGCAGTTTCGTTTCCTAGACGAAGACAGCGAAGATGACGAGGAGGCATTTGAGACGATTAATCGAGAAGAAAAACAGGCTCCCCAGCCAACACAACCACAGCCCAGTAAGGAAAGTAGCCAGCTAAGTGAGGGCGTAGCAGCGGCACTGGCAAAGCTACGACAAAACGGGTGAAGACGTTAACTCTCGCATGATTTCACATGTTCCCCCACAGAATCCTACATCCACGACATGTCGGTTCGCGGCCAAGCGCCGCAGAACTGCCGAGAAAGAGGGGGGCTAGCATTAGTAGTCGATGCGCGGCTCATTAACGCATGAAAATGCGTCACGGTAACACCTTGTACTCCGCATAATAGCCATTTCTTTTACGCCCGTTCATAGCCGCGCATGGATTTAGAAGAACAAATCTTCTGGGCAAGGAAAGGTTGCCAAGTACAATATGGGGTCGGTCTGGTCCTTGCGTACAGGTAAGACACCCGCCAGCCATATTGAAACATGCGTTGCATTGTTGAGTTTGTATTGGAGCGCTGTCGCCGGGAATGGTGGTAACCAGCGGGCAAGAGATCGCGCGCTCCAGCGATCGAGTCTTAGCTCTGGCGGCCGCATCAGGACCGATCACCTCTGCACCTCGGAGCTTCGTCCAACCAACGTCGGGCATCTCAGGCAAGCTTGTGCCTGGGGGTTGGAGTGCGGGACCCAGCCACAGCCCGGTTCCTGAAGTGCCGTCGCCAATCTGTGGAGAAGCCAGCTCGTCTGATATCATACCGCCGCTTAAATACTCGGAGGTGTACTCGAAGCGCTAAGCGTTAAACAGCAGGTTGAGGACGCCGGATTCACAGGCATGTCTAGTTTTGCTAGGCATCTAGGTAGGTATTCTACATATTTGGTTGGCCGTGTTACCTAGCCAAGCTAGCTTCGCATCCTGGCGTGCTACGTTGTATACTAAGTAATTATGCATACGAAATACTCAAAAGTACTTACAACATGCGGTCTCGTGCTTTTACAACCACAATGCTTTTCGGACTCGGACAGGTTATTGTTCTTGATATTTCACAATTTTCCGCCTTGACAAAGATGTAGTAAGCAATGGATGATACTTTCCGGGATCTGACTTTTCGTGGGATTGTCCGGACTTTTGGCCTTGTTATACACACCACCATCACGCACGCTCTTCTGCCAGATTTGGATCACAATGATACCTCAGAATAGGGTGTGATCTTCAACTTCCCCTCACGGCCCCTTGCAAGCGTGCCTAGGATACAGCAGATCCAATCAAGTTTCACGAAGCAATATGTCATTAGATCCTCGGGATCCATCCGGAAACTTCATCCTGTCCAGCTTGTTGGAGTAACCAAAAGATTTCGTCATGGACAGAGGCTATATGCAAGCTGTTGTTGGTTTTTGGTGTCACCTGCCTGCTGTGGCTTTTTCCACCGGCAAGCTCCGTCCGCTCTGAGGCTGCAAGACGCGCCAAAAATGCACGAGGCCGGCCGTTTTGTTCGAAAAGCAGCATGCCGGGATGCCGTGCTCGCATCCCTAAGCGGCGCCATGTCTCGAAATAGAGCAAAAGCGTAATCTCGGCTTCACACTAGCATAAACAATCATGGTGCCAATTGACTAGCGCCCCCTCATTCTCTTGCAGTAAAGGGAGGATCAAGAAATCGAAATGATTAAATTGCAGAGCTTTCCCGCCTCCCGAGCTGGAATCGGCAACCCGGTTTTCTGCTGAGCTTGGGCCTCTTCTCTCCCATCCTGCTGGCTGTACTATCCAAACGGCGCGAATTTAGACACCATGAGATTCATTAGTGGCTCCGTTGTTGCCCTTGGGCTCATTGCCCCTGTGTTGGCATATCCACGCCCGATCGGTGGAAAGCGCGGTTCACCCAATCCTACAAGGGCGGCAGCAGTCAAGGCTGCATTCCAAACGTCGTGGAACGCATACCACCAATATGCTTTCCCCCATGACGATCTTCATCCGGTCAGCAATACCTATGATGATGAGAGGTAAGCTACTGGTTCTGGGCGCCCGCCAGATTTGGTACCATCTGTGGTGGCTAACTTTATCTAAGAAATGGTTGGGGCTCATCGGCCGTTGATGGCCTGGACACGGCAATTCTTATGGGAGACGCCGACATAGTCAACACGATCCTCAAGCGTATACCGCAAATAAACTTTACCACTACTGCGGTTGCCAATCAAGGTATCTCTGTGTTTGAGACCAACATCCGATACATTGGTGGCATGTTGGCTAGTAAGTTTTTCTGTCCTCAAGACGTACGTATTGTTATATCGAAGTAGCCGTACTGAATGGGCTTTATTTAGGCTATGATCTGCTGAAAGGACCATTCAGTCATCTGGTGAGAGACCAGACGTTGGTAAAGAACCTGTTGACTCAGGCGGAATCGCTCGCGAACGGTCTCAAGGTTTCGTTTAATACTACAAGCGGTGTGCCGGACCCAACCGTTTACTTTAACCCCACTTACAGGAACAGTGGTACGGGAAGTAACAATGTTGCCGAGATTGGAACACTGGTACTTGAGTGGACGCATCTCAGCGATCTCACTGGCAATCCTCTGTATGGACAGCTTGCCCAAAAGGGTGAATCATATCTCCTAAACCCAACAGGAAGCCCAGAAGCATGGCCGGGTCTTGTAGGAACATATGTCAGCACAAGCAATGGCCAATTCCAGGATAGCGATGGCAGCTGGTCCGCTCTCTCGGACAGCTTCTACGAGTATCTGATTAAGATGTACTTGTATGATCCTGACACGTTTGGAGAGTACAAAGATCGCTGGGTTCTTGCGGCCGATTCGACTATTGCGCATCTTGCCTCTCACCCCACCTCGCGTCATGATCTGACTTTCTTATCGCAATATTCTGGACAAACTACGTCGCCACAATCAGGACATTGTAAGTTATTTAGACAGGTGCAAATTATCAGAGTAAGGAGCTTGACGCTAATCATTTTTCTCTTGTTTTTTCTCTTCCTCTTTAGTGGCTAGTTTTGCTGGTGGCAACTTCATTTTGGGAGGTATCCTCCTAGGCGAGCAGAAGTACATCGACTTTGGCATCGAACTCACTAATTCGTATTTTGACACCTACAACCAGACTGCTTCTGGAATCGGCCCCGAAGGTTTCCAATGGGTGGATAGCGCAAACAGCAGCAGCAGCCAGCCTCCCTCCTCTGTCGCAGGGTTCTACTCAAAGGCAGGATTCTGGGTAACGGCTCCGTATTACATCTTGAGACCAGAAACCTTGGAGAGCATCTACTACTCGTACCGAATCACGGGCGACTCTAAATACCAGGATATGGCATGGGAAGCCATCAGTTCCATCCTCAGCAAATGCCGCGCCGGCAGTGCATACTCGTCTATCAACGACGTGACGCAGGCCAATGGCGGAGGAGCCTCTGACGATATGGAAAGCTTCTGGTTTGCCGAGGTCCTTAAATACGCGTACTTGATTTTTGCTGAAGAGTCGGACGTCCAGCTGAAGCCAAGCGGCAACAAATTTGTATTCAACACAGAGGCACACCCCTTCAGAATCCGCCACTAAATGGGTGAGTGGGGGTATTTTACATGAACCATGAACCATGCATAAGAGTGCTTTGGATATGTGAATATAATATTAAACATGAGCCGCTAGAAATAGACTATTCATGAAATTCATGGTATTTATGATCTATATAATGAGTTGCACTTGAAAGGGGTAAATAAGGAAAATTCCATGGTGAATCAGTTCTAATAATATAATACAAAGCAAGCTTAAACTGCTTGGCTGTAAGCAACCGCCCGAGTTAAACGCTGCTGCCTTTCGCCTCATAAGTAAGTTGAGAGTTACTGTTTTCTTTCCCTTGTTACGGTTGATTATTGATGGCGTCTGTTCAAAACTCTCTGCTCTGGCCAATATCACAAACATCAAAGACGCCTTCTTCGGCAATGCCTTTACGCTTCAACGCCTCTTTCAGCTTTCGCGGGGGCTCAAGGACTTCCTCCATAGTCAAGGCCCACGTTCCCCAGTGAATTCCCATGGCCTTTTGGCATTTCGTGTCTTGAAAGATTTCGACCGAGTCATATGGATTGGCGTGCATGGCCGAGAAGGCTGCACGAGGAGCATAGGCGCCAATGGGGATCAGGCCAAGGTCGAACGGTCCGCGATGCTCGCCAATCTGCTTGAACTGGGGACATCTGGGGAAAGAATCGTATTCGGCAGCGTAGTCATCGACATCGGCTGGGAGATATGGAACGGCACGGTAGCCGGTGTCGCCGCCGAACCAGACGGACTTTTCGCCAGAGCGCACTCCCCACGAGCACCATAACGTGGTGTCTTTGTCAAAGGCAGTTCTGGCCGACGTGTGCTGACACGGCAGACATGATATCTTGGCCGAGATGGACTTTTTGTCTCCGCCAGCCGGGACTTTGACGGTCAGCTCGGCGTCTTCCCACCAGTCCAGCTCAGTGACGTTTTTCAAGCCGCTGGAGCGGAACCAGGATTCCAGGCCAAGCCCGACAAAGAATTGCACGTCTGGGTGGTGCTTCTGGATTTCCAGCACCGACGTGTGAGAGAGGTGGTCGTAGTGGCTGTGGCTGATGACGACGGCATCGACAATGGGAATGTCCTTCAGGTCGCAGGGCCGCGGAGTGTACCGCTTCGGCCCCATGAAGCGAAACGGCGAGCACCGATCCTCAAACACCGGATCAAACAGAACCCGCAATCCAGACGGAAACTCGACGTAGTAACACGCATGGCCCAGCCACGTCGCCCTGATCTTGTCCGACGCATCGCGCGAAGGCAGCCATTCGGGCTTCACAACAGGCACAGTCGGCGGCTTCGTGTCCGGCATCTTGATCTCGCCGGTAATGGTCGGCCAGACGACGTTGCCCAGGATGGACATGAAGTTGGGCGGATTCGACCAGGACGGATAGGGATTCTTGAAGCCGCTGATGGCGCCGCTCTTCTTGACGACGTGGTGAGGGTTGGAGGCGGCCTCTTCAGGGAAGTTGTCGCGGCCTTGGATTTTGGTGACGGACGTGGAGGAGAGATGGTGGGAGGCTGACGAGGAGATGGTGGAGGTTGATTTGCGCGTCATGGCTGCGGCGGCGGTTGCTGTTGCGGCTGCTGCTGTGACGAAGAGGAGGAGCGAGATGCGTTGCGTTTGGGCGGCGGGTTTGGCGATGCTTAGGGCGCGGGTGTAGTAGTGCTGCCACAGCTTTGGGAAAAGCCGTTGACGCGACTGCGACATTCGGGGATCTCTCTCTGTGTCTTTATAGAAGGATGGTGGACAGGAGAGAGGGAGAGAAAGAAAAGGGGGGAGGAGGAGGAAGAAGGAATGGTAGTCGGGACAGATGCCTTATCTTCACTTAGAGGCGATGCTCATACGAAGCACCAAAAGGATGCATGAGAATAAGCTACATGTGCACGCCCATGCATCGATCCCCTACGAGACAGAAACGTGGACCAGTAAGGCTGAGATCAAGCAGGGCCGCGTACATGTCCACGTACGTATTCCTCTATTTGCCTCGCTCCCCTAAACCAACTATCGAGCCATCGCTTCGCATAGAAACGAAACGACGGAGTTAACAACAAGCGAATGCGAAAACTGCCCCTCCCCACGGACCAGCAGCTGATTTCTCTTTTGTCCGAGATGGGCATGCAAGCGGTTTGGGCTGAAGGATTTAGGGCTTTTTTGCGGACTTCGGAATCCGACAAAAGCCATTTTGTTGTTGGCGGCATTTGCCCAAACTAGGCCCTGGATGTGCTTGCCTTGCACTGCATGCCTGCTATAAGGCTCGTTATAGTAGTAGCAGTAGTAGTAGTAGTAGTAGTAGTATCCCATTTAACAAGCGTGCAATGGCCTCTGCGTGTATACCGCTTTTTATGATTATTGATGGCTTGCCTTTTTTTTTTTTTGTCTCTTCATCGTCCTTCTTTATGAATTTGCCTTCCGCATTAGGCAATTCAGTCTTTTTTCGCTCTACTCTTTTCGGACGTTGCGGCCCGCCCTCACTAAAGGCAGTGGTTTTGAACTCCGCTTCGCTGGCGAATAAGCGGTTCTCTTGGCCGCTTTTTTGCGGAAAATGCAAAACAAGTGCTGACGTCCCGAGCGATCTCTAAGCTTAACACTAATCGAAAGATGTGTATGTACTTTTAAGCGAAAAGAAACGGTACGGGGTGCAGTGTTATTATTATTATTGGTATAATCCAAAGGCGGGCGGTGATTAACAAGTTCAGGTCCTTTGCTGGGAATCTTTGTGTAGAAGATAGATACATCACTACAAGTGCAACAACTTTCATCACAGCAGAGGAAGAAAAAAATCATACATGTTCAAAACACAAGGTTTTACCCAAGTGAAAATGTCATTGGCGTGTCAGGGCTATCCACCCTGCTATGCTAAACTACTGCGTTGCAATCGCAATCGCATTCACATCCCCATCACACGTAATATGTAATGTGCCAAGGTAAATGCGCCAACACAGATGTTCCCGCAAGACAATTTTCCCCCAATTCAACCAAGAGTCTCAGCAGATGCCAGATTTAGATGGCAAGTCTCTCGACCTTCTGCTGGAGAGCCTTGATCTGGCCAGAAAGCTCAGACAGCTCGTTGGAGCTGATGCTGGCGGCAATAACGGCACGGCTCACACCGCAAGCACGTCCAAGCAGAGTCTTGCTGGGGACATAAACGTACGGGACGCCCTTGTCTTCGCAGATGAGGGGGATGTGGAGGATGATGGCGAGGGGCTCGGTGTCGGCAGCAAGGACGGCAAGCTCGCAAGTACCACGGTTGATGGACTTGGTGACTGTACATTACACAAAGTTAGCCACAATCGCTAACGTAAAGAGAAACCAGCGTTGTCATTGGAGACACAACATACCTTCGTTAGCACCCTTCTTAGCCTGACGGATGTGCATGGCCGACTGGAGGAGATCCAGAATCTCCTGGGTCAGGGCGGCATCGGCCAAGGGCCAAGCTGTGTGAAGGAGAAAGTTAGCAGGCAAGATCATCAAGCAACTGCATGGAAAATTGTCTCCAGGGTCTTGGGAGATGGCTTACCAGCTTCGTTGGCGGTAGACATTTTCGAAATATGGTATAAGGGGCTCGCCCGAACAAGGCTCACGGCCGGATGTGTTTTGAGGAGATGTTGGAAAAAGTTGAAGGATGTTTGACGAGTTGCGTCTTTGGAAAAAAAAAAAAGTTTGGTGATAGCTATGCTAAAAAGCTTATCGGCCAATTGGAGCTAATCGCGGCATGGGAAAATGAATTCCCGCCATCACGTGATATTATTATCTAAAGCTTCCCGAACAGCGCGATATTAGTCTACTGTAAGGACGCCTTACACTAATAGCTGCGTTTTAAATAGAAACACGAATGTTGAAACAGAAGGATATTTGTTTTGTGTTTCTTCTTCTTCTTAGAAAATTCGATTGATTGGCTCATTTGGCCTAGATGGTCGACAATTCCTCTCAGTCGACAATATGAATAATTCGTTCAAAACCTTGCAATGAATTACGGCCGGTAAAACCATTGGCCTGGCGCCCTTTATGGGCTGAAGCACAATCACTTGCCATCAGTGTAAACAAATGCAAGGACTCAACATAAGAGGCATAATCCATATTCTTCCAAATCATCATTCATGTAATCAGCAAAAATAGCTGCCAGTGGTATCTTCAAAAATTTATGCGCAAAACATAGCCGGCACACAAGTCCCTTTACCAATCAACACCAGCAACTCCGCCCATCATCAAACGCTGTTGCAATCATAAAAATACCGTTCAAAGCACGCAAATATCGAGTAGCCGCCAAAAAAAAAAAAAAAATTAGATGTCGGGTAGTGTTCGAGTTTCATCCAGCATCATCTCGTCACCTCCTAGCTCCTTTTCTAGCTCGTCTGCTACAAAACCCTCGTAGTCGTCTAAGCTCTTTTGAACGTGAATCTTGAACTTGATTACGTCGTTTAGCATACGATCAATCTCCGTATGTAGCTCTTCTCGTAGCGAATTGGCCCGCAATACCAGCTGTTCGTACCTGGAGTTGGTTAAGACTGTTAGCTATTCTGATTTGCTTGAATGGCTGGCTTTGCTTTTCAGCAAGGCAGGGTGAAAACGTACTCTATAGTGGTGTTGATCTCGCGCTGTTCTAGTAATTGCACCGATTCTGTCAAGCCAGCGCGCATTCTGGACAGCTCCTTTTCCATCTTTTCGATTTGTGCATCAGATGCCATCTTCTGCGCTGTAGCAACTTCTTTGGTCTTTTCATATTCCTCTTCTGCTGCCCTGACTCTGTGATTTAAAGCCTCAACCTCATTCCGTTTATCTTCGATGGCCTCCTTAATGCCATCCAAGAGGTCATGATCTTTCATCATATCGTCCATGACAGCCCCGCGTCGATCTGCAATTTCTTTCCGCAGAGCTATAAAACTGTTTCGAATTTGTCCTCTAAGATCTAAATTGAGGACATGTCCTGGTTGATAGCCCGTCACAGCGTCGACTAGCAATCGATCTGTCGCAGGCGTATGCGTCGTGCTAGAGCTCTTCCAGTTTGACGAACCCATACTATTCTCGTTAAGAGTAACTTGCAGCTCGTATTCTCTGCCTTTGGCGTTGACCGCTGTAGCTGGGATGAGCGCTATTTGATAGGCTATGGTGTTGTACTTGTCTACCACGCGCTCTAGCTCATCAAGTTTTCGGCTGGCTTCGGCTTCCTTCTCCATCACCTTTTTTTTGATTTCATCGAGACGCTGTCCAGCCGATTCGATACCCTTTTGCAGGCGTTCACGTTCAGAAGTCATGCGGTCGATATCCTGCATGCTAATGCCTTGGTCGTCAACGGCTTTTTGGAGTCCTCGTCGCTCTTCTTCAACCTCTTTCAGTTCTTCCCTTAGCTTGTCCAGCTCCCCTTGTAAGACTTGGATTCGGGCTTCATATTTTTCTGAGCGTTGGACCGCGAGCTCGTTGTAGTCCTCAAACTTGATGCGATCCTCCTCCATGATTTTAAAATGATTATCCAAGACGGCAGGATCCGGTGTCGATTTTTCAAGGTCTTCTATTTCCTTTAAAAGTCTCTCGTTTTCGGCTTCCAGCATCTCGAGTTCCGCTGTATACTTTGAGTTGGATTGTTCAAACGCTCTGGCCATTGCCTCAACGTGCGGAGCCAGTAGTCGTTCTGCATCCTCATCGCCCATGTCGTCATCCATAGCGAGCCAGTCTCTGTACGCACTACTAAGGAAGCCAAATATGATTTGATCGCCACTTACATCGACACCAGCGTCGAGACAAGCCTCCATATAATGGTTGTTGGCATAGCCATCCAGCATTTGAGACAGCTGCATCATCCAGTGCAAAAGGCCCAGAAAGGTGCTCCAATTCTGTCCACCCACTGCGGCAATCTGGCTTTTTGTGATACTGCGCTCAAAGGGATATCGAAGCTGCTTAAGAATGGGCGGCACTTCTTGGTCGATATTCTTCTGGAATCGATGGCTAGGGTCAATTCGGTGATACAGCCATTGAAACATGAAATTGAAGTCCTTTTGAGTTGGAGATTTGAGAATGTTTTGTGACAGCGAATGCTTCATCTCCATCTCGAAGTTGTTTTGAACCATAAAGTCCATTAGCTCCTGGGCGATTCGGGCTTGAAATGATCGATCTCTCAAGGGTCGCGGGTCGCGTGGAACTCCCGCCGCCTGGGGCGTCGTTTGGAAGAAGCTCTGGTGGCTAACAGGACCGACTGTTGATGGCCGCGGCCGGTATACGCTGCTGCGCCTGTCGCTTTCCATCGACGGTCTCGCCAAAGCGGGGGTGAAAGCCGAAGGAGTATAAGTCGCTCTGGATTGTTGAAAGGAGGTTCGTTTGACAGAAGATAATCCAAGGTCAGCCAGGTTGGCGCCAGATGATGCACGCGGGAACATTGGCGGATTCGGTCGCGTTACAGCCAAGGAGTGCCTAGATCCTGATACTGAACGTCCGTGGGCGCTGCCGTAGCTGGAGCCCGGATTCGAGCGCTTCATACTTGAGCCCGGAGCTGGTATTCCGCTATTCGTACTGATGCCCGCCAGCGTCTGTGGTGCCGGTCAGCGGATGATAATTGCGCGCCGCAAGCGAGCGACGATTGTTCCAGTTTTCCGACTCCTGCGACAGAAACGACTTACCTCTCTTTTCCTGCGGACACTCCACAGGTTCGTATCTTGAGACATGATGAATAGCCTTCCCTTGGGGCTGCTGGCTTTGCGACACGATTCAGACTACCAAAAAAAAATATTTCTTGCTATGTTGGTGGATAAATCTCAGAAGCAAAAACCAGGAATTCGCTACACTCAACGAGGCGGGTTGGGTATAGGCTTCGTGGGGCATTTGAATTTGGGGGTGGAAAAAGATAAGGTATCTTGGGTTGCTCGGTGAGAAAGTAAACAAATCGCTTATTGGGCAGCGGCGCACCTAGCGCGACTGGGAGACAAGAGACGTGAGACGATTTGTGCACGTGATCTCCTCGCAGAACTGGGAGCCAGCCTAGAAAGGGTACGTACTTGTGATTTTAATTGAGTACCCGTTGCCTCGGTCCAGGCGCTCTTGGGCGCTTTTCCGGAGACAGCGCTCAGCCATCCAGCTGGTTCCACAATTACCGAGCTCAGCATATGCCTGTCGCATCCAAGGGCATCTCGTGCTTCGTGCCTTGTTCATCATCAGTTTCCATCAATTTCCAGCCAAGGCTTCCGTCTACTCTGGTGGTGCTGGGAGGCTCGGTCTGAGCATCTTCATCGTCTATCATCATGGCGATACGCGAGGAAATCGTGGCGTCTGCGGTAAGTTGTGCAATCCGTCCTCCTCTCTAGGTAAACACTCGCGAATTCAACTCTGACTGACAAATGCTCTTTCTAGGCGCAATGTTAGTTCTGATCACCTAGCTTGTTTACTACACGGCACCCCTTACGAGACACGATATTGACAATGGCACAGTTCTACAAGACCCTAGCGTTGCGTCGTCATCTGTCGAGAACAAGATTTCGTTTCTTCGAACCAAGAACCTGACACAGGAGGAGATTGATGCTGCTTTGGCCAGAGCCGGGGGCAGCAGCGCGGTAGCCGTTGCTGCGGCTCCCTACCCAAGCGCGCCACCGCCGCAGGGTCCTCCTCAGCAATATTACCAACCCTATCCTCAGTATGCTGCATGGCAACCACCTGCGGCAGCGCCGAAAAGGGATTGGAGAGATTGGTTCATCATGGCTACAGTGGTGGGCGGAGTCAGCTACGGGCTTTACTCTTTGGGCAAGGTAGGAGCAAGAATTGTACGCGTTTTATCCACAGCTGGGCTAACGAGAGAATGACAGCGTTATGTATACCCTCTCGTAGCGCCGCCTACCCCTGAAAAGTTGGAGCAGGATAAGAAGTCGATTGAGGAGCAGTTCGACAAGGCATTTGCTCTGGTTGAACAGCTATCGAAGGATACGGAGGCGCTGAAAGATGCCGAGAAGCAGCGGACAGAGCGGCTAGATATCACACTAGCAGATCTCGAGACCATCATGACAGAACTGAAGGCCGCGAATAGGCGCCGGGAAGATGACGCGCAGCGCATTCGCGACGAAGTGCAGGGCCTTAAGGACGCCATTCCACGAGCCATGAACAACCAGAAGGAACTGACCGACAACCGACTCGCCGAAATCAACACCGAACTGACCAGCCTCAAGACCCTTGTCTCGCAGAGGATGAATGCCAACTCCAATGTATCTGCTTCCAGTGGCTATTTCCGAGGCAACAATGGATCCAACGGTGTCAACGGCGCCGGCGCAAGCAGTGGAACGACATCGCCCCCACCGGCGGCTGCCCAGTCTGCAACTTCTCCTTCTAATGAAACTCCCACGGAAACGAGCTCCACGCCAAAGCCCGAGGCCGCCAAAAGTGCGTCTCAGAACAGGTTTAGCAGAAGCTCTGGCTCCGGTGGCAAGGCGTCAATCCCGGCATGGCAGATGGCCATGGCCAACCAGAATGCCGGGTCTGCTGGCTCTTCTTCCGGCAAAGAAGCTGAGAAGGCGACCGCCGACGCCGCGGCAGGCAGCTCGTAAATCATTCGCTAGTTGATTTTCGCCATGCATTGTACGATTTTTGCTCTAAATTGCGGTTACTGTTGCGCTACGGATAAAGGGACAATGCAGACATCAATTGGATAACGGCTGGAGCGTTGCTTGATCAAATTTTTATGTATTTAATATCAAATGGACTATACTTTTTTTTTTCTTTATCAGTAGTTGCTAGAGGGTATAAATTATGTCATTGAATAAGCCAGGATATGTTTCAATAACATCTTACAGTAAGCTCCTACGGTCGTCATATTAGAGTGCTGAAAGAGACGGGCCGAGGCTCGGCTTCTTCTCCCTGCCACTGGTCAGTCATGCATGGGATTCCCAACGCACCCCTAATTGCAGCCTCCCTAGTAATGGCAGCATGCAGGCTTGACTAAGAGAGGCTGCAAAACTAGCCCACCATGTCGATGCTCGCAAACCTTACCATAAGTAACTGTTGAGAGAAACTAAAGAAACGGATGGTGCTTGCAACCTTGCAACTCAAGCAAACCCCGCGATTCTTAGTGTCCATACCTTGCGCTCCGTAATGGTATGGACCTCTCCACCCGGCTATAGATTGATATTTTCTTACATCGTCCAGCCTCCCCCCCTAAAGATTAATATCTATGACGCTTCTGTTTTTTTTTTTTATGAATAATTTTATTATACCTTTTTTCTTCTAACTTTCAACTTCTCTTTTCTGCCAAACCTAAGCATACTCACATCTAGATTGTTTTCTTTTTCAAAATCATGGACGGGCCTCCGTCCCCAACCGTGGCCTCGGCTGCGATTGTTTCTCCCTCGTCACCATCTCACGCTGCCCAGCTGGCTTCCAACCTCCGGCTACTGTTTCTGTTTCTATCGAAAATCCCCCTTTTAACCCAAGTTGCCATTTTACATGTTCTTCAGCTCTCGGAGCCATCAAAATACATCGACTTGAGATCTAATTTGGTGGTATCCCTGATACGTTCAATATTGACACCAGCCAACCCACGGCCAATATCCTCTGTCCAGAAGTTTACCACGCGCGACACTGCGATTAAGGGGAAGATATGGATTAGCTTATATGTCACTCCTCCTCCGCCCGAGACCGACATTAGAGACGCACTGATGAAAGTCGTGGAGAGCATGAGAGACCCAAGCGCGAAAGAGGGCATCACCAGGATTCCTCCCTTCGCCCACGTAGAGGCGGAATGGACAGGATATAGAGCAGCAGCGTCGAAAAGAGAGTCTCTGCCTAACATCTCGGAAGCGGCCAAGTATAATGAAATGGTGAAAGAATGCCAAGAGCCCACAACAGTGCTCTACTTGCACGGCGGCGCGTACTACCTGTGCGATCCTGCCACGCACCGCCGTCCAGTAAGAAAGCTGGCCCAGTTGACCAAGGGAAGATGCTACTCGGTGCGATATCGACTGGCGCCACAGAATCCATTTCCAACTGCGCTGTTGGATGCTCTTGTTTCCTATTTCACGCTGCTTTATCCGCCTCCGGATGCCTTTCATGAGGCTGTGAAACCAGAGCACATTGTTTTTGCGGGAGACAGGTATGACTATGACTACTCGGACATATACACCATCATATGCCGTGCCACTTCAAGTGCCAGACTAGCTAACGCGATCAACGCAATTCTTGTACCACAGCGCCGGTGGAAATCTCTGTCTTGCGCTACTGCAATTGCTTCTCCAGCTGCGCCGTACCAACTCCCGAATCGAATGGTATGGCGAGCAACGCGCAGTCCCTCTGCCAGCGGGCGTTGCCTGTGTCTCCCCCTGGCTTGATATCACGCATAGTACACCTCCATGGCACGGCGAAGATCCTCATCCCTTTGACTATCTGCCCAAGCCACGACCCGAAGCTATGGCCAAGATACCTCCTTGTTCGATATGGCCGGCAAGTCCTCCGCGGAAACGCTTCTATGTGGATGACGATCTTGCTACGCACCCACTGGTAACACTCCTCATGAATCGCACATGGGAAGGGTCGCCGCCCGTATGGATGTGCACGGGCTGGGAGCTGCTCGCCTACGAAGACAAGGCCTTGGCAATGCAACTCGCTGCGGATGGCGTCCCCTTGGTCTTTGAAGAATACGAAGCCATGTCGCACTGCTTCGCACTATTCTTGGAGCGCCTGCCTGCTTCTCAGCGTTGCCTCGAGAGCTGGGCCAGCTTCATCCGCAGCGCAGTCGAAGATCCGACATCAATTGAAGCGCGCGCGACTACCATCAAAGCTCGGACGCTTGAAGAAGTTCCTCTGCGAGTTGAGGAGCTTTTGGAAGAATCCCTCGAAGAAATACAAGCCGCTATTGTAAGTCAGGTTGGCGAGGGAGCCGAGAGGCCGGAACATATAGCAAAGTTGTAAATATACCATAGTATTATTATATGATATATAGTATACGCCTTGAGGAATCATAACACTACCTATATATATTCACCTATATCTATCTATCTATCTATATATATATATATATATGTAGGTACATGTAGGAATAATAATCTCCTATTTTGAACTCGACATACCTATTTGCACTACTGATTCTTTACAATTCCATTTCGCATCAATGCGAATGATAGATATCAATAATCCAATGTCAAGCCTAAACCGGGTCTTCAAACGGCTCCGCTGTGGCACCGCAGCCCGCTAAACCAACTGGTTGGGCGAAGCTATGCTATTTGCACATGCATTTTGGTGACATAAAGAAACTCTAAACCACATCCTTTTTCCTCCAACACCCCCCTTCTGCCTCAGCTCAAACCAGGTCAATTGGGTGCCACACAGGCCGCAGATCCACGATGGAGCGCCACAAGCAGGCCGTGACCAAGATTGCCGCCGCCGTCCGGGGCTACTTTGAGCGCGGCGAGTCGTATCGCATCTTCCACGGCTCGACGAACAGCACACGGCCTCGTCCCGGCCCGGGCCACCGCGCCGTCGACATCAGCGCCCTCGGCAACGTCCTGTCGGTCGATCGCGGTGCGCGGACGGCGCTCGTCGAGCCCAATGTGCCCATGGACCGCCTGGTCGAGGCGACGCTGCGCCACGGCCTGGTGCCGCCCGTCGTGATGGAGTTCCCCGGCATCACGGCTGGCGGCGGCTACGCAGGCACAGCCGGCGAGAGCAGCTCGTTCCGCCACGGCTTCTTCGACGAGACGATCAACTACGTCGAGATGGTGCTGGGCAACGGCGAGGTTGTGCAGGCGTCGCCCAACGAGCGCTCGGATCTGTTCCGCGGCGCGGCGGGAGCTGTCGGGACTCTGGGCGTCACGACGCTCATGGAGCTGAACCTCATTGAGGCGCGCAAGTTTGTCCAGACCACCTACCACCGCACAAACAGCGTGGCCGAAGCTGCGGCCCGCGTCCGAGCCGAGACGCAGGACCCCAAGAACGACTACGTCGACGGCATCCTCTTCTCCAAGGACCACGGCGTTGTCATCACCGGCCGCTTGACGGACGACAAGCCCGATGATCGCAAGGCCCAGACCTTCAGCCACGCCCAGGATCCTTGGTACTACCTGCACGTCCAGGACAAGACCCGTCACACCTCGGCCGAAACGCCTCTCGACGCCGTCACCGACTACATCCCGCTCGCCGAGTACCTGTTCCGCTACGACCGCGCGGGCTTCTGGGTCGGCGCCCAGGGCTTCACCTACTTCAAGTACGTGCCCTTCACCAGCTTCTGGCGCTGGTTCCTCGACGACTTCATGCACACCCGCATGCTCTACCGCGCCCTGCACGCCAGCGGCGAGTCCGCCCGCTTCGTCGTCCAGGACCTCGCCATCCCCTACGACAAGGCGGCCGAGTTCGTCGACTACACCACCGACGAGTTCGGCATCTGGCCCCTCTGGCTGTGCCCCCTGAAGGAGACGCCCAACCCGACCTTCCACCCTACGTGCGAGACGGAGACGGTGGCCGCAAAGGACGGCAGCGCAGCAACCACCGTCGTCCCCAAGCCGATGCTAAACATTGGCGTCTGGGGCTGGGGCCCCGAGAACCACGACGAGTTCATCACCAAGAACCGCGCGCTCGAGGACAAGCTCGTCCAGCTCGGCGGCCGCAAGTGGCTCTACGCCCACACGTACTACTCGGAGGACGAGTTCTGGCAGGTCTACGACAAGCCGTGGTACCAGGCATTGAGGGAGAAGTACAGCGCCACGACGCTGCCCTCGGTCTACGACAAGGTCAAGATTGACATTGAGGCCAGCAGGAAGGAGCGGCAGCTGTGGAAGAAGTCGCTCAAGAGCAAGTGGCCTGTGGGCGGGCTGTATGGCATTTGGAGGAGCATTCTTACGAGGGACTATAATCTGCATAGACATGCGGAGTGGAAATACAAGGGAGATGAGTGATGATGCATGTAGAATTAAAAGGGAAAAGGAAAAAAGAGAGAGAGAGAGAGAGAGAAAAGGAGCTTGATGTGAACATGGCGGGGATTAGATTAGATTAGACCAAAAGAAGGGCTTGCTTTACAGCTTACTTACTTTACTACCTAGGCATGCAAACCTATCAGCCAAAATGGCCAATGTAAACAGAAATAGAAAACCAATGGATACCCTGAGCACATAACTTCATAGAGAGCGCAACCTGGTTATTGTGGCACATCATATCATGTCTATATTTTGAAGGCTTTAAAGCTCTTGAGAACCAAGCTCATCTCTAAAATATACTTTACACTAATGATACCCCCAGCACATGAGTGCATCATTTGCCTCCCTCTTCATCACTCCTCCTTTGTAATTTTTTTACGGCCTTTCATTACGGGTCTTAAAAACTTTGCCCAACAGTACCGTCTATATTCCAAAAAAAAAAAAAAAAAAAAAAAAATCATTCATCGCAAAAAAATTTCAAGTTGTCATCTGCATTTCCTCGACAGATGAGTCTATCGCTGTGCTTCGTCGTGCCACTAGAGAAGAGTATTCCCGCAAAAATCGCCTAATAGTGGTAAAAATAGGACGCCGTGTGCTCCATGCCGCACAAATTATTCAAACAGAAAAAAATAAGTTTTCTTTATGTTCAATGAAAAGGGGTGGTGGTGGAAGAAGTAGAAGAAGATCAAAAGTCAAAGGCAATTTAGACCTGGACCTTGTATTCGCGCTTGAACATGTCGTCAATCTTCTCCAGGTAGTAGGTGCCAGGAGCGATGGTAGAGGCATCACCCTTGGGGGTGTAGTCCTTCTGGAGATGGGCCTGCTTTCGGAGGTTGCACATCTCATCGTAGGTCTCGGGGGGGACAGCTCTGCGGGCCTCCAGACGAGCGGGGATATCCAGGGTCTTGTGGATGTTCTCTACGTTGCCAACGACGCGGAGAGACAGGAAGGTAGCGGCGAGGCCGGAGCCGTAGCTGAAGAGACCAATTCGCTTGTTCTCGAGAGCCTTGCTGTCGTTGAAGGACAGCAGACTGGCCAGACCACCCCAGACACTGGCGCAGTACATGTTACCGCAGAGGGTGGCGACCTGGATGGCGGGGTTGACACGCTCCTGGAAGCGCTTCTTGGTGAGGGTCATGAAGGTCTTCTCAAGAGCCTTATCGGTCAGAGACTTCTCATAATCCATGTCACGCAGCTCAGGGGCGACCTCGGCGAAGGCAGCGGCATCAGCGTTGGTCAGGAAGTCGTGGTACAGCAGTCTGGCGTATGACTTCTGGACCAGCTTGCATGTAGGGGCATGGAAGGCAAGGTAGTCGAAGCGGTCGAGAGGGGTCTTGCTGGAGTCGACACCGTTGGTGGTGCCGTTGGCAAGCTTGGCCTCCTTCTTGCAGTAGTCCCGGTAGGCAGCATCGAGAGCCTTGGTGTAGCAAGTGAGGGAGAAGTGGCCATCGACAACGGGGTACTCGCTGGTCAGGTCAGGCTTGTAGAAGTCGTAGGCGTGCTGCATGAAGGTGCCACGCAGACCGGGCTCAACAACAAGAGGGGCGTTAGGGCCAACAAGGATGGCCACAGCGCCAGCGCCACCGGTTGGTCGGGCAGCACCCTTGGCATAGAGGGCAATGTCACCAGCGACCACAATGGCGTCGCGGCCGTCCCAGCCTGAGGACTCGATCCAGTTGACACTGTTGAGGAAGGCGTTGGTGCCGCCGTAGCAGGCGTTGATGGTGTCGACACCCTCAATGTTGGTGTTGTCACCGAATAGCTGCATCAGGACAGTCTTGACAGACTTGGACTTGTCGAGGATGGTCTCGGTGCCAACCTCGAGACGGCCGATCTCGTTGACGTCGATGTTGTAGTTCTTGATGAGTCTTGAGGTGACGGTGAGAGCCATGGAGTAGATATCTAGAGTCAATGTTAGCCGTGGGTTCAAGAGATTTCAGGGGTATAGGAGGGCAGAAAAAAAAAGGTTGTAAAGAATGCGCGGGGAGGATAGAGAAATTCCAACTTACCCTCACGGTCGTCACAGAAGGCCATCTTGGTCTGGCCTAGACCAATGGTGTACTTGCCAGCGGAAACACCATCGAACTTCTCGAGCTCGGTCTGCTCAACATACTGTTGGGAGAAATCATTGTCAGCGGCATGGTTCTCCAGCGGCACGGTGGTGGATGGAGGGGCAATTGACAAACCTGGCTGGGGAAGTAAATCTCAATGGCCTTGATGCCAATGTTCTGAGGTCGGGCGGCCATTTTGAAGGGTAGAACTGAGTGCAATGAAGCTTCTGAGAGAGCTTTTGGAGTGAGTTGAGGGAATGAAGGGGGTGAAAGAGAGGAAAGCTGCCAGCTCAGGAGGGGATAGTCGTCGACTTTCTAGGTGCTGGGACGTGGCGGGCTGCATGTCCATTTAAAGGTTTTCACCGCCCCTTGCGGCAGGCGGTGCGCATCGCTGTAGCGCCTTAGTCGCAGGGGACTGCATAGCTGCAGCGCTTCTGCCAGGGGTCGCGCTACCGGTGGACACTCCCGCTATGATTTAGCAGGCAGAGATGCATCCACAGGTGGGATCCAGATGCTGGCTAGGTGGGGAGGGGCCGTTGCTTTTTTTTTTTTTGTGCCATTTTGGCGCTTTTTTGATCGCATCTATCTGGCCTTGGAAATTGCATGCCCGAGTAGACTGCCGGTAGTGCGAGTACTTTGTTCACTGGGCGGATCGCGACTACGAGTACGGCACACCACACACGAATACAGTACCTGAGCACAGAGATACGAGCAAGTCCTCTCAGCGGGCAGCAGGGAAGAAGATCTGCTGTATACCTTGCCTTAGGCAGGTAGCAGCACCTACCACACTGCCTGTGCTTTTTGCTCTTCGCATTGATTCATCTGTTATCTGTGATTCCTCGCACAAGCGAGTAAGTTTGTGGGGGAAAGGATAATCTAACCTTCATCATCAAGTGGGCTCTGGCTGCTGCTACTCCCTACTCGCCCCAGAATTCCTTGTAGTAGCATCAGCTACCTGCTTGTACTCCCAAATGCTCTCGTGCCTTGCTGCTACCGTGTCCTCCCTTTTCCTCTCGCGGGCCCAATTCGCTCCATATTTCGTAAGTATTAGCCTGCTATTGACATGTGTGTGGCTTTTCCAGTCGGGCCGCGTGTCGCCGCAGGTTCTCTCTCTCATGAAGTGCCAGCTCACTGGCTGCCTCTATTCCCATCGCCCAGATCCAAGCGCATTGTCCAAAGTCTTACCATGCTGCGTTGTCAATCGCCCCACCACCTTTCTTCTCTTCCGCTTCCTATATCGCTCCAATCCTCTTTGTCCCACCATTCCCTCTTCAGCTTAGGCTTTGCTTGCTTCCAGGGACCAACGCCAGCATAATCTCCTTTCAGCCATCTATGTACTACTTGTAGATAGCATTCTTAGGTGGTCAAGATGCATCATTGGCCCTGGCTTAGACCAAATCCCTATTATACACGGTTGTAAGACCAATCTCAGCCGGCCCGTGTACAGTTGCGGCTAGTCCATCACCGAATCTAATGCGCCGAATCAATTGCGCCGACTGCCGTTCTTCTCTTCTCTCCGTGAGCTTGCTCCGAAAACCATCTCTGTTGGGCAAACGGCGAGGTCAGACTGAACACGGTGAGACCGATGTTTTGGCCTCTTGCATTCACCGACATGTCATATGCAAGGATGGATGCCGTTTGAGAAAATCTTTTCACCACCTTGTCTCAGAGACATGTCTATATCCTCTCCCATTGTCTTCTCTTCAAGGAGCACTTACTTCATAGTAAACTTTGCAACCTTAAAATGGTAACGACACCAAAATCCCCCTTTTCCTAGCACGCAAAAGCTTGTGATATGTAAACTACGAGGCTACAAAGTACCATTCGTCCGCAGATTGTTATCAGAAGCTCTTACAGGTGTTATCGTTACTCCGTAGCCGCGCAAGCCATTGCTTCGTTCTCACGACGTCCGCTCGGATTCCGGGCACGGCCCCACCGCCGGCGTCGTGCAACTCGGATCGCAAAAGTCGCAGCCCAGCGGCGCGTGAATCAAGAATGGCATCCAAGACGAGCGGCAAAGCAATACAATCCTTGACAAACGGATAGATAGCAGATTCGCCCGCTGTGATGTGTCGCATTTCACCAAATTACAGCCAACTCCAGATTGCCGCGCATGAAACACTCAATCAGTCGAGAATACGAATACGAATTAGAAGCAGTTATTTTGCACTAGGACCTTGCGCTATCGCGAATACGCCCAGCGCCGTGCGGCAATTACCTGTACGGGACCCGCAGCGATCTCCATGTAATCTCTATTGGCCAGCGTACTCGGACAGCATGATCACAACAGCTACGCCAATGCGTGTATCGCAACACCTCGCTGCTTCGTTGCGGGGAAGCGGCATCTATCAGTGCTGGTGCACGGACGGCGTGATCCTGCATATTGGTAGAATCCCATCTGACTGCTATCGATACAGCAGCTTTTCTGCATACGGGAGAGCGTGAGCAGGTAGGATCGTAGTAGTACACAACCATGACAATTCTCCAGCCTGGTTACTACGTTTCTTTTGAGGCAAATTTACCCATCCATAAGCAAAATGCAATCCCACATAAAGATATATAAGTATATGAGGGAATGCATGATAAAACCGAAAGAGCTAGTCTTGATAATGCAGAGTAGTGCTGGGTGGTTGTATTAAGAACGCGGAAAGTCTCATCGATCCCGTCCGGATAAGTAAGCACCATAAACGTCATATCGTGGACTTTGTATGGCATCCGATCAATACAACAACGTCATGTCAGAGCGAATTATACGATGCGGAGGTTGAATTGGTGATTTTTCATCTTTTTTTCTTATTTCATGTAATCTATTGATATCGATACAGTGCTATTCGCAAGAGCCAAAAAATACAAAATACTAAAAGTTCCAAAAAACGCCACGCTATGCGATCTGTTGTGTGACATTTGTCAAGTAGCAATCATACACGTTCATACTCAGAGTCAGAGGCCGTGTTCTTCTTATCCTCTTTAACAGTTCCTGCTGCCTCTGGTGTCTCTACAGCCTCGGGCTTCACTTCACCATCCTTTGCAGTCTCCTTTGCAGCCTCTTCTCCAGCGGACGGAGACTGTTTGGGAGTATCATCGGCACTCTTCGTTTCAGTGCTCTCCTTGTTATCCGATGTCTCGGTCTTTGCCTTGTCGTCCTCTTCGCTCTTCTTCTTCTCCTCTTCAGCCTTGAGCTTATTCTTCTCCTCTTCCTCTCGCTCCTTGCGTCGCTTCTCAGCCTCCTGAATCTCCTTTTCCTTCTTATCCTTGCGAGTCTGAATCACCCAAGCCTCAGCAGCGTCAATGGCTTCCTCAGGAGAACGCTTGTGCCTAAGAAGCAGTCCCTGAATCTCGGCGGGGCTGAACTCGTGCTCGGGAATCTTGGCTGAAAACTGCGTAGATAGGCCATCAATGCGCTCAGAGATCTCAGCGTGCTGTCGAGCCCATCTCTCCTTTGCCTCCTCAGTGGGCTCAGCACGCTTAGGAGTACTAGTACCGTCCTTGGACTTGATAGCAAGCTCGTTTGAAGAGAACTCGCTCTCAAAGGGGGCATAGATGGCGCGGAAGATGGACTCGGACATGGTCTTGTCGGCAAGAGAGAAGGGAACAATCATATCCACACGGCCGGGTCGGATCAGTGCCTTGTCCAGCTTCTCGATGTGGTTGGTTGTCATGATAAGCAGACGTCCCTCTTGCGAGGCAACTCCATCAAGGATATTGAGGAGACCAGAGAGTGAAAGGCGACCAGTCGATCCCGAGTTTGAATTAGTAGAAGGAGGTTGGGGTGGTGCCGAAGGGTTCGTGCCGGGAACGGGGGTAGGCGCAGCCTCTGGCTCTTCTCGCGTATGAGTCAAGCCAGCAGTGTCGATATCTTCGAGAAGGACAAGACAACGAGTGGGGAGGCTGCCGAAGAGAGAAGTGAGGCCCTCCTCGGTGGCATTGATGGAGCTGAGGCTGACAATGTAAATCTTCATGCGGAAGTATCCTGCCAGGGCCAAGCTGAGCGAACTCTTCCCGGTGCCTGGGGGCCCATGGAGGAGGTAACCACGTCGATAAGGAATACCACGGTTAGCATACCATCGACGAGTAGCAGGGTTGAGGTAGTCGGCGGTATCGGCAATCAGGTCCTGCTTCAGCTTCTCATTCAGGATAACGGTAGAGAAGGGACGATTGGGACGAGACAAGCTGCGCTGCCAGTATGGCTCTCCGCCATAAGCAGAGCCGCTGGAGCTTCTGTAGATGAGAGTCTTGCGTTCGTCCTTTTTGAGGTACATCTGGCGAGCCTCGGCGAGGAGCTCCTTTAAGAGGCGAGGGTTTCGACCAAAGCATGAGATGGAGAGCTCCTCTCGCTCGCTGGCGCTTTGGAAGTTGATCTGCTGCTGGTTCTGGTGGCGCTCAAAAAACAGAGGGCGGCTCTTGTACCAGAACAGATGAGAGCCAAAGGATGGGGTATAATGAAGATTCTGCTTTGGTCCGATGAAATCGACAGTCATGTCTTCTTCACCCTCGTCGTCGCTGTCATCATCCGAGTTTCCTCCCCAGACGTAGCTGCTGCGAGAGTAGAGGTCGGTGTTGACCAGGAAGCGGCGTGAGTTTTGCGAAAACTTCTGGCGCGAGATCCAAAGCATGAGCATGTTGTAGATCTCGTCATCAGTGCGCACCCTGAAGGACGACATGAGATACTCGTCGATCCACGCCCACGCAGAGGTGCTGATATAGCCCCATACGAAGTTCAAGCCGAAAATGGCGACTATCAGAGGGATGTAGAAGTTGAGGTCAATGCCGAGGTAGGTGTGTAAGGCTGAGGAGAACATGGAGAAGCCAGGGAAGAAGTAGTTGAGGAGGGCGAACTGAGGGTTGGGTACAATCCCGCCCGGGAGCTGCGCCGACATGTTGATGAAGGGATCCATGACGGGCAGCGAGTGTTGATGCTGGCTGCTTGATTGATCCAGGTTGTGGCAGTATATGAGGTATTGGGATATGGGGTTGTATAGGACGGGTCCCAGCAGAAGAGCCCCACGAAATTCAATGTAAATGCAGTGAATTAAGCTGTAAGCGAGCCTCTCCCCCCAAAAGAAGGCCCCAGGTGAAGCAGTCCCAAAGCCAGTCTGTAGCAAGCAGAAAGGAGCAGATGGAGGACAGAGGAGTGATGGGCTGCGAGACTGTCTTGCATGCAGCCATGCGACGAGCGCTCTCCCTCTTATATATGCATGTCCCAAAAGCCAGAGCCCAAGAATGATGTTTGACAGCTGAGCTGCGGCCTGGAGCCGGTGGAGCCCAGCCAAGGCGATGCAGCGGCCTTGAGTGGCCAGAGCCAGGATTGCCGGCAGATCTCGTTGGATGACTCCCGTCCGAGGTGGGGAATTGGCTGCCTGATTGCACGGAGCTTGGATGGGAGGCCCCTCTTTGGAGCCGCCACCGAAATGGACTTTGCAGCATGTGCTTGTGTTGTGGTTTTTTTCTTTTTCCCCCTCAAAATCCATCACAATCCAGCATACGGATGCATCTATGTGGTATTTATTATACATCTTTATATTCATGGATTTCATAATGATAATTCCACAACGTTTGGCAGCAGCGTGGCACAAACCATTTCTCAATGGCTATTTGTCGAGTGGCAGCCCATCTAATGCGGTGTAATCCATTCCTCCCTGCATGTATAACCTTGGTAGTCTAATTAGGTACTATGTACTACTGTATCATCTCCCCCAAATCTCTTCCTCTCTCTCCTCTCTCTCTCTCTCTCCATAGCCTCGATACCAATCATAAGGTCAAACGAGTTGAACAAGGATCTGACCGCCGATTGAGTCACTGGCGAGAAATTGCAACGAGCCGCAAGCTCCAGCCAGCGGCTAAGCCTCACAGCCTCCTCCCAACGGCCTCTCACCTCCCTCTCCAGCGTCGCAGGTGCCTTGTAAGGCTGCCTGGACAAGGAGAAAACGGCCCATCAGCGCGAGGCCCAATTCGGGCCAACGGCTGCACGCTAACAGACTCGAGTGCAAATTCACTGCGCATCTGCACTGCAAAGCGCCGCTGGTGTTAATCACGGCGTTTTCTTGGGAAAAGTGGAGGGGAATAGCACCGCCTCTTTGACACGGCAGGACAGGCAGGAATGGCGGAGAACCCAACGGATGCTACGTACATGGAGGTATGAAATGCAAATCAAGTATAAAATCCAGTCCGGAATATCTGTTCCTTTTTTTTTTTTTTTTTTTTGCCTCACCATTATATACCGCAAATACGAAGTGCAGCGTACATACTTGTAGCAGCAGCAGCTACTTTAGTTGTATGTAAATGGTTGCTTTGGTACGGGGTATAAGTGGCCTGCGCCGGCGCCGCTCGCACACCAGGCCGCTAGAAAGGTCATATTAATCTCATAGTCTCAGATAAAATGAACTTCTGTTCATATTCAGATTTGGTGATAGCTGCATGGGGTGAGCTCGGTGTCGAATTCAGTGCACAGGGTGCATTGTTTCTTAATTGCTCTATATCGAATTGCTAGCACAGACAGTTATAAGCGTAAATACAAAAGAATTAATGCTCAATCAATAACGGAGTACGCAATTCTATATTCAAAGAAAGTAACACCGTGCGTATATGAGATAAAGCATATGCATCAGCGACAGTAGAAGTGGTGCCTTGTTTGCGACTCATTGAAATATAATATCGACCTCAAGGGTAAGTCCGGCTTAGAATGTAAAAAAGTAAGCGCTCATCTAATAGGTACTGTCGCTCAATAGATGTAGTAATATGAAACAGTCTGACAACCTTATCCAAAAAGGCAGCCATGTCTCAATTCCCTCCCAGCATGTACTCACGCCATCAACAGCCAAACCGCATGAAACGCTCCATCCTTACTCAGTCCCATCTGTAAATATGCACGTGGCGTAGAATATGCCATCTAAGGAGAAATGCGTGCTTGCGGATTATTGGGTGTTTGTCGTTTCTCAGCAACGACTCTCATGAAAATTCCATCAGGAACAGAGCATCTCTCATAGTCGTGTTCTTGCCCGTCGGGAAAAGAAGCCGAGGCATTTACTCTTTGGTTTTCTATGAGAAACTGGCACAGATTGGTTGGCGTGACTTTGCCCTGGAGTCGCCAAAGCACAGCTTGCGCGTTTCAATGCCGATGGAAGCGGAGCGCTGACCCTTGATCTTGCTTTTGGCGTTGGATCTGGCGGTGGATTGACAGAAAAATTGAATGTACCGGACTTTTGCGAACACTTTTCAGGTGTCACCTTCTCACATATGGTCTCCCCATGCGCGTCCTCTTCATGTGTGGCTATATCGTCAGTACCCATCTGTTTTCCCTCCTGCTCAGAAGGTTTCTTGTTCCTTCTACACTTCCTGTGACACCGAGGCTGGACAACCCAAGAGTACTGCGTTCTATGTCCGGAGAACGAACAATCGAAAATTCTGTTTCGACGTTTTGGTGCCTTTCTCGTCACCTTCTTGATTGTCGAGGGAAACGTGCCGCCGGAGGCGTATACCAGGAACCTGAAGAATGGGCTTGGGTTTTGAGGGACTTCTAGATACTTCAGCTTCTTTGGCTTGTTTTTGGAGCTGGGTTTGGGATTACTGTCTTCGGAGGAACAGTTGTCTTCAGAAAAACTGTGGTATTCAGAGGAATTGTTGTCTTCAGAGGAAGTGGTCGGTTCTTGTCGAGATAATGGCATGGGCACCTGCGGTGAATGCGAGGAAGATGACTGGGGCGAAGAAGAAAGGAAAAGAATGGACCTCATCATTGATAGAACGGCATGCATAATATTAGCAAAGTAATGTCTGCTCATCCTATTCGATAGACGGCGTTTTAGATGGGGGTTTCTGCTGTATCGAAGCTTGGATATTGGGCGAGACCTGTATCTATGTTCAGTACATGGAAGAAAGCGACAAAGATGAACAATACTATGGGAGCCCTCTGAACAATGGAATTGTATGTTTAGGATATCTATATGTCTGAAACGAAGATAGAAAGGCACGGCTATTTCGTTTATCTGCCATTAGTTTGCTCATCTTATGAACCCGTTTGCCGTGCAAGGCTTCTGCAGGGGAGTTGAATTGTCATTGAGCAATTAACTGCAAGCTTCTTGATTCCGGCTTGAAAACCGGCTTCTTAACGTGGTTTTATTCTACGCCATGTTAAAAAAACAAAACCAACTATCAACGAGTCAAACGGCTGCTGAAGATGTAGCGAGTGAAATCGTCCAAACGGGCAGCACAGGCATCCAAGACTAAAAACGGTGTTGCATCCATCTAGCATGCACTCGCACATAAAACCATGCCCGGAAAATGAATTACAGTCATTTCATTCAAAAAAGAAATAAAGTATATACAGTAAATAAATAAAACAATAAAGGTAAACCGGCAACCTTTGCGCTCTAAAGTAAAGTGAATAATGTTACTCGTGATATTGGCTTCTGGGGTCCGCCATTGATGGCCTCGCATCATCTCATCTGCCTTTGGGTATCATCCCTTTTCATCCCTAGGGTCTCTCTATTTGTTCTCGTCGTTTTTTGTCTCGGGCTTGTGGTTTGTAAATTGTGTGTCCAACTTTAGTCTCGTGTGGCGATAATAGACGGACCGCATCACATCTTCAGCTCGCCAATGTCGCCAAGATCGACGCCCTTGGAGATGGTAGCGAGATGGATGTCAGAAAACCCAATGTCGGAAGAGTTGAAGCAGTTGGTTCTGTTGTGAAGCGGGATCCGTTTGTCACCCGGCTCGGCAAACGTAATGTCGACGCACTGTCAGTCTCCGCGTTAGCCTTTGCATTTCTACCGCACAACACCACAAGCATGCCGGTGATCAAAGCGTCTCTTGACACTACTACTACTTACCGAGAACAGCGCGGCGCCGTGCTGTGCCGACATGACAATCTGGATCGTCGCATTGACTCCCGCCTTGACGCCGATGTCCGTCGGCACCGAGACCTGATCCAAACAGATGGTGCCCGGGAAGGGGTTGTTGCTCGGGCCAATAATGCCAAACTTTGGCACAATCTGGTGGGACATCTCTAGCGGTCCGCCATCGGGGCCGTCGGTGCCCATTCCCAGGTTGACCTGCAGCATCGCCGTCGCATGGCCCACGAACCAGCCGGGCTGGAATGAGATGGGGCCTCCTGTCGTGGGCCAGAAGGTGCGGTTTGTTGTCAGAGGGACTCCACCACCTGTTGTATGGATGTGTTATTAGCAGCCCGTCACAAAGAGAGCTCCGATGTCAGGCACCATGATGATATGCTATGCTTACAAGGATACATCCACTGCATGCCGTATGGGAAGGTCGCGTTCGTCACCAGATTGTCGCCTCGCCAGCCGGGATAGACAATGACGGTATGCGCCCACGAAAGAAGTGGCAGAGCCAAGAGGCATACAGCCACCAGCAAACTTCTCGCAGCCATTGTTTTACTGAGGCTGATGGTGATGCTGATAGTCTCGGTTTGGCCGCTTTATTTCGCCTTGAGCGAAGGAACGAGGTTTGAAAAAAAGCCGAGTCTGTCTGTAACGGGAAATTTCCTTATTGGGAGAAACTGCTGTTGGTTCTGCTGTGGAAATGCTCGATGAATGCAACCAAATAAGTGGCAAGCTGCACCCAATCTCGGAGAAATAAAAGACAGCGGTCGCTAGTTCAACGCAGACAGACCATGAATCACTCTGGATCTTCAAGTAATGCTGCTGCTATCATGAAAACACAAAGACACAGACGAAGATGAGTTGTGTCGCTACGAGCTTTTTGCAAGAAGCAAAAGAGAAAGCGAGATGCGCCTGGAATTATGTACAAACGCCCGCTTCCTCCACGCGCCCCGGCAAAGCTTCCCGCAGCCGCTGAGCAGAGGCAGACGGCTGGTCCAATCGCTGGATTCCTCATGATCCCGGCAGCGCTGCACCAATCAGCCTCTCGAAGCGAGACCTTCGCTAGGCCAATGTCCAGACTAGGCGCTTAAATGCAATGCAACCCCCTCCGGCCTATTTTTAGAGGCGGCCTCGCGATCCTTGTCGATGTTGGCATGGCAAAACTCGATTCGCCTCTCTTTTTTTGCTCGGTTTCTTCTTCTTTGGCGGGAGAGTCGTCGACGATTTGCCCTGGTTTTGCTGATGCAAGGGCCGGATCGAGCACGGCCATCTGCATCAGGCAGCGTCCGAGGCTCGTGGATGCTGCTTTTGTTTTTATGCGTCTTACTCTGGAGACTACTGGCTGGTCTGGGCATCTTTTAGCTCCGGCGGCAACTAGCTTTCTTACCACGAGTTCGGCCGTTAGAGCGATCCACTCGAGTCCAATAATCTCTTCCATGCGCAAACCCGCCAGCTAACGGTGAATCGATCCAATGCCCCCCCCCCCCCCCCCCCCGCTGTCTTGAAAGCGTCTTCTCTGTTCTTCTCTGTTTAGAGGGAGTTTATTAATTTCATACCATGGATACATTCGTATATACACGCTTTGGGGATTCACGTTTATTTCACAGTACAATGTCGATTCAGGAAGCAGGCTTCATATTCGTTGACGAAGCTCATGGTACCGAGGTTCCAGACAAACCTATGTGCATTTTATACGCAAACAAGGCTTCTCAACTCGCTCAATGATAGGCCAGTATACCTTCCATAAGTGGTAATGGTGCCTTCAACAAAGTATTCCAAAGAGAAGAGTGGAGAAGAGTGCGTCTTTTCGTCTTCTTAGCAAGATCGAGAGACCCCAGATGAGACCTCTTAATCTCCGCCATCTATGGGTATACGTGCATTATCACCTTGCATATCGACACCCTTTCTGCATCTCTAGAGAGGAAGACGACTCTAAAAATAGCATGTCACTAATATGTAGTCTATGGTATTGAAGAACTGGGCAAGTGATGGCTACATCATAACACTACTCCGCTGCATGCAGCTACTTACCAGGAGCAAGCAGGATCTAGTCCTTTAACAGTGCAGTATCCGGGCAGAGTATCTCTCTTTTTTGCTTATAAACCATGGATTTCTCTGATCTACAAAGTATATTCGTGGGAAAAGGTCTCTTTGCCCCATGTGATGCGCCGGTTAATTTCCGAAGCTGTCTTCCAAGTTCGAGTCACATTTGAGTCAATGAAGAAAACTTTGAGTGATGTTCCACGCAGTGGATGGAAATGGCCAGGTTCATGGATCTGGCGAACAAAAGACGCATTGCGGCAGAGTAAAGCCCTCATTGCGGGCATCTATGAATGGTCTCGAGACATCGTTAACAGCTACCTGAGGCGGACATGTAGGGATCGGCCCGTGGGACTTTTGCCAAGATGCAAAACTAAGTTTTATCTCTTTCACAATTGAGGTAAAATTGGCTCAATTCAGCTATTGGACCGCTTATTGTGATAATAATGATACACATGCATCGGCTGAGAGACAGCGCCACACAACGTCTTCAGCGGTGGCATGGGGGCAGTACTCGTAATCTGTTGGTGACGCCACAACTGCTGGGTACATACTTGGTAGGTAGATGAAGGCTGCAGGGTATACAAGGCATGAGGGAAGCCGTAAACATTAAAGCCGATGTACCAAGTGTGATCCAGTTCCTACATGCACACAGATAGCTGTAGTTTGTAGGAAGACGATTCTTTCAAGGACATAGGCAGGTTCACAATGCGTGTTCCCACTTCTAGACTTTAATTCATTCATGAATTTATTCAGAACGATGTAAAACTCTTCATTTTTCCTCTCGGTATACATAGATAGACCAGCACTCTGCCAAGGCTTTTCTTGCCTCGTCATATGGCATAGGGTTACATGATCCACAAACAATATACATGTACTCGCTTGGCTCTTAACAAAAGGATGAGCGAGATGTAATATGATGTAAAATATTCTTCCTGTTTCTTCTCCTTTCCCTCTTTCTACAGTGAAGGAGTGCAAGCATATCAACCAGCATAGTGCTTAATTATCTCCACTATTCTCTGATTGAGCTTGATAGCGTCGCCCATCACAGTATTCATTCTCACTACTTTTAACTCTACATTTGCAGTTTACAAGAAATCCACCTGTACAACGTGCCCATTGTATAAGCCACCTATCGGGGAAATATAGAAACAAATCACTCACGTTTCAAAGAGGCTAGTATCGGCCGAAATGGCGGCATTCATCATGATTATTAACATCCATATGCTATTATATCTATGCAAAAACAGTCGTAGTACAGCACAGTCTAAACATCCACCTTCTACTGCAGAGCTTTAACACCAGCCTGCATCGCCTTGAAATGGCTCCAGTCGAGGCTGTCCTGCGCCAGAGCCCACGCCATCACGCCTCCCAGCTGCTTGGGCACAACAATATCCGTAAACTTGCGAGCGACAAACTCAGCCGTGTCCCAGGTCCAGAAGACCCCCTTCTGGGAATCCCAGTACCACTGCCCACCCAGATCCTCGTCTGCGATGCCGTTCTGCACCGCGTGCTGGAAATCGCCGCTCATGTTGGCCGGCTCGAACGTGATGGCGCCGGATTTGCCCGTGTCGCTGCCGTCGGGGGCCTCGAGCTCTGCTGTTGGGCAGCCAACGGGGGTTGTGCAGTTGAAGCCCGCAGCAGTTTCAAACCATTTGGCGTAAAAGGCAAAGCCGAGGTTGATCTTGCTGGGAGAGAGGCCGCGCTCGATGTAGGTGCTGATGGAATCGTTAGAGTTGGAGACGCCAGAGTGGTGGGTAGTTGTGTTCATTCGGCGCATCATGAGATCGTACGTCATGACCTGTAACAATCAGTTGGAGCCCAATCTTTCTAAATACCGGCGTATGCATCTCAGTATAGTTACTCACGTTGACGTAGTCCACAATATCGTTAATCTTGGCCACATTCTCGGCTGTGTAAGCAATCATGTCCTCGACTCGCCCCGGCGCAGCAATGGAGAGTTCGATATCTTGCCCCACGGCATCTTTGATTGCCTGAAGGAAGAGAGGGAAAGCATCAATCTCCCAAACCTTCTGCGAATTGGGGTTCTGAATGTAGTCCTGGCCATTTCCACCAGGGAACTCCCAATCAATATCTATAATTGCCATCCATGAGTATACATTGTAGCCATCCATCCAGCCTTATATATGATGTACTTACCAACGCAATCATAGCCCAGTGTCTTGATTGCAGTAGCGACATTCTGGGCATAAGTTTGGCGTGTCTGGTTATTCTGTGCCCCTGCGCTGAAGCCAGATGTGTCCCCCCATCCGCCAATGGACATGCAGACCTTGACCCCGTCGTCGAAAAGAGCTCGAATCTGGTCCAACGGCATAAAAGGCTGATACCAAGTGCCGGAGTTGAACACGGTCGAACCGGCAAAAGCGGTGCTGACGTGGGTGACACCTGCGGTTACAGAGTGATCAGGCAGATTTGTCGTGTCCCATCTATTAGAGAGTAAGTATCTTCTAGTGTCATCAACGGAAATGACTGGAGGCGCAGCACATACGAGTCAAAATACATGAGATAGCGAGGCTTTGCCATCGCCCCAGTGGCGGCGACAGTAGCTGCTGCGAGGGTAGAGGTACGCATCCTGGAGAAAAGGCTATGGTCCCGGTATAAGAAGAGGGAGAGGAAGATGGGGTTGAGAAATGGAGAGGTGATAAACTTTGGGTATCACAGACAGGCCATACTGTTTATATAAACGCCACTCCAAGAGTAGACTTGGGTGCCATCAGCCTTGATAGCCGTCAAGGGGCCCCCAACATGTTTCGCCGACTATGAAAAGAAGCAAACGCGAATCAGACCATGCAGCACAGGAATGCCTACCGTCGAGTAATACGAAACAGCCTGATTCATGGTATAACGGGCCCCCATGGCTGTAACGTCGCAATTTTACGCGGGAGCTTGACGAGAGGCTTTGACGATCTGTTGGACGTTACAGATCGATTGGCCACGCCCCGCTTAGTATCGCTCCGAATTGATGACCGGTTGCCGCTGTTGTTGGAAGATCGCATCACATCTATACATTCATCTTGACCACCTCCATAGGCATCGTTCTTTACTCTACTCCGTAACATTGATCTTTTTTTTTTTTNTTTTTTTTTTTTTTTTTTTTTTTTTTTTTTTTTTCCTTTTTTTTTCCTTTTTTCCTTTAATCTCCCATACGTCCATACATAATCTGTGTCTTTTAGTACGGCTGTCCTCAACAAACATACCTAAAGCACACATTGAAAGTGAACCCCTATCGGCTTGAAAAACCACAGACGGGACTTTGCAGAGATCCACAGCGGTTGCCAGAGCTAATCTGGAGAGAGCAAGTGACAAGCTGGGGCGACAACCGGCCCTGGCATATAGTCAGAGATCGTCAACGCTTACCATCTAGCAGCAAAAACGAGTTGCCCAAACAGGCATTAGTTGCTGCTTGGCGGCTACTTATAATACAGCGCTCTTGATGCCTATGAATAAGCTTGAGTGGAAAGGGATAGGCATATTATTAGGAGAAAGAGAAAAGTGAATGCGTTTGATTAATGAACATTAAAGGCGAGCCCATGAGCGAAAGAAGCCTCGTTAATAAGCTTACAGATTAGCATGGCGAGAACTGGGATGCCAGTCTTGGTGGTTCCACCTCAACCGGGTTGATCGTTACTAGCAGCGGCTAAGACGGATGGCCAAGTGCACAAGAAGGCAGCAGTTTTAATATCCTGTTTCATGCTATATATATATAATAACTTACACAGAAGGCTATGGCCAATGTCTAATGCTGGGGGCCACCCGGCGCCCCGTACCAGCTGAGAATTTAAAGTCCCCATATCCGATAGTCATCTTATTGCCCCTTTTGAGTGCATATCAGCTTTTATGTCAGAGGGCAGTATGGGGGCAACATTTACACGATTACCTGTCCCTGCAAGCCCCCCTGAGGTCTGACAATGCACTACCGGCTCTCCGGCTCACTTTAAATCTAGAACTTGGCTACATTTGTCACTCCCCTGGCCTGTCAGCCTTGCAATGACATGGCTCTATGACACTAAGTTTGTCCCAGGGTACGGAGTTTAAGTGCGGCCTTGTATACATGGTGACTAGTAAGTAAAAAGCACAAGAAAAAGTTGTATCGGAAGCAGCTTTAGATGACATTATCATGTACACAATCTATATTCAAGACATGCTAGAGTTGCTAGCAAGCTGCGAGCGTCAGTGACTCTATTCACTCCTCTATATCTGGCCTAAATCCCTTTCTTTCGCCCATAAGATGTGCATCCCTGCAAAGATCAAGCATCATGTGCCTCATTTCTTCTCCTCCGACGCCTCTAACCCCTCTCCACTTCCAAAATCCGACCAATTTTGAACAGCTCCTTCAACAACTGGCACCCAGGAAGCTCTGTTCCTCGTAAAGATTTCCACTTCCGGCACAAACGACTTTACCAAGTCTTCATCGTCCACACAGCCAATCTTGATCGCCATCTTTCCCGGAAATCCGGTTGAAGTCCTGTACAACAAGCTTCCGCATTCTCCGCAGCAGTGATTCGACATGAAGTTGCCGCTCTCCACGACGAATCCCCATGTTTTGAGTTCCCCCTTGACAACCTTCAAAGTGTCGGTAGACACGATAAAGTTGAGCGAGAATGGAGCGGCGCCCGTGAGCTTGGGCTCATCAGCGCAGTGGCATCTGAACTTGAGTTCAGGCTCGCCGGCGTAGGTGATGACGTTTGCGCCACAGAGACAGGAAGATTGTGTCATGTTGAATATTGAGCCTGCAGTTTTGTTGACTTTGCTGTCACTAGGGGCAGGTCTGTTCTGATAAAGATGTAGTTAAATTATTCGATTCTTTTGACATTCCTCATTGCCCCAACCGACATCTTTATATAGACCTCTCAAGCGATAAGTCCCAATTGCATACACATCTCTTGAAGCTATACTATCCTTTCGAAAATATGTACAGGTGTTGCTTCAATAGGGAAAAACGGCTCGATTAGGCAATTTTTTCCAAATCGGGAAATCAAACATACAGCAGTTTAATACAACTAAATGACCTCCGAGCTCCACGTATGAGGACTAATGAGCTGAATAATCTTAGATTATATATAAATATAGAGTTTACTATATTAAGTCCGATTATACGTGTATATGTCAAGGCGAGTGATATGCTCTCGCCTATCGGTTATGCTTAGTCTGAACACCATATGGAGAAAATAACCCTAGATGACGCTGGATCTCGCTATGAATAACATACTGCTCCTCTACTCCATCCAAATTTCATTAAATACTGTCCATAATATATGGTCCCTCTTAAGTCCGTAATCTGGCTTCTAATCTTCTCATATAGCTGTGCATACATTCGACTATTCTTTGGCACAAAGGCCTCCTGCTTATCATCAAAGACTTTATAAAATGACATAACAAGAATGTATATGGATGATCCAAGCAAGTGTTTACTGTAGCTGATAATTGAGCTACCTGGGTAAAAATTCCATAATTTCAAAAATGATACCACAAATTTTGCCAGCCATGAGATTACTTTTCAAGATATAAGCTCCTGATTTCATCTTTAATTTCTCCACCACTAAGCAAAGAGGGCAGTACGCTTGCCTCCTCAGACCAAAACGCGATGACACAAGACCGGTCGTTTTGTGGAGTATTCAATGAACTATTACTCGCTAAACAGAAGCCTTACCACTTCTAACGGAATTGAATTCTTCCTAGGATCTTCCATTTCCTAGAGACGCAAATGTGTAAGATTTAAAGCAATGATTGCTGACAGTGAATTTCATGTAATGAACTTTCTCTCTAAGCTCTCGATGTTGCAAGTGGCTGGGGCATATAGTGATCATCACATACATTACACCTTCGTCTTTTTAACAACGTTGAACGGCTCCTCACCCTTCTGTATCCGAACCAAATTCTCCAACCAGATTTTATATGCCCGTGCCACCGTCTGCTGCGTAACAGAGCTGATATGCGGCGAGATGAAAACATTAGGCAGCCCCCATAGCTCACTATCCTGAGGCAAAGGCTCAGGATCAGTGACATCAAGAGCCGCAGCGAGAAGACCGCCATTGGCAGCGCCCTTCTTCAGAGACGCGATTAGCGCATCCTGGTCGACGACCTGACCACGGGCGACATTAACAAGAATAGCTGGGCTTTTAGCATTGATGAGCGAAAGCTCTTCTTCGCCAATCAAGCGTTTCGTGGATGCCGTTAGCGGAAGAGAGAGAACCAAAATGTCCAAGTCTTGAGAGAGAAAGCTATGCAGCTCTTCCTTGGACTGTCCATGGAAATAAGCGCTTGGTATTGTGCCATCCGGATCACCAGCGCCAGCTTCACACCAGTTTCGGTCCTTGCGGTCTTCCGAAGTAAGGCGTGGGCGAGAGTTGTAGACGATGACCTCCATACCAAACGCGTTTGCCAACTGAGCTACTTCATTTCATTGTATCAGCAAACACGATAAGCTACATCTTTCAAAGAAGAGGCTATTCTTTACCTTGTCGTCCAATAGACCCATAGCCAACAATGCCAATCTTCTTCCCATCCAGAGCAAAGGGAGGCGTAGCCAACACCGGGCTGCCCCAACTCTTCGCATTCTGCAACTCTCTAAACTTGAAAAGTCGGCGAGACAGTCCGAGAACAGACCCAAGAACCCATTCCGCGACAGCAATGCTAGGCCCACCAGTTGAAGTGGTGATTGTGATATTCGGGTCCTTGAAGGCCGGCTTATGAGCAACATGGTCTGTTCCGGCGACGTTGAAGTGAATGTAGCGAAGATTAGGAGCGTCAGCGGGGTCAGGGACGACGCCCATAGTCATCAATGCAGTGACTTCGCGCAGGATTTCTATACATTACAAGAGGCAAAGAGGAAATTAGATAAAGAGTCAATTCTCAAAACTAACATGAGGTTTGAATATTGTAGTCTTGAGACGAACCAGGTGGGATGTGCATATCCTGCTTGTAAAACGCCTCAGTCGGCTTCACGGCATGATGCAAATACGTGATTTTCCAGTCTGGAAACACTGTCTGAAGCTGCTGCAGGAAGGGCTCCGGCTTAGGAAAAGGGAGAGTCAACAACAAGTGTTTCGCCATGGTCATTCAAACGAGTCCGGCAAGCTGCTAGTATCTACAGATTAAATAAAGTGTATATAAGTCTGCGTGTGATTATCCACGCAGTCTAAAAAGGAAATAGCCCAGCATGTTTATAGCTATACCCGTCTCTTCTCGAGCCAGTTGTATAAACCACCATACTGTTAATCAACTACCTAACCAAGGACTCTTGCAATTTGTAAGCAATTATGAATGGCTAGCGGCGTGACAGTCGTGGTGAGCTTCCTCCTCACGAATAATTCTAATCAGGCAAGAGTGTTGAGTAATCAGACGCCATCAATACCGAATACCAGAGCATAACTATTTGATAATAGGCATCGCAACTTATCCTCTGCACAGGAATGCCTCGGCGCCTCAGTTCGCTGAGCCACTCTAGCCGCGGGAATAACGGCCATTGCAAGAGTGATAGGACTCGTTCTAGTAAGCCCTAGTTTTGAATTTAGAATTTATCTGGAAGCTCTAGAAATCTAGATCTACTGAATGCCATGTCTCAGCTCTGGCTGTTCCTTTCCCATTGGCCAATTGCAAGTTCCGACGGCTAACTTCTGCCGAAGCAGTATCGATATGCATGCAAGATACAACGAGATGGTGACAGCAAAAATTGTTAATTAATAATCGTTCTTGACCTATAGTATATAAATACTAGCAAAAAAAAAAAAAAGAATTCGTCACAAAGGTTGCCTAGCAGATTGTTGGCCTGTGATAACCGTCATGTAGCTGAACTATGACGGAATAAGCCCATGCCATGTAAGTGGGATTGAACAACAGTAAACACTACCTAAACATCTTGTACCGTATTTTTGACGAGGCTCTGACAGCCGAGATACCGGTGATGGGGGGTTAATTATTTCCCAAATACCAGAAATAGCTGCCCACATGTAGCTTGCTCTCCACCATCTTGACGCCCCAATGGCAACAAACCGAAAAAGCAGCCGGTGGCTGACGGCAGAGTTAATCTGCCATTACGAAATACTCTAAATTGGATTGATTCAAGATCCGTTTTCCTTTCTGTCCATCTTCGGTGAAAAAATCGGCATCTTCTCGGATCGCCAATGAGACCAAAAGTTTGACCCAGGCCGGCCATCAGCCCTTCAGCTTATCATAATTTGAGGCCAGTGACACCGAGTCCACTTAACGCCGGGTATGCAAGAGATCTCTTCTAAGAAAGAAAAAGAAAGGCGGGGAGTCTAATGTAACGTGAAGACATATTTTTATTTTTTAATTCATTACGTCCTAAAACTCCGATGCTCGCTTAACCTGGGAGCCCAAGTACCAAGCACCTGGTATCTTATGTTTCTAAAGGCAGAAAAATCTTGACATCATAACCACAGAGCAGCTTTCCTTTATCCTTTTATACTTTTTGGTCTTTTACTGCGCTATCGCGAGCATGTGAGTTCTACTCATCATCATCGATTTTCTGCAGCTTGCCCATGTCCCTCTTTGCGCCAGCCTCTCCGATGAGCTTGATACGGTCGATGCGCACAGCATCCGCTTCACCATCCCCTTGCTGAACAAAAATGGTGAGGGTGTTTGTCTTCTGAAACTTGACGAATCGCAGGCTGATGTTTGCCGTGGATTCGGCGTTCCAATGCTCGGGCTCTAATGTGATGGACTGTGTGGGCTCAGCATCCTCTGCCTCTCCAAAATCCATGTTGGATGTGCGGTTGATGAACAAATTGAGGACGACAGGTCGTGACACATCGTTACTGCCTTCGGGAAGAACAGAAGTGATCTATTCTCGCGGTCAGCCAAGACAATTGTCCAATTGGTTGTTTGTAAGAGAGGTACTGACCTGTAATGTATGGAGCTTGATTGTGGATTGAAAGGGGATAAAGAGCAGGAGCTGGTCGTCAGATCCGCTCTGGACCCAGTCTGTAGAGGTAGATTTGCCTAAGCCCAGGGCACTCGGCTTTGAGTTCTCGAAGAGGACCTTGACAGGGCCAGCATTGTCATCTGCGTTGAGCAGCTCACAGCCTCTGAGTTCTACCTGGTCCGTAACATCGCTGTAGCCTCTAGGGATCTCAGCACCCTTCCAAACGCCGCCGCTCTCTGAGCCACCTGCGGCCTCTGCCAGCGACTCCAGCTCTGAGATTAGCTTTCCTACAACAGTCCTCAGTTCAACCGGGTTTGCGCCTTGCACCGTGTGAATGACCTTGCCCTTGCGGAACAAGATAAACGTGGGCAGCACCGTGACGGCATATTCCTGGACGAGGTCTTGGGTTGTATCATTGTCGACCTTGGCAAAAGTAAGAGGGCCGGGCCGCGAGATTCGCTCAGCCAGACCTGCGTACACGGGTGCGATTTGCTGGCATGATTCGTTCGAGTCGGAGTAGACTAAGAGAGAGGCAGAGTCAGTGCATATGCCTCTACAGCATCCTCAGCAAGGCAGAGAGGATGGGATTCCATCCAGCGTCGGCCAAGACATGGCGGGGAGTGTCTCATGGTGGGGGAGGCTCACACTCGACGATGAGAATGGGAGAGGTTTTCAGCAGCTCGTCAAGCTGTGTCTTGGAGGTTATTTGCACCACAGCGTCCGCCATCGTTGCGTCTGTTGCCAATCGAGACAGTTGTGATGTATGAAGGCGAAAGTTGGATCTGAAGAAGCGAAGCACAAAGCCGGAGTCTGCGAGGATTGTGTAATGGTTGGAAGCCTGCGCTGTGGCTGGTGCTAGTGCTGGTAAGTTCAATGGTGGAGAGCTTAGGGGACCTGGTTCCCTGGGTGCGGGGCTAGGCCTATCTGGGCAGCATTGGATCTAGCCAAATGCCGAATTCAAGGACCAGCGAAGATTCGGGAATCAATAACTGGGGCGTCATGAATGGCATTGAACAGCGTTTGTGTTATACAAGGTATAAGCAGGGCGGTAGTGGTAGGTGGTAGTGGCATTAAATGATTTCTATCTGTATGCTGTTGATCTAAGTATAGTACCTATATGAAAATATGCAAGGCATAGTATTTGTTTATCAATTCCAGAAAGTAATAGGAACCGGGAACAACTGGCAGCCACTATGGCTAATACTAGTAGGTAAGGTAGGTACCTGCCTTACACCACGCACCACTATTATGGCAATGCGTGAGTAAGTCTACAAACATAGTAGTAGTGCCTTACTTAGCACCACACCACACTCTAGAGGCGTTCTATCTGTTACCTACTACTACTACCTCTACTTAGTAGCCAAGTCCATAGGACCGATTCCCTTCTCTTACGCAGACTAATCAAAAAGCCATATTATCAGGCTATTTCCCCCAGTATCGCCTTGTAGACGCAGGATGGAAGCAAGGTTAAATGAACTGCAGTGGATAGCAGCTATTGGCAATATGGATAATACAGCCAATAGCCTAATAGCAGCCAGACGGCTCTCTAATGCTCTCTTATGCTCTCTTATACATCCATGCCGCCGCACACCGTTGCGCTCTTCACCTCTCCTCGGTCGACCGTGATTGCTGACCGCGGCCACGGCTGAGCTCTTCCAGCAACATGGCGTACCCTACAGAGCTGTATGACAGCGATTTAAATATAGCTCACCCCGCCTTGCTCAAGAGTCAGCAGCAGTTCATCAAGTCCACGTACTCCTTGTTGCCAGGCCTCTCTCTTGGCCGCCACCTGTTCACACTGCCACTGCTCTGCACGGTCATTCTGCTCCAACTGGCCATCTCTGCCGTCATAAAACATGGCCTTTTTCGAAGGTAAACAAATCCAGCCCAAGGCGATTCACCTGCTCTATTCTTGCTTTTCCCATGAAAGTCGCCAAATCCGAGTCTCGGCCCTTATGCGCAGCAAATCCAGCATTGAGAACGGCAAAGGCTGACTGCTGCCACCAGCTCCAACATTGAACCTCGAATCGCACTTCTCGAAAGGGAGAGACCGATGGCGAAAACGAAGCCAACTTCGCTTGATGGTCGGAGCCAAAAGCTGTCCAAGCCGGCATGGAAGCCCAAAGAGCAGCCAGGCCCGAGTCTGAGACCGGCGTCTCCCCCAAAGCAAAATCCGTGGCGCCAACGCCAAGCTTCAGTAGCATCTGACCAGGAAAAGCCTGCGAAGCCTCTAGAATTGAAGGTTGAGGAGTTCCCAGTGCTGAGTACTCCCGAGAAGGATGGGAAGGAGGAAAGGCAGGAAAAGGCTGCCGACACTACTTCTAGCGAAAAGCCAAATTTGCCTGAATCGTGCGACGCATCATCCAAAGCAAGTTCTTCAACAAATGAGACGCAGTCTGAAGACACTAGATCTGGTGTTTCTCGACTGAGCACGCCGACGAGGTTAATCCTGGAAGAAGCTGCAGATCAAGCGGCCAAGATGTAAGCATTCGCGTTGGTGTCTTGATACTCATGAGTATTTGAAAAGGCTATTTTGGCTTATCAAACTGAAATCTAGCCTTTGGAGGCATCCCTTTGGGTCAAACGTCTATTTATATGCAGAGGGAAGCATGTTTCAGCTACATCGAGACATTCTTACGCGGCACTCAGGATGGTTTCGAGAAAAGCTTCCTCCGCTAAACGAGGTAATTGGAAAAGAAACTTGAAGAACCAAAGACTACAAAGCTAACCATTGGTCACTTTTAGGATGGATCACCAGTCGAGATGCATTTGCCCCATGCTATCGGGGCAGTGCAGCCTTGCCTTTACTTCATGTATACCAAGAGTGCGCATCTCGCCCAGTTCTGTCTCTCTTTAAGAAAAGCTTTCTGACGGCTGACTCCGACATGTCCCATAGATATCGATATTTGCGAGAGAGACAGTGTACAGCCGCTTAACTTTCTACATGTTCCACGATGTGTCCTGGCCTATTGCGCTGCTGTAAACTTTCAGATTCCCAGCATGGCAGTCCGCATCCTCGCCATCCTTGAGGAGACGGCAAGGCATCTTACAAGCTATCTAAGTGTCCACTACATCTACAGAGATATGGATTTCAAAACCAGCAAATCTGTTCTTATTTACTTTGTAAACTCTGTTGATATTCTGTATTCAGAGCCGCTATTCGAGCTGATGAAGCCCATCCGACATGCCCTTGCAGGTATCTTGGATGCATTGCTTCCTTATATGCTCCGACAGCCATCCTTTCCCGAGATAATGAATCTACCTTCGTGGAAACGGTGGTCAGCTGCCATTGCGGCCGACCAGGTTGAGTACCGGACGGCTCTTGGTCGTTTCCGATCGCCGGAAGAATCCAATTTACCGAGTGAGACTGAGATGGAAGCTTTGTTTGACCGTGTGCTCGGGCAATATCACCGAGATCAACAAGATAGAGAGAGCATGGGAGGTTCCTGTGACGGAGATTCTAACAGAGGAGAGCCTGAAGAGCTCGAAAAAGATCAACGAAATTTACGGAATCCAAGCCCGAAGAAGAAGAGGGCCATAATACCAGAATTTATTCAAGAAGAACCAGCGTTGGAGTGCCAGGCGCCAAGTATTGCCGGCAGCACAGACAGTGAGACAAGCACATGGAATTCGCTCGGAACCGACGACTTCAAGGCAAGACAAAGGGGCAATTCAGCTAGCAGCTCTCTTGCTACTCACGACTTTGTGTATGCCAAGAGCAACTCCAGTGCTGGAGAAAGGTCCTGTAAGAGAAACAAGGAGCGAAAATCCCGGAGCTAGAATGCGAATGCTCTGAAGAGATGTGTTGGATGAGAATAGTTGCACTGTTTCTACACTGGCAAGATGTCGAGTGACATGTCTTGGGCTTTAAGAAGCAAGCAAACAGAATGGAAATGTAAGGCTGCATTTTTCTCTTCTTTTCTCACTTTCTCCTTCTCCTTCTTCTTTCTTTTCTTTTCTTTTCTTTTTCAGGATGTACAATACTAGGGTGGCTGGGACAGAATGTATATAAAGAGGGATGCCAGCCATGTTTACTGCTTCCAAGAGAGGCAGCTCTGTTATATAGCATTTTATAACGATGACTCACGAAGAAAGTTTGTCAAGAATTCATGATTTTTTTTTTCAACACCACAAGACAAGTCTATATTGATTTTATCGACATATATCGGCTCATAATGCTCCCTTGTATCATCGTGTCGAATTTGTGTATAAAAGATAAATGAAGCACAGACAAACACCCGCACAATACATTAAATCAATGATTGCATCCTCATATACACACCAGGCAGCTTACACCCATACCCATGCTCTGTATTACTACCCATCTCGACCGTTTTTTCCCCGCCTAGAGCAAAGTAGTCGCATTTCTCCACGGCACAGCCATCGCAAAGCCACTGTCCCCACACTCCAAACCACTAATTCCCTGTTTTGGCCCATGACGTCGCAAACAGTGGCTTCCTTTTGCTTCTTCCCGCCCACAAGCTCCCTCCAGCCTCAAGAGCAGGCCATTGGTAGAAGCTTGCAGCAAGTTGAGCTTTGGTGCCTGGTGCTGCAGCTCACCTATTTATGCTTCCTTTCATCTCATCCAACCCAGCCCCCCCTCAATTTTTTTTTTTCCTGTTCCAGTTTCTTTGTGTGTTCCGGGTGCCTGATCGTCGTCGGTGTCTTCAACTCGCCTCACTTGCTCTCTCCACGTGCATTTCATTTTTGGCGTGTTTGCAGTTCACGGGACTGGGCTCCGTGCAAGACGTCACACTACCTGCATTCCCAGGCTTAGCAGCCCCTCCTCGCTGTCACAACACCAATCAAGCCGGCCATTTCTATCGCTCGCCCAGTTTTCGTTCTCAGCCAAGCGACCGCAGCTTTTTCATCGTCGCATACGATTTGCGCATCTGTCTACTCATTTATATTTCCATTTATTCATTCATTCGCTTCTTCTTCTTCTTCTTCTTCACCATGGGTAAGATAGCTCTCGTCCCTTCTTTCTCTCACTCGCCCACCTCCAAGTATCCCGCCTTCCACCAACCAACTCACTCAACTAACCCCCCATCTCCAGGTCGCAGCGAAGTCAAGAAGCGCCTCTATCTCAGCAACCCCGAGGTCGACGTCATCATCAGACGCTCTCACCGTCACCGCCATCACCACTCGTCCCACAGATCGCGAACGCCGTCCCCCCCTCCAGCGGAATACATCTCCGTGCCCCGCCCCGTCATCCAGCTTCCTCCTCCGCCTCTTCCTCTTCTACCGCCGCCTCCGCCCTCCACTCTCCCACCTGCGCCGATGCCGCCGCCGGTGTTTGAACTCCCTCCCTTGCGCCGTCCATCGCCGCAGCCGGAATTCATAGAAGTCATCGCCGTCAGCGAGGAAGAGAAGGAGGAGAAGAAGAAAAAGAAGAAGAAGAAGGACAAGCACCGCTCCAAGAGCCGGTCCTCCTCTAGCTCAAGCTTCTCCAGCCACTCCCGCAGCCGCAGCCGCAGCCACCACCGCCAGCGTGACGATGAGCTGGACCGCTACCACCACGACTACGACCGGGACGTCGAAGAGTCGCGCGACAGAGAAGTCTACGTCGAGAGGGAGAGGTACATCCCATACCCCGTCCCAGTTCCTGTACCCACGGATCCTTACAGCACATACCGCTACGTCGACGCTCCGCGCAGCCCCAGACGACGTGCGCCATCTCTGTCTCCTTCGCCGCCACCACCACCTCAGCGCTATGTCGACGAGGATAGGGAGCGCGACTATATTCGTATAAGGGATCGCGAATATCGCTACGACTAGAGAGTTTCCTTCTTTAAGCAGGCAGATGTTCCCATTTTTTTCTTTTTTTTTTTTTTCTTTTTCGTGAACGAGTTTGGTTTTGGAAATGCGGAGTGACTACTTGGATTGGATTATTTGCTACGTATGCATTGGATGACGACTCGTGTATTTTGAATTCTGGAGTTGTATTGAGAGAATAACGCCGTCACGATACTTTTTTTTTAACGCCAAATCTTATACCTTATAATGAACGTGATTCAAGTTAGTCGAATTATTGTAACTATTCTGTTCATCATAGTTCTAAATAATTCATTGTCATTATTTTAGTCCTTGAAAAGCTCTCAATAGCCTGCTGCTCGACAAATTCCTTTAGAATATGCCAAAACATATCGACTACTTTTTATTTCATCAAGAACTTCTCAAATCCCAATTTTCTCTGATTTGAATGAGCATAAGCCATATCAGTATTTATAAAAGGAATTCCTCCGTCTAGGCGGCATCGGTATAGTCGCTATGGGATCATCCTCGGCCGCATAACTCCGCCTAGTTCGGCGCGCACGTCGAACTCGGCGGTACGCAACAGGCATCTCGTCGCTAGAACGGCCCATCGAGTCATAATCGACGACTGGCTCAACTGGCCTAGATCTTCCAGCCCCAGAAATTGACGATTTCCCATACTCTGATGACCGTTTGCGTGCACCAAACAGCCAATCAGTTGTGTTGCCCAACTCATCCATCCACCACAGACCCGCAACGATGATGATGACTGTGACAGGGAGAGCAATCGCCCAGTACAGCCACTGGTCAAAGTCCATATTTCGAATATCGTTTGTGTTCATGCCAAAGATGCTTGATATGGCGCTCAGTGGAAGGAATATAATAGTAACCAGAGTGAATGCATAAATGGCATTCTCCTGTCTATCCTTGGTCCATTCCATCTTGTAAGTGGTCTCTCGCTCTAGATCCTCGGCATACTCAGTATTTCGCCGAAATTCATACTCTCGCTGTTCAACAAGATTTGCGCAATCCGCAAGAAAGAGGCTTCGAAACCCTCCCGTGTCCGTAGCAGAGAGCTTAGAGGCTGCATCAAGGTCAGTCAAGAATTGAGCTTGAGCTTGGTCGTATATGCCTGGTTCAATGGTTCGGTCTTCGGCAACCCCGTAGTGTCGATATCCGGGAACACGATGCCGTGGCCCACCACGCTCTGATCGGCCCCCGGTTTCCCATTCTCTCAGTCTCCTCATTTGTGTCGGCATTTCCTCTCCGTACCGCACCATAAAATTGCCATCTGTGATGCTGGTTCTATTTCTAAGCATGGCGATAATGCTCCGCTGCCTTGCCAAATTGCGTTTGATAGCAGTCATTTCCTGTTTAACCAAGTCGAGGCGATGCTGATACGTCCGGTCGGAATGTTTTGTAGTGATGTCGGTATCCTAGTATTAACCAGTCAGCCAAGGAAGCACATGCTAAATTAGAGCATCGTACCAGAGAATTTAGATAGAGTGAATATGTGTCACAGATATTGTCGTATTTCCCTACATCATCCTGTAAGAGATTCAGCGTTATGAGTGACATTACTTCCGTTGGCAGCATCACGGCTTTATCCAATAGGTTTTGGCTAGAGATGCCTTGGATCATTTTTTGCATCCCGTCTTTCATCAGAGATCTAGCCCTTGTCATGTGGTTGAACCAATCAGTCGTATGACTACTGTATATCAAGCCGAAAACGATATGAAGCCATGCAGTCACAAGCTCACGAGGCAATTCGATAGTTGCCCGATCCTCTTTGCCTGCAAACGACATGATACTTTGAAATGATTGGATGTCTCGAGTCAGTTGCCACAGCGCGTTTTTGAACTCTGTAAGGGGAGCTGAAATTGCATCTCCATCTCCGTCTAGTTCGGGCATCTATTACAGTTTAGACTTGTGTTAGTCATGGCCTTTTTATTACATTAATGATTGTTGGAAAACTCGGTCTTACCTTCATCAGCTTGTTAAGAGCCCCCCAATATTTGCCTGTTGTAGGGCCATGGAACGTAAGGGGGAAGAAGAGTTGAAACAACATGTCTGCCATATTGAAGACGTCGATTCTCTCTTCGTATAAGCGGCGGAGAGTATCGTTCGCCTTCTCATCGATGCGCGGTGCTAGGTTCGTGAGATACTCGTTCACCCCGTCCCTAGCCATGAGTCTACATTGCTTATACCCTCTCTGTGCCGAGTAGGATGTTTGCTCAGTCAAAAATTTCTCCGCTGCCGACAGCTGTTCGTGAAGCTCTTCAAGAATGGTGTCGCCAGACGCTTCTGCACTTTTTGGCAAGAGTGTGAAAACATGTAGATACTCTGGCAGATCCTCTGCTTGCTCAGGGCCCTTTGCAGATGCTGTCTTGGTCGAGGTATTTGGTTTTAAAAATACTCGTGGTGACTCGGGCCTATCCCTTGGAAATCGGTTAGCCGTTTAAAACACGCAAATGTTTTCTTGGTACGGATATCGGGAGGTGTCTCACGCTATCTTCAACTTCAACTTTACGTCACCCTGTCGCCCCTCGGCCAGTTTCAATACTTTCCCCCAATTTTTTGCTGAGAGTCGGCGATCCTTGTGCCAAAACTCCAGACACCGGGGCCAAAAAGCACGAAAGTGCGCAACAAAGGTCTCGCCACAAGTTAGCTATTTCAGATCTCATCAAACGCCAAAGTCTCACTTACAAACCACGTAGGGCATTCCTTTGTTGTTAACGACCACATTACTGCTCCTCCATATGATACGAGAATCTTACCCGAGGCGCCTACTTGGCCTGGCTCAGTATTTACTCTCAGGCATGCTCCTTGTAATTCTGACTGCTGCAATGTACTACACGTAATGAGGACGCCTGTTTCGGGTTAGTAAAGGAAAAATTCTGCGAAATCATTGGGAATACTTGCTGTTTCCAACAATTAAACCCCACATCTGGGAGATATGAAAGCAGTCCCCTCGTGGAACTTGCCCAAGCTGACAGACTGCCTGGTCCATATCTCTTTGCTGGCTGCTACGAGAATACTGGGATTGTAAGAGGGTTTGGGCTGGGAAAAGTGCAGTGTTTGAAGTCGATGGGGATCCAGAGTATTGATGCAGAGAAAAATACGGGATGCAGATCCAATGAGCCGCATACGAGCTTTCAGATGCCTTTTTACCAGTGGCCTGTACTGGAACCTGGATACACTTAGGCTCCATATAGCCCACCTTTGCACCTTGGGGATTGTATCGAGTCTTGACACATTGTCGCTTAACTTCGGCCCGCAGATTAGCAACGGCAGCCCTTTCAGCATCCGCAAATTGGATATGACGTGACACCTCGACCTAGGAGGAAGTGAAAGTTAGCATGGAGCCAATCATGTATTTTTGAGCTGTAATACCCAGAAAGCGTCAAAGTTCATCGTATCCTGACGAACATGTCTGTGTACAAGGTGAGCTTAGAGTTCATTGTGTAAGTGATGTATTTGCCTGACTTAGACTTACAACCATCGAAATAAAGGCTGCTTTTGGCCTTTGGGATCGTACAGGATTGTCAAATTCACATCATGCTGAGCTCCAAGCTCTGCGGTCCCTGAATATGTAGACGAATATATCCCAGGAGCAGGCACAATGTTGGAGGACGGGTGCTCGGGTTTCTGTGTAGATTCACTCTCGGTCGTCGGTGTCTCTAGATCTGACATCTCTGTATCCTTTGATGGCTCCTCTGCCGGGAATGCAAATTGAAAATCGTCAAATGTATCGACGTCTTCAAAGACTGGGCTCATGGGCCGATAGATGCGATAATCCTCCATTTCAGCATCTTCATATACAACCGGGTTGATGATGACTTCATCCCTGTTAATACTAGGAGGGCGAGGCACGTCTCTGTCAGAAGACTGGGTATTGAGCCGTCTCGGTCTGCTACGCGCCATAAAACGGCGGACGCGATCCTCACCCTCATTCTCGCTCTCACCGTCTGATGAAGCTGCGTAAGGGACAGCAGTGGGAGGGTTTTCGATGATGACCCTTTCTGCAGGCGCAGGTGGCGAGCGTTCTCTTCTCGGGCTTCGCTGGCGCTGATATCGAGGAACGTGGTCCGATCTTGCGTCTGCACACCTGCGGATTATTGGTACCTCAGGTCTTGACGCTTCATCTGCATCATCGTCATGTCCCTGACGGCGGTCATAATCGCTTCCCCTTGGGGGCCCTGCCTCCCGTGACTGCTGGACACCGATGCTGCCATCATGGCGGTGACGCAGCGGCTCAGCCTTCGGATCGAAATACCGGATATGAGGCTGCTATATCCATCCACCCGGTAAGCTTAGAATTCAATTTTGACACTGTATGGCAGCCCGAGAGATGTCACCAACCGAATGGCCTTCGGAGCCTTCAGGCGGAGGGCGTTCGCGGCGCCTCCTGGGTTCGTTATGCGCCATGCAAGCAGTATAATAGGCTGACTAGTGGACCGAGGCGCTGATCTGACTCAGGCTCCTGCTAATTCAGGAACATGGGACGAGAGTTTTGGCCAAGAGGCGTCGCACGGAATATCACGTAAAAGTTGAGATTTGAGATGTCGGTCGGAGCACAACGCACGGGAAGGTTGAGGCTCCAGCCTCGCTTGCTAGTTCTTCATCGCTCACTATGGACATATTTTGATTTTCTCACCTGCAGCTGAAATTGAGGCTGAGGCTGATCGTTGATCCTGCAAGAAAGGCGGTAGGCAACACATGACCAGCACTACACCCGCCCACCGCTATGCGCTACCGCCAGGAGCAGGTGCTAACGCTGCGTGTAGTGGGCTACAATGCACGATGTACGTACAAGTATGTAGTACAGCCAATAATATCCATTCCATTCCCGCACCAAGAAATCCATCCTTCAATGCTTAGGTACTTACAACTACTACCATAGACATGTACTGTATGTAGTACTACAATACTGCTCAGAGCCTTTCGTCTACTGCTTCCTAATATTACCTGCTATCTGTTTGTCTGTTCTCATTAATTTCCTTTTTGATTTCCGAAAAGGAAGAAAAGAAGGAAAGAAAGTGCACAGGCCACATGTTGGCACTAAAACACCTGAATACCTATGGAGTACATATCACCGGCATCTGCTGATCAATCTTGTGCGACCAATGATCCTGTGCAACATCAATAGCTTACCTACACAAGCAGATCACAAGAGACAGACGGGACAGCACAAGGCCCAGTTCTTAACGGTGGTCCGCAATACCTACTGGCTTCTCTGTGACCCGGTGCTGTCTTGCTTGTAAAGACGCGCACATGCATGATATCTGCAGCTTAAAACGGCTGTTGCTTTAAATTCGCTACTTACCTAATGGCCAATCCTTGCATTGGAGTTTATTTGCCATAGAGTCTTTGCGCTACCAGCATCACTATTCGTATGCTTAACTCACCGACTCTACAACTGTAAAATGGCCCCATCGTAGGTATTCGGAGTAGTGGTAATTGCGTTATCCCAGGCAAAATCAAACATGCCAGCCAACAATGGGCGCCAAGACAAGCTGATTCCAAGCAAGTCAAGGCTTCACTCTATTATTATAACCTTGCGCAACCACCACCTCGTACAAGTCTAGACGATGATACCGTACCTAGGCCCAAGTATTGGACTGCGGTATGCTGTGCTACTGCACTGGTGCCAGAAGGAGCATGTCCCACAGCAACAGCCCACACCATCTCCGTAGCACGCATCACAAGATAGAACGGCTCAGCTGGAAGAGGTTTAAGGCGGGCGCCTCTCCTCCGAGCGCGAGCGATAATTGGACGTCGTCGACTAGGAGCAACTAGTCGTCGGTTCCCCACCGTTCCCCTACTTTTAATTTACGAAAGGCGACGTGCAGCAGCCAAGATGCAGGGGCTGGCAACCGGGATGGTCCTTGAATTGAATTGCCGCTGGCTTGTGGACGAGCGCGTCAGCCGCCATGCCCTGCAAAGGGCCATCTGGCGCTCGCTGGGCTGGCACCCGGAGATTGCTGGTCCCTGGCGCAATGCAGGAGAGGCTCGATGCTCCGGCCAGTCATTTGAGCCGCTGTCAATAGCCTGCCAGGAGCAGCACGGGGCCGGCTGTTTTGGCGGCTAGGCGAACGTCCTGCGCTCTGCTGCGTAAATGAAGACGATATGCATGCGCCAGTGCCGGAGTGGCTGCTCCGAGCTAAGGGGCAGCGGAATGGGCGATTCAACCGCCTCAGGTACCCGGTCCTGCTATGCGCAGCGCCCGTTGACGATGCGTCACTCGAAATCCAGGGCAGAACCATCCACGTGGGCTAGCCGTGTCTGTGATTCAGAGCAAAGAGTGCATGTGGCCCGTACGGAGAATGCAGGCGAAGCTTCCGAGGGGCCCGAGCAAACGGCACGGTCTCGATCCAGCCGGGCAGACGCCAATTTTTTGGTCTCCATGTCTAGGCGAGTTAGAGTGGAGGACATTCCAGAGGCAAAGTTGTGGGACAACTCAGCGGTGCCAGTAAAATCGGCTCGATGCCAAGCTTGCAGCACGATAAGAGATGAGATGAGCAGACAAGCGCAGCGACGTGGCGACGCCTAGAGGAAGCGTTAAGGAAAAAAGGTTTTTTTCTTCCCCATGGATCCATATGAGCGCCCAATATGACATGTAGCATCGTACTGTAGACAGCTCAACAAGTTCCATTCCTTGACAACTCACCCGTCCTCATCCTCATTGACACCGCCGCCTTGGTGGTACGAGAGCGCCCGTCAGAACAGGCCTTGATCTCTGCTCTGCTAGACAGACGAGTTAAAAGAATTAAAATTTCGGCCACGCTCTCTCTCGTCTGTCCGAGCCCACAGACCTCGGCTGTCGACTCTCCACCCCAGCTCTGCAATCCCATTTCTTATCTTTTGCTTTCGTATTGGGGTCGATCACCGAAGACGTTTGTACGTGCGTCTAATTAGCGATCCGCGGCGTCACCACATCGTTGCCCACTTGTTCGAACGAACCCTCGCACTCGCATTCAAAGAGCAGAAAAAAAAAACTTCGACGGGGAAATAGACGACAAAGGGGACTGAACGTACAAAGGAACCCAACAAAGCACCCAACCCCTCTGACCTCATAACGGAGCACTGTTTTTTTTTTTTAGCACTGCTACCTACTCTATTCGCTTCTCCCTCTTCCCCTCCCCTGGTGCCTGAGGACCTGGTCACAGCGCTTTGCCAGTCGTTTTTTCTCTTCGCCTCCACATTTGGCTCATGAAAAAGGCCCCGTCACGGTACTTAGACGTGCATGCAGCGCGATCAAGGGTGAAGCGAAGCAGGCATTCCCAACTCGGCCTGGTTGAGCTCAGACAGCCGTCCCTGCACCTGAAATTGGCCCTCCGTCCCCATCATCTGCCGCCGGGTGTTGGCACGAGCTCCGGCACGAGAGGTCCAACAACGTCGTCGCAGACGCAGCACACATACAGGTACCTACCTGCTAAGGTGCGACTAGTGCAGCGTCGCTATTTTCAACCACAGCAACACCCAACCCAGATACATCACACACTCTGGACGAGGCGAGGGCCCCCCCCAGCAGGCGGGAGCCATCTTGACGTTGACGCTGCTGGCATTTGCACTGGCGGCTTCTTGTCGTCTGACATTTGATCTGGCTGACAGACGCCCGACGATCCGCACTCGTCCTTGTGCCTGATCCCACCCGACTCACCATCAGCTCAGTGCTGTCAAATATCCGCGCCCATGTCGACGTCGCCGACGAGCTCATTATTCTCGGGCAGAGCGCCAGTCAAGACCAGGTGAGTGAGCAGCAAAATCAAAATCCAAGGACCAGAGAAGCGAACCAGGCCCCTGGCTCGCTAGTCGGGGGAGAGCCCCGAAGCCGTTGTCTGTGCTCCTTCGCTAGCCCGCCTTCTCAGCCTTCATTCAGCCTCCAGCCCGTTGTTAGCACTGCACCTTCGTGCCGCCCGCTCGCAGACAGCTGGGCATTGCTTCTTTGTTGCTTGGCCGTCGTCCAGCCCTCTGGGAGAGTTAGTGCCGCCAGAGGCAGGCCGCTAGTTATGCCGCCGGGTGCACAGCGCGCCGTCTGCCACTTCATTTCTGCACTCACTTACTGCTTTCATCTCACCTATCCCCTGACCCCTACCTCCACGGTGAATCGCGGCTGGGCCTGGTGCAAGGTTGCCCCGTCCATGAATGTGGCCCCGGTTTCACGTTGCCGCTCATCAGACCGTCCTTGTTGCGATTTCCCACTACTACCACAAGACCACGAAACCACCCTTCTGCAGCTGCTGCTGTGCAACTGCTTGCCATTTTCGTTACTGAGCGTTTCTTTTCCTTTTTGCTGATGCCCGTCTCCGACACGACTTCCAGATCCTCACGCCCCTCGATACCGAGCCCGCTATCGACGCCGAGCTATACAGCTTCCTCGCTGGCGAGCAGCGCGAGTCCTTCTTGGCCCAGTGCCACTACGAGTCAGAAACGCCCGCCGCCCATTGACACGCGATCTCGTGGTAATACAACCCCGTCTTCTGCTGGGCATACTACGTTCTTCTCAGACTCGTCCAACCCCTCCAGCCCGGAAGAGGAGAGCTCAAGGTGCGTCACCAACCATGCCACAACCCAGTGTCCAACCCTTTGTCTGCTCCATGCCCATCCCTACATTTAGAAAAAACGAAAGAAGAAAAGAGAAAGAAAGCAACAGAGAAACAGAAAAAAGAAACATCCCCTGCCGTCAATGGTATATTGACACGTTCCTAATACGCGCTGCGTTAATAGACCAGATCTCATCAATGCCCCGAATGGTACTGGAAACTTCCACCAGCCAGTGAACCCGAAGCCCGTTGAAGGCTCGTCGATCAAGCCCCCGACTTCACCAATGGCCAGCCCGACGACACATGCCGCGCCCAGCGGCCCTACGGCGGGCTTGCCTCGCAATTCCTCCATCGATAGTGCCATCTCCGCCATCTCCTCAAGCGCACACGCGAATAATCCTACTAATACCCAGGCAAAATCGGAAGAAATTGCAAAGCTGATACAGACCGCTGGGAGTCCCGAGGCCGTGATCCAGTATCTCCTTAAAGAGAAGCAGTCTCAGGCGCAGCAAAACAGTCAGCTATGGCGCTTAGTGGACAAGCAGAGGGCCATGATCCTGGGCCTGAACAAGGACTTGGAGGCTGCTCTGAAGGACAAAGAGAAATACCGGAAAAAGTTAAAAGAGGTAATGGCGAACCCCCTGGTGTTGAAGCCAGCAGGTAATCAGGATGACGAAAAGCACTTGAGTGCGCACAACGACGCACTGCAGCTGCGCCAAGAAGTCGAATCCCCAAAAGAAGCCGTGCTTCCATTTCCCAGCTCTCCCAAGCTGGGCTCAGGGAGCCAGCTGGACTCGCCGGTCGACATGACTATGGCTCCTTATCCCATCACCCCTCCAGCAGACCGAGCGCACGCACCCCCATCCGCAGTTGCCGAGCTTCTGAATCCATCAGAGGAGATGCCCAAGGCCCAGGAATATGCCTTGGACCATTTTGATGTTGAGGCAGAAGAGGAGGCCGCAGAAAAGGCACGGAAGGAGAAAAACAAGGTTCATTTGAAAGAGATTCCATTCGACGCTTCTTTACCACCATCACGCAGCCTACCCAGTCATCCGCCCAAGAACCCGCCACCAAAACCTCCCGCCGCCAACGCTCCTCCAACTGTCACCGTAATGGGACCCACGCCACAGCCAGACGAGGGTATTGGCAAATTCCCTTCGCCTCCACGGAAGGCTCCTCCAGCGCCGCTGCAGCTTAGGCAAGAGATACGACGGCAGCTAGATTCTCCCACCATTGATACCGATTCTGAGTACGATGATATTTCAGAGGTGGATGAAATTGTTACCGAGAAGCGTGGCCGGCGACGAACGCGCGAGGAAGACGAACGCGAACGCGAAGCCGTAGCTGTCACTGAGGCAGAAGCGCGGAGCGTATCCAAAATGGGCAATTCTGGAGCGGTAGAATCGCCCATATCCCCAACTTCACTGAGTCCCTCCACTGTACCTCACAATCTGCAGCCTGAGATGCCAACCACATCGCTAGATGCGGTTTTGAGCGGGAACAGGCCAAGAGAACTAATTGCTCCTATCCTCAGCCCTGGTTTGCCCGTTAGCCCTAGGCCATTTGGCAATCCCAAGATGTCGCTCGGAAACCCTCCATTGTCACCCAGGGGAATGCCATTGTCACCGCGGCCTCCCCGGCAGCCGATCCCTATGCCACCAGGTACGCCTTTAGTAGTACCTCCTACTGCGTCAATGAGTGATGGGAACCCGCTGAAGAGAGCAATGGAGGCGGATTCGAAGGGGCTGGGAAGCCCAGTGGAACGAACAGCGATTTTCAAGGGCTTGGTTACTGACGAGTACCCCGATCTGTTACTGTCGCCAAATGCGCTGCCCTCTGTTGACGTTAGAGTTGCATCATCGCGTATGAAGCCCTCAAGGGCAAGTCTTTTGTCATTGACTCAGCTTGAAGAAGATCCTGTATTTACGCTTGCAGTTCTTTCGCGGGCTGATGGTGGTGAGCTTTGGCGGGTAGAGAAAGACTCTATATCTTTGGCAAAGCTTGACCAACGGTTAAAGCAGTGTCCTGCTTTTACGGCAAAGTCTCCAGATAGGTCCTTGTTTACTGGACATGCACCCGCCAAGATTGACGCTCGGCGAATTGTGTTGGAAAAGTACCTGGATGAGCTTTTGAACACTCCTTTTGACACCGCCACTGCTATAGAGCTTTGCAAATACCTCTCAACCAATACTCTCCCGCCTAATGCTGATGAGACTGGACAAACTTTCAAGCCCAAGGACGACAATTCATCGATTAGATCCGACGGACGGCCCACTCGCAATGGCTATCTTACGAAGAAAGGCAAGAATTTTGGTGGCTGGAAATCACGCTTCTTTATCCTCAATGGACCTTACTTAAAATACTATGAGACTCCTGGCGGTGCTCATCTCGGCACTATTAAGCTTCAGAATGCTCAGATTGGCAAGCAATCTCAGAATCAATCTCAGAATAGCGATGCCAACGCTCCAGCGAATCACAACAATGATGAGGAGCTGGATAGTCAATATCGCCATGCCTTCCTAATCCTAGAGCCCAAGAAGAAAGACTCCAGCAACCATGTCAAGCATGTCTTGTGCGCAGAAAACGATCGCGAAAGAGACATATGGGTGGAGACTCTGCTGCAGTGGATCGACTACCGAGATCCTGAGGAGGATCAGCCTGCCACCAGACCACCCATCCATGACCGCCAGACATCTGGAGATCAAGCCAATGGTAACACTAAATCCAGGAAAGGAAGCAAGTCCACGACGCATCAGACCTCGGGCTCAGACACACTGATTGGAGTGAGATATGACTCGACCCACGCAGGAGATGCCCCCCACCAAGGCGCTCCTGGAGGCCGACCAAAGACGTCCGGGGGCCAGGGCGATCATCATGCTAACATGGAGTCTCACTCAAAACTCATTTCCGGACCAAAGGATCCTCAAGTGATTTCAGATGCTTCCATGTGGGGTAGCAAGATTGGCTTGTCAGCGCCACCTCCGGCGGCTGGTCCGTCGCACGATGAGAAGAAGGCGAGAAAACGGAGTTTCTTTGGCTTTGGCCCCAAGTCGCGCACTTCTTCTGATGGGCAAGAGTCACTGTTTGGAGGCAGTGAAGGTGGCTCTGGGGCTACTCCACCACAAAACGGCTACCACGGACCGGTACGCCAAGTGTTTGGCGCGCCTTTAGCAGAGGCCGTTCGGTACAACCCACCAGCAGACGTCGACGTTCCCCTTCCTTCTGTTGTTTATCGCTGCATTCAGTACCTGGAGGCTCAAAACGCCATTTTCGAAGAGGGCATTTTCCGACTTAGTGGTTCGAATGTCGTCATCAAACAGCTTCGAGAACGGTTCAATACTGAAGGCGATATTAACTTGGTTACCGACGAACATTATTACGATATCCATGCCGTGGCGTCTCTCTTGAAGCTGTATCTGCGAGAGCTTCCTACCAGCATACTCACTAGAGATCTTCATTTAGAATTCATGTCAGTTACGACGGAGATTACTGACAAGAACGAAAAGATGGCGGCTCTCAACGAGCTTTCACAGCGGTTACCCAAAGCTAATGCAACATTGCTGAAATACCTTATTGCATTCTTGATTAGAATCATAAACAATTCGGATATAAACAAGATGACCGTGCGAAACGTGGGCATCGTCTTCTCGCCGACGCTCAACATTCCTGCACCCGTCTTTGCCACGTTTCTTCAAAACTACGAGTCCATTTTCGGAGTCGATCCTGAAGAGTATGAGCTGCCTTCTCCTACTCCTACTTCTGATTCTGGAAGCCACAGTCGCTCAGACTCCACGCCACGCTTTGACCCGCCGCCGGGTCGGCCGTCAACATCTGGAAGTGGCTCTCCCCGCCATCAGGCCTGGCCAGAACCCATCCGAGACCCGACCAGATCAACGCCAACTCCTCCTCTATTGATGAACATGAACGCAGCCCGTGGGTCTCCCACTCCTTCTGGAACCTCTCGCCATAGTTACGAGCCTTCCTACCTCCTTCACCAAAGCCCCAGAGCAGTATCCCAACCATTGCACGATACCGGCTCCGGCGCGGATGGTCACGTTTCACAACCACAGCATAGAGCCACACCGGCATACGAACGACCGCTCCTCCCTGTAACCGTGGAAGAACAGAACGGGAATCTGGCGGCATACGACCAGGCGGCTCGGCGTCGAGAGAGTGCCATTATGATGGGCAGCCAGCAGCATCAACAAGGATCCAAGAGTCGCTTGCGGGAAGAAGCACATTTCTAAATTTAATATCATTTGCTAATGAAAGTTTGAAAAAAGATAAAACTTTTTCTTGGATTGTTATTATTATTTCTTACTATTTTTTCCGCATGCGGGACATACCCTTTCGTTCAATCATAGCGATGATACCATGTCGATTTATTTCAGCTTCAATTATATTCTCTCAGTATTGGGCGGTGCCACAAACATATACTGTGGCAAATCTTTAAAATCGGGAATGGCAAGCATTGGCTAGAACTATTTCTGTTCTTCCCTTCTTTTCTCTCTTTGCGAGGCCTTTTCGGCCTTTCTCTTTAGAAATACAACGAAAACAGCGTTATTTAACGGTCAAAAGTGGACGACACGAGAGTGATTTTTTTTTTACCCCGAGTTTTTTTATCCTTTTTTTAAACCATTTTTGCCTTTTATTCGCGGCTATATATTGGCTGACATGTGTACATATGTATGCTGTAATTTAATGTTATGGACATTGTTAGGATTTACGCATGACTTGAGAGTATTTGCGTTTTATTTTTATTGTTTCCCCGACTTGAAACATCCAAGTCATTGGAGTTGTGCTGATCTTTCTTGTGGTGGAAGGCAGTGATGTGTTATATTATTCGATTGCTATCGTATTTTTTTCCTCCACAGAGGAGAGCGAGATCTGTATTCGCCCGTTACAGTTGTGGGAATCGCATCACTAGTTAAGGCTCCCTAATATACGAATGCTACTATTTCTGCATATCCACGTATTTGTCTTCTTTGTTTACCAGTGGCTGTTTCACCAAAGCAAAGCCCTACTGGGCTGTGGGTGAACTGGACTAACCATAATAATAATCAAGTAAAGGCATGCGAGCAAAATACAGACGGCTCACGTCCTCTATTCTCTTTCCTATATATAGTGCAACTATGTTGTATCCCGTTCCTTTTTGTTTTCCTTCTTCACAAGGAATTGTCGATTTGTCGTCTTACATGCATGAAGCCCCATGCATGGCTGCAGGAGAAAAGGGCAAAGCTAGAATTGTTCCAAACCCTGGCATCGTTATATAGCACCCCAGCCGTGGGTGAACAGGGGGGTCAGCCTACATATGATATATATATATATATATATACCTGTATACATATATTTGAAGAAGTATATGAAGTAGAGAAAAAATGTTGTTTCTATATCTCATCTTCTAGGCGCGCTGCTGCTTTAGGCGTATTTACAAGTAATCAAAATAAACCTACCGTTTTTAATGCTCAGGGCTACACGCAAAGCTAATTTCCGCTCTCATGTCAAATTAAAGATGACCAGAATGAGACAATTAACAATGATATATGGGACATGAGCCGCGATCTAGGGGCTGGATAAAGTAAGTGCTACGTTGAGTAGTTGCCAAAAAATAACTCTAAGAGCCTAGACAAGGATTGACACGATCGGCCGTAACCGGCCGTAGAGCTTCTAGACTGTCGGATCTGGAAAACAGGGCCGGCCGGCTGTGTCGGAGCTTGTTGGATCGAGGCCCAGAGCCCACGCGGGATTTGATGAAAGAGACGAAAGCCGGTTGACTGATCATGCGAAGGCAGTTGTGGAGCAGTCCGCGGAGCAGTCCGCGAAGTTGGGCTCTGTCTACTGCCATCAGCTTACATCGCAGCGGCGTGTGACTTGCTCGATGATGTCGATGTTGACAGTCTAGGAATAGAGACAATCAACTTCCCGATGTATCCAGTTAGTGGCCCTAATATTCGCCGTAGTCAATGTTGCAGAGCTGAATTGCGATTTACGGTAGGTACTATTGGCTGTTTTCCTGTTCTCTTGTTGACTTGCTGGTAGTCCCTTTTCTGCCTGCAGAGTTGCCTTGCATAGTCGTAGCTGAACCACTTTATTTTTTTTTTCCCGCTTGATCCCTTTTTCTTTTGTCCTTGGCAGATGAAAGCCTCCTTTTTAGTCTCCGTGCTAGAGATTGATTGAGATCCCAGATTAGAATAAAGAACGTTTCCATTTCTTGCTTCTTTTTCACCTCCCTTTTCGTAAGGTGCCTGAAGACTCTTGAAACTTGCTCCCAACTTCGCTTACATAAGGCCGTCGGAGAGCCAAAAAGTCGGCAAGTCGGTCACAGGACATCGGACACACGGAGATAAAATCGCCGTTCTCCTTCTCCATCGTCTCACCTTGAAGCAACATTGGGAGCGAGGACGGCTATTATCCCGACCTCTTGGCCCTATTTTTTTTAACCGATTTTAAGCTGCGTCAAGAGTCCCTCTTTCTTATATGGACCTCGATCCACGGCTGCGACCCGGCGATGGAGAGCAGCTTGGCTCCTCCAATGCGACCAGGGTCGTGAGCAATGCGTCGTCTGCCGCAGACCAGCAGCTCCAGGCGAGTGCAGCTGCTGTGCGCCGTGACAGCGGTCGAGATAACGCCGACACGCCGTCGACTGTCGGCAGCACGCCGGGGCAGCATCACCAATTCGACTACGCAGATGCCGGGCCAGCAGGCGGCGGAGGCGGCGGCGGTTCAGTGGCGGCCGGAGGCTCCGCCGGCGCCGGTGAGGCTGATGGAAACGGCGATTCGAAGAAGTCGAGAGCGTGTGAAGCCTGTCGAGGGCTAAAGGTGCGGTGCGAGCCCGATCCCATCGAGGGCGAGCCGTGCAAGCGGTGCAGAAAGGCCGGGAGGAACTGCGTCGTAACGGCCCCGACCAGGAAACGACAGAAGAAGACAGACAGCCGCGTGTCCGAGCTGGAGAAGAAGATCGATGCCTTGACTGCGAGCTTGCATGCGAGGGCGGGCGTGCCAGGCATGCCCGCCGTTGGGCAGCACCATCATCAGCATCAGCATCAAGTTGAACCTGCCGGTGGCGGGTATTCTTCAAGCTGGGGCAGTGCAGGAACGGCGGGAACAGGAGGAGCTGGGGCTGGAGCTGGAGTAGCGAGGCCATGGGGAGGCATGGCGGCATCGCCAATGATGCAAACGGCATCAACTCCACCAACACGAACCCCGCAGGACGATTCATCAGCGTTCCAGCCGCCGATTGTCATGGCTGGGCAGAAGAGAAAGGCCACTGATCGAGACAGCGTCAGCGAGGATCCCAAAGCATCCACGACGCCATCAGTGAGCTGGTCAGGCTTCTCTAGACCTACGGAGGGTGATATCGTCGACCGCGGTCTCATTACGATGGAACAAGCCGCGGGGCTGTTCAACAAGTACAAGGAACACATGGTGAGACACCTGCCGGCTGTTGTGTTCCCCCATAGTGCGACGGTGATGGAGCTGCGCAAGACGAAGCCCACGCTGTTCCTGGCCATCATGGCCGCCGCCACGGGCGAGAACCACTCCCTCCAACGAGTCCTACAAAAGGAGCTGATGCAGCTCTTTGCCGAGAAGGTCATTGTCACGGGAGAGAAGAATCTGGAGCTGGTGCAGGCGATCCACGTGGCCGTCATCTGGTATTGGCCGCCGGAGCATTTCGAGGAGCTCAAGTTCTATCAGCTCATCCACATTGCCGCCGTCATGGCCATTGACATTGGTCTTGGCAGGAAAAACACTTCAAAACGCGGACCGCCACCTTTCCGCCGCAATCCACCCCCTGATTCTTCCAGCATCGAGTGCCGCCGAACGTGGCTGACATGCTTCTTCCTCGCCCTTAACACGTCCATGTCGCTGCACCGGCCGAATTTGATTCGATGGACGCCCTTTATGACTGAGAGCTTGGAGATACTCGAGTCGTCACCCGATGCCGCGCCGACGGACAAGTATTTCTCTCACTTGGTGTGGACTCATCGTCTAGCTGAGGAGGTTGGCGAGCAGTTTTCCCTGGATGATCCTTCGACGTTGGTCAATATTACGGATGCAAGGACGCAGTACGCGCTGAGAGCCCTGGAGCGGGATCTCGACAAGTACATTGCGTCGGTTGCCAAAAACATGATGCAGCGTGAGTTTCTATTCTTTTTTTTTTTTTTTCTTTGTCCTCTTCTCCCCCCCTTTTCTTTGGCTTCACAGTGTATGAATGGTTCATATGACCCTTTTATGCTGACAACGGAGTTGTTTATACAATTAGCCACCCTTCGTCTTAATTTCAACGTGGTCAATCTTTACATGCACGAAATGGCTCTTCATTCAGAGACCATGTCTGACCAGTGGCGGCCGCCTTTTAACACAGAAGCCCTTAAGGATGGCATTGTCAACTCTGAGCCCCTTTCCGCCGCACATATCAATGCGCTTTCAGCGTGCCTGACAGCTATTGACGGCATTCTCAACACATTTTTATCCATGGACGTTCTCAGCATTCGCTGCTTGCCTGTCTTTAATTTCATGCGAGTGGCTTATGCTGTCGTCATTTTGATCAAGATGTACTTTTCAGCTTCGAGCCCTAGCTCAGAAATGGGCAAGGTCATCCACAAAGACAACATGCGTGTTGAATACTATCTCGAGGCTTTGCTTAACAAGTTTCGAGCTACGGCGGCGGATAACAAATGTCGCCCTGCAGCCAAGTTCCTCGTTGTGCTTGCGATGCTTCGCAGCTGGTTCTTCAAACAGGGCAAGGGAGAGGGCACAACAACGTCTTCTGACGACGGCAATTGCGCTGCTGCTGCTGCTGCTGCCAATACTAGTACTACTCCTCCTAATGCCGCTGCTATTTCTTCTGCTTCACCACAGCAGAGGCAGTATGCGGCTCAGGGGACTCAACAGCAACAACAGCTGCAACAACAGCTACAGCAGCAGCAATTACAGCAGCAGCCACACCAACAGTCAGCCGCCAACACTCCTCTCCAGCTCCTCTCCGAAGTTGCAACTACAGGAAGAGACGCTAGCAGCGCCCCTCACATCTTTGCCAACCTCGGCGGCACTGGCCGGTCGATCCCTCAACCATTCTTCCATGATTCTGTCTCCTCGACCGGCACTCCCCCCACATCATCGACCGCGAACTCCTCCTCCATGCCTCAAATTCCGGGCCCTTCTCCCGCATCCACAGACCTCGAATCCGCTATGGCGCCTGCTTTCCCACCTTGGATGTCCGTCACGCAACCCATGGTGCCCAACGAGCTAGAAATGGGATCCATGCCTGCAAATTTCGACATTGAGGGTCTGAATCTTGCTGCGGCTGACCTCCAAGACGTATATGAGAGCGGCGCTAAGATTGTCATGAACGAGCCCTGGTTCATGGATGCATTCCAGGGGCTCCCTGATCCCAATCTTTTTCCCTTTTAATTATATAAAGGACTGTTTTATTTCACTAGAGGTCAATTTGAGGGAGGTGAAATCTCTTCGTAAGGAGAAAATATGATGATACCATGTATATATTCTGTACCATACTGGCTTGGCCTGACTAAGCGAATGGTCTCTTTTTTTCTGGTAAGATTTGGGCTTCTTTTGCATTGTTGGGAGGCTTTTTTCTTTTTTCTCTTTCTTTTTCTTTTTTTTCCTTTTTTGTTAGCGATGTGTTTGTACTGGCTGGCTGGCTGGCTGGCCGGCTGGCTAAATCACCATGGAAAGGGGCAGTAATGTATTATTTATGATCAAATACCCGTCTATAATTTGCAAGTGCATCGGACGCGTGATATATATACTTGGATATATGTATACATATATATATGGATTCAAGAGAATGGCTTAGGACGATAATTGAGGCCGGCGGTTTATTGTGATAACAAGTCATTCCATGTCTATATACCGTCTATACAAGCATACTATTAGGAAGCAACAGATGTGTCTTGTTCAAGAAACACACAAGTACGTTTTGCAAGCAAGAAACATCAAAAGATAACAGACAAATGACCGTTGACGTGAAATCCCATTTGTCCCCGAATGTGGTAGCATGTTGTGGGATTTTAATTTCTTTATTTAAAATTCCAGTCCCCTACAAACTAAGATAAATTCAATATGGCCGATATTTCTCTTGAGAAAACACAGTAAGAGTTGGCCATTTTCCCAACGCTCGAAAATCAGCAACGCCAGCGCCAGCGCATCGTCAAGTCGACGACGTCCAACCTCCTCTTGCCCTGCAGATCGTAATTTCATTCTTTGACCCATTTGTCTCCGCCAAGATGCTCCCGCAAACAAAGAAAAACAAACCAAGAAAAAAAAATTCTGATAATTATACATGCAATGAAAAGTAAAGTCCAGGCCGCCATTGTGCGTGCCTTTCGTCTCCTGTCTGGTCATAGATGGTTGATCATATATGTTAAACATCCACACATCCGCCTGTGGCTTCATATAAAGTCCCTCCCAAAGATTATCATTCTGCACATTGTCCGTTGGCCCTTTTTTTTTTTTTTGTTTCTTCCTGCACCTAATTACGGTGTCCATTTTATGTATTTTTTGGTGACTCCGGCCGATCCAGGTTCAAGCCAACTGCAGCAGTGCGTAGAGTATACAGCCGCCAAGTAATATGAGCTGCACCAACAGCCTCAAATCGTACAAAAAATAGTATCAATGCGCCAGCAAAGCAACAAAACTTTAAAACGAAATAATCGTCATGTCGCTAAACACGGAAAAAAAGAAAGAAAAAATTGAAGTGCAAGAATATGTGACCGTCAAAGAAATAAAACGCAATGCACTCTCATACTATCATGAACTTCAAGTCGATTCTCGGGTGTCGATCATATCCGTTCGCGCAGAGCATGGAGTTAGATGCTAGTAGTAAATTAATAGCAGAAATCGAAGAGATATCGAAAGAGAAAAAGAGTCAGCCCCTTCCAAGTGAGCGAAGTAGATTGCAGTCGCTCTCAGTCGTCGTAATAGCAACATATATTGTGATAGCGTATTACGCTAGCAGTAGAAATGGCCATACATGGCAGGTTCAGTCCATGTAGAAGTCGCCCTTGAGAATTCTCTCTTGGAAAGCATCGGGCTTGGGGCGCTCTGGCTGCTTAGGCTTAACAGCGGACGCCTGTGCGGGAGGCTGTGGCATGTCGGAGATGGACTTTGAGCGGTCATGGTTGGGCATGGCTCTCGGAGGAGAATGGGAGCCGGTGCCTTGGAAAGAAAAGGAAGGGCGGGATCCGGTAACGGAGCTCTCGGCGCGGGATCTAAGCTGCTCGGACCAATTGAAGCCATACTGGTCTGCTCGAGAAGAGGCATTGTCAGAAGAGACTCTTGGATGCTGGATGTTGCTTGCCTGTGGAAGAGAAGACGGTGGCATATGAAGGCTGGATCGACGTCCAACAGCGGGCCAAGCGGCAGATATGGAAACCTGGCGCTGGTGCGGATGGGACTGGGATAGCGGCGGCATCCACTGATCCCCGTGACCGCCTCCATGACTGCGTCCAAGAGACGACGGGGGAGGGGACTTTGGAGATTTACCATTTCCGGGGCTGCTTCCATTGCGGAAGGTTCGCATGGCAGCATTGCCTCCAAAGCTCATGTGCCGGGCAAAGGGCGTGGTCGGGGCCGTTCTAGGGCCGCCAAACATGGCATCTTCATCCTCAATGGCGTTTTCGTTGATGGAGTCTGAGTTGGTGGACATGCTGCCGCGTCGCATGAAAGAGGTGGTATCTGTGGGCGAAGTGCCGGAGAGTCCAATGGTGGTGATTGACAAGCGGCGTCTCTGCGCATCGGCGTTGCCATTGCCGTTGGGGAAAGGAGGGCCAGCTGGTGCATTTGAAGGGCCTCGGGAGAACAGGTTGGACAAGGCGGCCTGGGTGATTGAACTGCGGCGGTGGCCGGTGCCGGGACCGTTGGGAGATGTATCAGACATGGCTCTGGGTGGCGGGACGGAAAGCAAAGTGAAGCTTTGAGAGGCGAGAAGAATAAACAGAGAAGGTATAAAAGTAGTAAGACGAAGAGAAGATGGCGAGAAGGAGAATGATGCAACAGGCGGTTTGCTGGTTATGGGTGGCCTGGGATGGTGGATCTGAGTGTCGTTGGCGCGTCGCTTGTGTCGTTTCTCCAGGATGGGCGGCTAGACAGTGACGACTTGGGCGGATGCAAGAATTGGACCTTGCAAATGGCGTGAGAGACAAAAGGAAAAAAAAAAGGAGGAGAGTATAGTTGCTGGATGAATCGAGGAAGACAGAAGGAGAAAGTAGACGGTAGAAGAGGCGAAAAAGAGGGGAGAGGCGGATAGGTGGCACGTGGGGAACGATTATATATAGGCAGAGACGAGAGTCTGCTTTGCAGGAAAGCAGAAACGAGACGGTATGATCGGCACAGAGAGCGCAAGAGCTATGGATGGATGGTAAGGGTGGCTTGTGCAGTTTCCCCCCTTTGGTTGTGTACTGTATGTATGCGCGAGAGTTCGATGGTGCTGGCGGCGATGGATAGTGTGAAGCTGGGGCATGGAGGCCGTGGGAAGCAGACGAGACGACGCAGCAGGTAGCGCGATCAGGATCTGGATATTAATGGCCAGCGAGGCCGTGGCGCGGCCGGTGAAAATGGTGAGAAGTGGTGTGAGGTGAGGAGGGAGGTGTGTAGTTGCGTAATGCTGGCGGCGTGCGTGGAGTGACGATGGTGCCAGAAGCAGATGGTGATGATTCACGGCACTGCGAGCTGTGGAGGGGCAGCAGGGGAGAGCAGGGAACAGCAGGGGCTAGCAGGAGACAACGGGGACGCGAGCAAGTACCCGCCAAGTTCTGCGTGGTCTGTGCGGCGATACCTGCGCGGTACGGCGACGCGAGGCTACTTGCATGCCGTAATCGGCAGAGGTATCTGGTGCAGGTGGCCTTTGCGTCTGCGCTAACATCAATCGCCCTGCTCGGCGTGGCAAACTGTTAGGCGGAGCCGGGCTGGGCACTAGCAGAAGCTACCTCGATCCGGCTCAGTCAGCAGGTACTCCGGTGAGGGGCTGCCTTGGAAGTGGGCTGACATGCGCCTTAGCGATACAAACTGGAGACTGCACCACCGAGAACGGAGATCCGCTCAGCAGCGACCACCGGAAGCAGCGCCGAGGAACAGCCCCGGCCCAAAGCACATGATGGTGGAGGGAAGGACAAAGAAAGAGAAAAGAGGAGAGGGCGAGACTGGCCGAGAATCACAAGAGAAATCTCCGAGACCAGGCCTGCACGTTGCATGTATGATGCAGATTAATTGAATTAATTTATTTGCGTGTGCGGATGAACACATGTATGGGCATACGGGGTAATAGTACGATAGTAGTCCTCGCATGTGCACACAAGCACCTGGATTGAGGCAAGGCCCACGGAGTAATACTGCATCTGATACCACGTCGAGGCGAGGCGGGAGCCGGTTCCATGTCGCTGCAGCATTACGGGGCACCAAGCACGGAGCACGGAGCCCTCCGTCGAGACAACACGAGACTCTCACGCTCGACTCTTGTGCGCAGGCAGGAGCATCAAGTATGGCGTACTGTAGCAGTGTGTGAGGCGACGCTGACAAAAATGCAATATGCAAAAGGGTGGATGGAGGGCCGCCTCCATGTTTTGTTGACGGCGACGATATCGCAAATGCACCGATGAATGGATTGGGAAAAGAGTCGAATCTCTTTTGCTTACCATCTCATCCCACCCTTGCTCGGATACCGCTTGGTGGCATCATAAAGGCTAGCATTGAAACGCAGGGAGACTCTCCCAAGTCATTCTTGTCTCGGGTGCTTTACCTTGCCTTACGTGCCAGCAACACGTACTCCGTATACTTATCCGCAAGACATGGACGTGGCCCCATTAGATCCTGGACCCGTCACCCAAAGCCAACCATGAGTACAGCCAAGAGATGCAGCGTGAGTGACCAAGAGAAGTAGGAGAGCCTGGCTGCCGTCGTTCGTCAATAGCAGAGCTATCCGGCAGCTTCGCTGGCACAGCACTGAACTGTCAACGTGGAAGATAACCAAGGGCTTCCAGGCTTTCGTCTCGTCCAACCGACGTCCGGCGATTAGCCTGCCTTGTGACGTCGAGCCGCTTTGGTGTCAAGCAGTCAGCCAGTCGGCCATCCATTGATCAATTCAATTGAGATCGGTGGAGTCTGCGGGGAGCAGGCGGCTTCGATCTGACGGCGTGGGTCTTGAGAGATGACTTATCTTGTCTTAGGACCCCTAGAATGGCCTCATTCTCTTGCTTCTTGGCCTCAAATCTCTCCTTGGGTCTTGGCTTTGGTTGCAGGGACTGCCCTGTTTCGAGTTGTGTTGATACAATCTTGCCGCTCACAGATTTGGCTGCTTTGCAACGTCCCTCGCTAGCTCCTCTCGGCTCGTTGGCGTGGATGTGACGGATGGTATCAGAGGTGGCGAAGTCAGGTAGCGATGATCTCTAAACTTCGCTCTATTTTGCTAGGTGCGGAGTACTCGGTACACCCATCACGACCGCCCATTCGAGCGAGCAGCACTCGTTCGTGATCCCATTGTCATCCCCATTCAATGTCCCCTGTGCAACCTCTACCTCGCCCTATCACTTCACATTCTACTTCTTTTTCCACTTCCCCATCCCTTGCTGCCAGACCTCTCAACTCGGCATGCCCGTACCCGTAGCACGAAGGTGGCAGTATATGGAACTAAACGATTCTATTCGTGTCCAAGCAATGTGCTTGCTAGTCCAAGTCTCATCTAGTGCAGGCAGTTGTGGGCTGGTTCGTGCTCTGCTGTTGGCTGCCCTGGGCGGGCTAAAGGCCATGTACATCGTTTGAAGCTGCGGGAATGCGCTGAAGTCTTGTCGATGTTCTTGTCCTCCCAGCGCTTATCCGGAAGTGGGACAGGCGGACCCCTACACGTGCAAGAGGAAAAGGTGAGGTCGAACTTAAAACCATGACGGCCGGCAGTAGTTCAGCCCAGCTGCTGGTCTAGCGCCAGCACGCAGCAGATGCTTGGCTTTTGGCGGTTGGACAATCCCACCCAGATAGCGCAGGCATGATGAGGTATGCGTGCCCAACGCAGCGCGCCCAGCGAAGCCGTCGTCATGCATGTCGTGCCCGTCTTCACCGACTGGTGTCCCTTTGTGGTTGTGTAGATGGTGTGTGTGTGTGTGTGTGCGCGCGCGCGTTCTGCGGCTTGTTCTATACTTGATGATAGTAGAGACAGCCTGCAAAGAGAGAACGCAGAGGTCAACCGAAGATGTGCAGTCTCCATCGTGCCAAGGTACCTTTGAACTACAAGCACATGGCTGCAGGGCATCAGTACCCATTGCCTTCGATTCTGGATCGCGACTGGTCTGCCGCCACTTATCAATCGTCGCCCTTGCTAGTCCATTACCGAATCAATTCCAGTAATAGACTACGAGTAAGTACTGTAGTGCTAGCAGGCACAAACAGTATCAATCGAGTCGCAGCTTCCCAGCGCCAGTTCAACGGGGCCGTTCGCCGGGGGGGGCCAGCAGATTGGGCCCAATCGCCGTCCACTGACAATCCGAGCTTTCCTTTCCCTGGCTGCTCCCCTTTCGCTGGCCGCACTTGCAATCTCCCAAAACCCAGGCGAAAGGCGTTCGGCCAGTCGCCAATCACGGGCTGCTTGGGGCGAACGCTCTGAGCTAAAATCTGCCGGCCACGGGCCGCTGCCAATCAGCAGCGCCGGCGGTGCAGCAGCAGCGGCAGGAGCCACTCAAAATGCCACCCAGCATTTTGCGGGGTAACGCCATTGACAGTGAAGACACACGCCCCGCTCGAAACGCTGGCCGCACCCCTCCTCTCCTTCTTTTCTCGCGCGCTGTCGCTGCTGCTTCGGTGCTCAATAGCCTAATAATGAGGACGGACAGTACGGAGTAATACCCGCAACAACTAGCCTGCGCAGCTAATGCCGTCCTAATAGCTAGCACCAAGAAGTACCTACCTAGTTCCGTATCAAGGACAACGATCGCGACGCAGTTACTCCGTATCAACTCCGGGCTTGCTGCAGTCTGCAATAACGTGCGTGCTTAGCAGGGCTGCTAGACTGTATCAGGGAAGCGCTAGAGCACAGGCACCTCGCTAAGTTGCCCACCATCTGAGCGCTTGCCATCACCAACTTTCATGGAGTATATCAACAAGGGACAGCACAATCCTCTTTGTGCATCCATGATGTAAACGAAATACGACCTGGTCATTGGACGCAGCAAGAAAAGAGGAAGACGAACAAGTCTGCGCCATCAATGCGCGATGCAATGCAGCGCATGATGCGGCACTACTGCATCCGGCAGTGGTTTCGAATCTTGTCTAATTTTCTCCATCAAACGGACCTTCGGAGTCTAGAACCGCTGCTCTATCATCACCACATTAGGCTCCTCATGTTCTGCAAGATGAAGCAGTCTTTGAGTTGATCTCTAGTATTACATTCCAATAGTAACTTTGATTTTCCAGAAAGCCTTTTTCAGACGACACAGGCGGCACAGTATGAAGTATCTGGTCCCTCTTTTTGGTCTCCCCGCGCCCATCAAGCAGGCCGGTGGAGTTTGTCAATCAAACTGCGAGTCACACAATGAGCCTGCCTGCAATACCTGGAAACTCCCAGAGACTGGCCTCACTCGGTACAGACTGCACAAACGGCGGCACAACTGAGGACACCACGCAACAACTCTCTCTCTTCAAAAGTCCTTGCTGAGAGTTCCCACGCATGTGATAGAGGCCTAAGATAATACGGCGTCAGCGTGGCATGATCTGAGTGTATGCGATGGACTCTCTCCTGATATACACATGCTTGCAGCTATCCGAGTGCTACAGTGAGGGACTCTGTCGAACCATGGGCCGTTCGAGTCAGTGAGCCGAGCCCGGCCGAGTCCAAGAAGCCAATTCCATTATGCCCAGACCGAACTCATATGGTTTCAGTCACTGCAACCCCTCTTGCCACTTCCGCTGAGGATGTGGCATTTTGTGCCGTGTGCAACGCACCAAATTCATGGACTTCATTTCTGAAAATAGAATAAGCTGATGGTGGCGCCATCCTCTGCTGCCGAAATGTTTCAATTTCTCGGGCTTCGTCTCGCACTGTTGAAGGGGAATTACATCCCTGCGGAAAGCCTATATCGCATGGGCCGTGGCTAAAAGCTGTGCCGACCAGGTTTCTCATCATGGAAGATTATATCTTCCTGAGAGATGTTAGCCCAAGGCTACAACTACTGTAATAGTCGTTAGCCGGTGACTTGTCGAAAGCCATTCTGCGGGGAAAGAAGTGAGTTACCTTCTTTAGCCTTTGACATCTCAGCATAATGCTGACTCGAGGCCCAGGCACGTGGCCCTGCTTGGATAAGACTGATGGGGAACTATCAAGCCGATCTGGTGTCTGTTAAACGTAACTTTAATAATCTTGTAGAGCCAGCTAGTAATGTCTAGCTTGTTTCACAATGGAGCTTTCCAGATAGGGTGAGACTTGAAAGAGGTCCGTAGGAATGGAGTTGAGCTCAGCAGAATGACTCCATTGGAGTCAAATGGTACAGGAAACAAGATTTTAGGTACATACGACATCCATCGCTTAGATGACAATCATGTACTCCCCAGGCTCCGATCGGATCGAGAGAATTTCGTCAGGATGGGAAGAGATGATGAACCAGCCCGTATAAATTGGTTCGCTCTCATGCCCTGTGACGGCGATGTGGCAAAATCTCCTCGTTTTGCAGCTGTTAATTGATATGATATGTTACAGAACAAGTTCGCCACTAGCCCCTGATCGACTAACATGACTCCTTCTTAGGGGTTATATGTACATCTATACCAAATACAAACAAACGCAAAAATGTAAAATGCACAACATAGTCGTGTAATAAATGCCACAGGCCATTTGTATCCTGAAACTGTAGCCTCACAATGATCGACAAAATATTCCGTTGAACAGCCTCATTATGCCTTAGAGCTTGTAGTGTAGTAACACATGCACACATTTGTACTCCTCTTCTCGTAAATATGATATCCGCATCATGAATAGAAAAAGGGAAATAAGCCCTATTTCATCCCCCGTCTCTGCCCACACAAGCCGCACACGCCGCAGTCCCTCGCATTCCTGTACGCCGTGGCTACACATGATGCGCTCTTGCACTGCCACGAGCCGGTCGTGTGCTTTGGGTCAAGGACGTTTGCGCACATGGCGCATGTGACGGCCGAAGCAGGGTTTGCAAAGGAGCACATTGAGCAGCCGGTTGGTGCGGTGCGACTACCTGAGCTCTTTTGTGTTTTTACCGTCGTCGTGGGGGTGGTGGGAGTTGATGTAGTTTTGAGTAATGCTTGGCGGCCCTTGGTATTTGATTCTGGCTCTGGTTTGATCATGGTTTTGCTTTGTGCTGGCTTGACGTGTGGTATAGACGACAGGTTTTTTGATGAAGCGCCGTCGTCGTCTGCCGCAACCTCTGGTTTGATTGTCGTCTCTCTTTCCTCCTCTTCCTGTTTCACTGCCCCTTCTGGATCCAGACTTCTTGGCGGATGTAAATTCAATCGCTCTGTGCCCGCTTCCTCTTTAATTTTCCGTCTGCCAAATAATCCCTGTAATTCATCAAACTCCTTCTTCGCATCAGCATCATCCGGATCTTCATCTTCGCACACCTTAACCATATCGCTGCCATCCTTATCCGTCATCCTCGTACCATCCAGATCCACCGCGGCTTTAGAATCCGTCAGGTCTTCGTCCTCGTAGTCGCTCAACCCTTCTCCCTCTTCCTCTTCCTTCTTCGCGGCATCATCTTTACTCTGCTCAAACCGCGCCAATGCCGCAGCTGCACGAAGCTCTCGTCCTCGCAAGCTGCCGGCCACTCTAGGTTTTGCTTGGACGCGTTTGCCCTTCTCGAGTTTCACTTTCTCCTCTTCGTCTGCCCCTAGCGCGATTCCATTCTTGCCGAATTTCTTGAGGATCCTTCTCTCCTTTCTCTCCTGGTACGTCAAAACTGGTTTGGCCTTGCGTTTTCTCCCCCGAGATCGATATGTGCCTCCGCAGAGATGCTCCGGCAGTACTTCATCTGCCATAACAGAGTACCTTTCCCACTCTCCAGTTGCCAGTTTGGTTCCTCTGCCCCAAAGACCATCGCCCTTGTATCCCTCCGCCCACAGATCTTGCATCTGTGCAGCATACTGGTTTCTTACTGCCCAAAAGGCCCTGGAGTGGTTCATTTGCGCGCAGTGAGCCAGCTCATGCATCATCACCATCTGGACGTAGTTGAACGGAAGCCACCGGCCACTACCAGGAGACTTGAGCACGAGTTGAATGACCTCTCCGGCATTGAAATTACGGCCTACAAATTCTCTGTTGGGAGGGAATTCCTCCAGTGACATGACGTGAATGTGGTGTTTGCGCATTACCGGAACTTTTATTCAGAGTCAGCATGAATAGGGTAGTAGCGGTCTCTTGAAAGAAAAGAACTCACGACATTGCGCTGCAATCCTCTCGAGAAAATCTTGGGCTATGTTTTCATCTGGTCCTTTTAACGGCTTGATGAAGACAACGTGCGGATTAGGCTGTGATTTCTTCGCATTGAGACGTTGGATGCCGATTGGCATGGTGAATGACTGCGGAGGGGGTATCGAGTTCAGGTATAGAAAGAAGATTTGAGTTGAATGGTAATTAGTGTAAATTCCAAAATACAACTTGTTGAACAAATGAAGTCCGTTCTATAAAAAAAATTGAGAGAAAAGCACAGGAATTGATGGTATCGAGGATAACGCGATGGGTTGGAAATGCTAGAATAATTGATTTAGATTCACGCGGACTTCTTGACACGAAATCAGGTGACTTGTGGCGACTTTTCGATGTAAGCCATCACCAACAATGGAAGCTGGGCACAAGCATATCCATAGGCATCTAGATATGTAATAAAAAGATCTAGAGCAATAGCTAATGTACATCTTGAATTAAAAACAAGGAATTTGATGCACAGTTTATTTGTATAGGTGCGATGAACGCAATAGGTCAATTCTGAAACTCGCTCGCTATTCTCAAATATATATGCAGTTACAATCAGGCAGGGCTATTATCCCTCCATTGTAGTTCATCCAACGACTGATGGTCTATATCAACCCAAACCCAAAGTACGCCGTGTCCGATGCATCATTAAACGCAGTCCTACTCGCTATGCTTCTTGTTCTTCACGTACTGCTCGTTGACTCCAGCCTGGCCTCCACGTTGGCGATAGCGCTCAATACCGCACTTGTCAGATCCACGTGGAACAAAGGTTTGTCAAAACCGCTGATAATGGCTCCCTTTCGTTTGAATGCAGGCTTGGGAGATCCTCCTAGCTTCTCTACAAGGTCGCTAGGTGTTGATGCCTGCTCCTGCTCCTGCCCCTCTTCTTGTTCCTCCTCTTCGATTATGGCTTTGGCTTTTGCCATTTCTTCGTCCCCTATTCTATGAGAAATCATTGATAATTCCCGATTGATAGCATTCTCTTCAGCAACTGCCGCAGCAGAGTCTTTTCCGCCAATCTCTGCGACGCTAAAAATCGACTTCCAACGGTGCGGAACCCCATCTCGAGGCTTTGTAGGAGTACCAAATCCGCCAGCCACAAGTGCTCGTTTAGTCCATCGGTTGTTGATGCATGCAATGTGCCAATCTACAACATCAGGGGCCGCATACGTATCAAGTACGTTTCGAACATCGATCAAGCGCTGGACAGAAGTGATGTCGACATTGTTGACAGAACTGAAATCTAGAATGATGGCCTTTAGGGTAGGCTTCTGGGTGAGGTCAGGATCCGCCCTTGACTTCCCGGATTTCCGTTGGCCTGCGTTATTCCAAGGCCTGTCGCCCTTGCGTTCAAAGATCTCTGGACTAGTTCGGCGGGTTCGCGCATAAATGAAGCTGGTCAGATACTCCAAGGCATGGTTGGCGCTTGGGTAGTTGAAGCCCTCGGAGAAACGGTAAATGAAGATACCTGGGTATGGGTTCTCCAATTCCACTTCTGGGTTGGAACCATCACCGTGGTCAAGCGGTAGGAAAATATTTCTTGCCGCATTCTGTTCTCTTTCTTCAAACGTGCCATACTCTCCGACAAGCTGTTTATGATGGTCTCCAATAACATGATCTCCAATAACCGAGTGGACCTTGACCTTGCCAAGGAATCGTCCACGTGCCTTCAAGATACGATAAATGAGAACAGCGGCTGAGATGCATACGGTTGCATACAGACCATCCTCAATTTGGGCAAAAACGCTAATGAACACTCCGATAAGGAAAATGAAGACCTCAATAGGAGAGACCCTCCAAAACTGATATAGGGTGTTTGGAGGAGTTATCAAATCACCAACTGCGTGAATGATGACTGCAGCTAAGACTGCATTGGGGATGTAAAAGAAGACAGCAGTCAAGAGATAGGTAGCTAAAAGAACAACCAGCCCAGTAATGAGTCCTGCAGCAGGAGTCCTCACACCAGCTTTCGACTTGATAGCCGTTCGACTGAAGGAACCAGTCGAAGGATAAGCACCAAGAAATGAACCCAGTATATTGGTCATACCAATGGCAACCATTTCTTGAGACGGGTCGATGGTATAGTTGTTTACCCTACCAAAGGACTTGGAAATGGCAATATGCTCAACAAGCATCACGATGACACCAGCCGGGAGGTGGGAAGCAAACTTTGATACAAGATTCGCCTCTATCTCTGGGACGCCGGCGTTCTTGAAGCCTAAACAATATATGATGTTAGATAATATAGCTACAGGTTGTATTATTTCGAGACCTACCCTTAGGTACAACTCCAAGAACACGGATTGCCGGATCATCTTTCCGGTGTCTGTTTATCAACCAGCTCACCATAGTATAGAGGAGAATGACAAATACAGTTCGCATCGTATTGAGGAAAAAGATGATGCGCTTATTTGCTGGCCACCTCTCAGCAGCTCGAGTTAATGTATAGCGGATGAGATAGAGGAGAAACAGAGCTGTGAGGCCAATTGCAGCGTCCAGTTTGGTTTCGGGGAGATGTTTTAGCGTATTGATGATAACTCTGTACGCCGCGTCCCGACTGGAGAAGCCCGTGAGGCCGAATAGAGAAGGCAGTTGACTGGCACCAATGGTAATGGCCGACCCTGTCATGAATGCAGACAATGACGTGATGGAGATGAGATCGACAATCCAGCCTAGGCGAAAGACACCAAGGGCGAGTACGATGCATCCAGCGATGACGGCAAATGCTGTGGCTACCACATTGGCGGGCCAGACCGTACCAGACGCATTCACATCTGCCACCACGGTTCCCACCACTGTAGACAAGACAGCCACTGGGCCGATAGATATATCTTTAGATGTACCAAAGATCCAGTACGTGATGGGTCCCATGAAAGAGGAGTATAGTCCAAACTGAGGAGGCAAATTTGCCAATAAGGCATATGCCATGCCCTGGGGGACGAGTACAGCTCCGATGGTGATACCAGCAACAAGATCTCCGGCGAGCCATTGCAAGTTGTAATGAGGTAGCCAAGATATGAATGGAAAGAGTGATCTGACATAACCCACGGTTTCAGCTCGTGTAGGCAGCTGATCATGCAGCCATTCTGCTGTCGTAGGCGGTCCTTCGATAAAACTATCGCTTGTTTGCATAGAGAAGACGGATTCGCCTCTGGTAACTGGATCATCGTCTTCTTCCGCGAGCTTGATGCCCAAGACTTTGGCGAGCGTGCGCTCAACCTTGGCTGCTGTTCCACTCATTGCCTTGGTTTGATTTTGATGGTAAGGCTAGAGTGAAAGAAGATGCCCAGATGGGCGGGAGATGAAGAGGAGAGTGGAGGATGGAGGGAGACTGCGAAGGAGAGATAATAGTGTTTAGACTTCAAGCCCTTATTATATCATCTCTATTCTGTTCTTGTTCAAGATATTCGGGCCCTCGCCTTTTTTTTTTCCCACCCTAAACTGACTATGACGGCGATGGCCCGGCTCGAAATGATGTTGAATGCGGCACTAACACGTAGGGTACAGCTCTAGACCATCAGCTGAGACAGTTACAACAAGGGACTTTCAAGCCGCAAAGAGAATTCGAATGTACTTTAGAGGATCTAGATGCTGAGTGCAGGGCGGGTAGATGGCGTCTGAAGTCTCGTGAACCAAGTAGAGGGCTCTGGTAGGTTCGTCTAGTAGGTTGGCTCACGCCGCGGACGATCAGCGGCCAAGGAACAGAAGTGTAAAACTGACAGAAAATCAGGGTTGCAATAAGAGACGAGACAAAACATATGATTCAGGCTATAAGTAGAGTCAGAGACAAGAATCAAAAGGTGGAAGAAATATCTAAAAATATCTAAGCAGAAACAAAGGATGCGGCCACTTGCAACTTATACCAACGAGAAAATTGGTAAGATGGAGCGCCGAAGGTCCGCATCGGACAGTCGGTAAGCTTGCTGGTAAAATCTATTCTGACAAATATGAGGGAATAGACGAGAGTCCAAAAGGGGCTTGGATAGTAAAGCTCTTTCTCCAGAACGTCATATTCTCCATCAAAAGGACGTTCTCAAGCGCCAAATCCGCCGTTGAGACGCATCACCACTGGGGCAGATTATTGGATCGTCGACTAAGGCCAGGGGGGCGACTACGGCTTCAGCGCAATCTCCCCATAAAACGCTCGAATGTCGCAATCGCATCTAGACCCGTTTCGGTTTTAGAGCCTCCGGATCATCTAGATTTTGATGTCCATGTAAAAGACTGGGCCGAGCAGAAGAGTCGAGCCAGGGCGGGCCACCGCTTGGGCAAAAGCAGAAGGACAGTAAAAGCTTGATTGAATTTGACATTTCCGTGGCATGAGCACAGCTGTCGTGTTCTTACATTATCCCATGATATTCGAGGTTGTGCGTCTAGGTCGCTGTTGGTCGAACAGCAGGTGAGCAGACTAAAATTAAGCAGTGCTAATGTTAGCCAATGTTTAACCCGATCTCTGTTTACCTTTGAACCATGGCTAGCTCATTTGCGATACAGCAGCAACAATGTTTAGCCGCAGTAATCACATTATTGCCTATTTCCCCGTGGGAGTCTCCAAATAGATTCTCGTAATGCTAACTGGAGCATGTTTCAAGCCGTGATCCAGCCATTCGCCCATGTGATGCCCGACGATGCGGGGGAGCTGAGCCATCAGCAGGAAAAAGGCGTCAGTTAACCTTTGCAACCTTGCGCAATGCTGCTACCGAAGATGACGAGCTGCGGACGATACCATCTCTGGTTGGTTGGCATATGCAGAATTGGAGGATGCAAGGAATTGAGAAGTGATGGCCCGGATCATCGGGCACGCGAAGATCCGAGGCGGCTGCATTTTACAGCACTAGCTGCAGCTTCCTCAGCGCCTAAGCCCTGCTGTAAAGGCGCTGTAATAGTAATCGATAGGCCACATGCTCACTCTAGAAGAGGCAACTCGACGTCATACCAGTAGATCTATGGATGGCAACAAGATGTTGAGCTTCCGCTGCAGACAGATCACCAGATAACCATAAAATTTGGTCGGGCTTGCGCAGCACTTTATTCGAGCGAAAGTCCATCACGAGAGCTATCAAAGCACCCCGCAGACAGAATACGCGGGCCGCCATGCGTCGCAGCATGTATCACTGCCGGCGACGCTGGT